AGAAGTACGCGTCGGACGGGCAGAATGCAGGAGCATTCACCGATTGGTACAATGCGCCAAGCGGTGCGTGCGTCGGCAGTCCGGCGTGCACCTTCAAAGGACGTCCGGATGTGGGTGCTCACCTCGCACTTGTATGTGTCACATTCTCGATCACATTGTCCGGCTGTTGATGTTGTGCTCCAGCTGGCGTTGTCGCCCGATGATTTCAGCATTACTAATAATACGTCGACCAGCACCAGCACCAGCACCAGCACCGCGAGCGGGAACTCGGCATCACCAACAAAGAAAGCCTCATCGGCGGTCGCATGGACCCCGATATCTGCCAGCCTACTGTCTTGTGTCTTCCTGGCTGTGACCGTTTCTATGGCCGTGTTGTAGTAGGACTGATGGTTGATAGCATTGGTTACTTATCTATCACGGACATTCGAAAGTCGCTGCATGTTTTTGCCGTAGTCCTGTTGTATCTACATCAACGTACTGACTTTTTGAAGAAGTACATACTACGAAGAGCTGTTTCCGCCGAGTGGCTCGGCGAGCGCGTGATTGACATGTGGTTCCTGCTGCGTTTAGGCTTTACGGGTGTCTATCAAACTTGGCCAAGACGGATGACGTCCCTTTTACCCGCTCCAATTTGTTTCTGGTATACACTGTGTATGTGGTAGAGTTCGAGTCTCAAAGCTCGCTCAGAAAAAAACCAGGAGTCCCGTTCCAATGCCTATAGATGGGCCTTGAGCTAGGCACGTACGCTCTTCCAGTATATCCTCTTCAGTCAGGCGGAAGTCACTGGACATGGTGCGACACATGGGGCAGCGTTCGAGGAGTTGCCATCTGTCAGACGGTGGGGCTGGCCATGATCCCAAAGGTCTCGTACGAGCGCGTGCGCGCTTCTCCTGTTGTCTCCTCCCGAAATGACGCGTTGACGGCCCGTCCGCGGTCGATGCAGAGACTCGAAGAGCCGTGTGCACATGGTTCTCCCCCAGTCGGTGGTTCTATCTCTCATATAACAGCACAAAACCAGGCCCTGTGACCGATGTTATGGGCCTGGAGAGAAGACATGCTTGGATAAGGACGGGATGGAGACTGAATGACAATGACACTGGCATCGGTTGCGGTTGCCCATTGCGCCAGCCCTCGATAGTCTCATGATCGTTGTTATCCCTTCGAAGGGCCGGTGTTCTTCCAGCTGCACTGCTCTCTCCGCTTCTAGGGCGTATATAATCCACGGATTCATGACTATCCCCGAATATTTCACCCGCTGCCATCATGCTTGGCTCGTTGGTGCTCGGCACCGTCTTTCTACTGCTCCAACCGGTGCATTCCGCCGTCACATGGACCGCGACGCCTTTCAATCCTGCAGCATTTCCGCTCGCTGTCCGCTCTCCTTACCTGTCCGCATGGTTGCCTCAAGGAGAGGGTAACGCGTTGAATGCAGTTTGGCCGCAGTTTTGGACTGGCTCCGTAGGCGTCTCTAAGCCGATCGTCAGTGGCGGACATCGACATTGATGTTCGCCTTTTGTTCCTTGGTTGCAGACACTAGGATGGGCGGGTTACATCAATGTTGATGGCGTCTCATATAACTTCTTGGGAGACCCCGGAGTTCCCAATACGAATGCGCAAAAGGCCGTCCAGACTAGCTCGGTGGTGCGTCGGTAGATGTAGATTCCCGAACGCAGCCTGATGGTGAATTAGTTCACTAGTACGCAGAGCATCTTCACGCTGACCGCCGGTCCTGTGGACCTCACCGCAACCTTTCTGAGTCCCGTTGAAGTGAGTTCACCCGTTATTTTGCCAATTGAGCGATAATATGGATGATACCAAGCCGAGCAATCTCCTTAATCAATCATTGCCCTTCTCCTACCTGGCTCTAACGGCGACACCGAACGATGGAGCCTCGCATTCAGTGCAAGTATACACTGACATCAGTGCAGAATGGGTCTCTGGTTCCGACAGCCTTACGGTCAACTGGACGACAACAGTCGGTGATGTGATCACTCACCAAGTGCAGCTCGAGAACCAAGCGCTGTTCGGCGAGGTAAACGATCAAATTCAGCGTAAGTTTTCTACTTCACAAGTATACCTCAGTGCTCATTTGGGAAAAGAGGGGCCTGGCTATCACTCTACACGGATGGTAAGCAGTTGCTATAGGCACGACGGGCCTCAGTTTAATTCTTCATCGCCGGAACAGACTCCTGGTACAACGTTCCAGACGGGACAGGACATCGTTGTTCGCGCACAATTCATCAATCATAGCACTCTATTGGACACACAGGACACGAACTTCCGCGATGTATCCGATGATTGGCCTGTCTTTGCGCTTGCTCACGATCTTGGCACGATCTCAGGACCCTCCGAGCCCGTCGTGTACTCTGTGGGCCGTGCTCGTGACCCTGCCATCGAATACCTCATTGCGAACGATGCGGTGCAGTACAGAAGCTCGTACTTCTGGTCCAAATATCCTACTGCAGACGATGCAGTCAGTGTCCACGATGTGTATTGGCGCCATGAATTGAAGATGACATTCTTGGCAGATCTCGGAATTCCTCGGTGACTATAACAACGCGCTAGCACGCGCAAACGCGTTCGATGCACAAGTTAGTGCAGACGCCAACAAGATCTCTAGCACATATGCGGGCCTAGTAGCATTATCTGTCCGACAGGTGTTTGGAGCGATCGAGATAACCGTATCAAAAACTAGTTCTGGCCAGTTTAATACTTCCGATATCATGACATTCCTCAAGGGTAGGGTTTGTGTCATGCTGGCTCGAGGATGATACCTAACATTTTTTGTCTTGTTAGAAATTTCTAGTGACGGTGTAAGTTACCTAGCGGTAAATGAGTCTGCGACGACTTACATGCCTCACTTCAGAATGTTAATACCGTGGATGTCATATTCCCTGGTTGGCCGCTGTTCATCTATACGAACCCGGTCATTGGCAGAGATTTACTGCTGCCTCTGCTCAATTATCAGGAGACAGGGCAGTATCCGAACATGTGGGCTTGTCACGATATGGGTAGGCTGCGATCGCCGTCAATAGTTAAAGGTAATCTCATGGCATATACAGGATCTATCTATCCACAGGCATTGGGTCATAATAACGGTACATATATCGTCTGATGCTGAATTTGTAGACGCTGATCATGAAGTTACACAGGCGACGATGAGAAGATGCCCATTGAAGGTATGAACATGAGCATCTCAATGGCCTGACCAATACTCAGATCCCGTTGTGCACAGAGAGCGGTAACATGCTGATCATGTCTTTAAGCTACGTGCAAAAGTCGGGGGACATATCTTACGTCTCGACATACGTATGTTCTACATCTATTCGTCACTGGTGCTTGGCGCGCACTCACATAGCATCTGGTTATACACAGTACAACCTCCTCAATCAATGGACAGAATATCTCGTTGCGAATACTCTTATACCTGGCGACCAGATCAGCACGGACGACTTCGCGGGGCCTCTGGCAAATCAGACAAACCTTGCTATTAAGGGAATCATCGGTATCAAGGCGATGTCTGTGATGGCGGAAATGGTTGGCGATATGGCGACAAGCGCGAATTATAGCGTACGTGTGGTGCTTCTGCATTGCTTTTGGACATTTGTGGAACTGCTACTGCCGTTGCTAGGGTATTGCTGCATCATACGTCAAACAGTGGCAAGGTTATGCAACGTCGACCGATGGGCTACACCTTACACTTGCGGTGAGCTCTAGTCGTAATCGGAACGATGTGTGCGCTGATGTATCTGGCAGTACAACAACGAGACTACGTGAGCATCACGAGTGCTCGCCGTATCCGAGTCCAATGAATGATGTGATTACCTAGATGGGGCCTGTCGTACAACATGTATGCAGACAAGCTGCTGGGAACTAACCTCATTCCCGATTCCGTGTACGAAATGCGTAAGCCATATTTACCTCCACAATATTTAAGCCTTATCCAGCTAACTCCCTTCCCCCTGATCCGCCAGAAACTGCTTGGTATCCCACTGTAGACGGTGCGTATTGGTTCCAGCTTCTAGCACTGTGCCTCACACGCGCAAGCAGAGGAGTATGGTGTTCCGCTCGATACTCGGTACGTTATGTTAACATGATCCCACTGTCACGCACATTGATGCCAGAATCTTTTAGTCATCTCTACACGAAGTCAGGTATGCTTCATATTGTTGCTGGCTAGTGCACTCCTCACCCTTGCACAGATTGGCAGTCGTGGACTGCTGCCTTCATGACAAACACGACAGTCCGCGATATGTTCGTCGATGCTGTCCAGAAATACGCCGCGGACGGGGAGAGCTCTCAGCCGCTCGGGGACTGGTACTGGGCGAACGACGGCGAGGTCGAGGGCTTCCGTGCTCGGCCTGTCGTAGGAGGCCATTTAGCCTTAGTGGGTGTTGTCCAGACCATCATTGTCCAATACTGACGCGCAAGTCGTAGCTTGCTTTGCAATCCGTAGAGTATGCGGATGTAAGCAATATAACTGCCAGTAATCCTAACACTACTAAGGGCTCTACTAATACATCTATTGGATACAGGCATGAAGCACGGCGCGTGGATGTAGTTTCTGTGATCCTTGCAGTAGTGGTGCTTTCTGGGACACTTGTACTATAGGCACGGGAATAGCATTCATCCCAGATTTATGACGTAATGGACACGGTCACGTGATGTATCCGATGCGGATGGCGGAAAGGATCAGGATCGCGTCCAGCATCGGCGCGGCAACTCCTCCAACGACTCAGACCAGCCATGCCAGCCCCCAGCCCGCCTTTCTGCTCCTCTATGCCATACGCACACTGCCTTATTCCCCATGTTGAAACGTGCTCGCAGTCTGTCACCTCCTGGCGTGAGGTCGTCCTTGATCATGTCTCCGACCAAGAGAACCCGCACCGACGCCAACTTTCTGCCAAATAAGATTGCAACAGCAGAAGCTGCTTCAAAAGTAGACAGAGATCCGCCTTTCTTCAAACTTCTCAATGCATTGAAGGACAATGCCAGAAGTTCACCCAAGGGGGCGTCAGTGGTTTATTGGATGAGGATGGAAGATCTTCGAAGTACGTATTCTGCCCCGCATTTTTTCACAGCTCTTAGGCTGAGAGGATACATATAGTTAGCGACAATCGTGCTTTAGCGCAGGCTTCCGCATTGGCTCAGAAGGACAACGTACCGCTTGTTGTTCTCTTCGTTCTCAGTCCCCAGGACTACATCGCGCATGACAGAAGCGCACGGCGGATAGATTTCACTTTGCGCAATCTGCACGAGATTAAAGTCAGTGAATCGAGATGATTAACACGCTAGTTTTTTCTTAAACATTTGGTACAGTCATCTCTCGCAGAACATCACGTCCCACTTTGCACTACGTCTCACACGCCTCGCATTTCTATTCCTTCTCATGTTCTGTCTCTTCTGAAAGAATGGGGAGCGACACAGCTCTTCGCCAATATCGAACACGAAGTTGACGAGCTCCGGAGAGACATCAAGCTGTGCGAGCTCGCTAAGAAGGAAGGTATTGATTGTTCCTTCGTACACGACAAATGTATTGTCCCTCCTGGAGATATTCTGACGAAAGAAGGAAAGGCCTACTCAGTATGTCTCTCAAGACAATATCCCACAACTGGCAGTTCTTAACGTTTTCTAGGTTTATTCTCCGTTCCTGCGCTCTTGGATTAAGCACCTCTCTCTCAAGAAAGAAGACATTCACCTTACGCATGCGCCTACTCTAGCCGATAATGCTTTTTCTATTCGAGATCACTCGACCTTCGGCCGATTATTTGAAGTACCAGTACCGGAAGAGGTAGAAGGGTTTACTCTTCAGCCTGATGAGAAAGAAAGGATGCGATTTTGCTGGCCAGCTGGAGAAGATGCGGCAAGACAGGTTCGTCGAACTGATCTCATCTGATGTCTGGAACTTGATATGTCGAGACCAGATTCTTGATCGCTTCGTTCACACTATGGCTCGTGGCTCTCAACTGGGCGCTGTGAACCCGCTTCCGGAAAATGCAAAGGCGCCTCGGAACTCTGCCAAAGATAGTCGATTGGGGAAATACAAAGCTGCGCGAGACAAGGTTGATGCGGATACTACCAGCCGGCTCAGGTAGGCTTGACAAATCTTTATTAGCTAGTCAGACATCAATCTCTCTATGTAGCCCGTACTTAGCAGCGGGTGTCATATCAGCTCGTCAGTGTATCAGGGCAACTACAGAGTTTTCAAGTGGCAAGATTGACGTGAGTAGCGAGACGGGCATAGGTCGCTGGGTACAGGAGATTGGTATGTGTTATAGTGTGCACACCGATGTTTCCCTTTGAGTTGAACACCTTTGCAGCATGGCGCGACTTTTATACGCATGTCCTTGCTCTCTTTCCGCGTGTGTCAATGGGACGCCCATTTCAGGAGAAATTCGCTAATATAAAATGGGAAGCAGAGACCCATAAAGATCATCTCCAAGCTTGGAAGGATGGCCGTACAGGTGTACCGATAGTCGATGCGGGCATGCGTCAGGCCCGCGCTATGGGGTGGATGCACAATCGTTTGCGCATGATTGTCGCCATGTACTTGGTAAAGGATCTCATGATCGACTGGCGACTTGGAGAAAAGGTAACTATGATTGTCATTGACATGATGCTTCATTTACTCATGTATTTTTGTCGCAGTATTTTATGGAGATTCTCATTGATGGCGACTTGGCCTCTAACAATGGAGGATGGCAATGGAGCGCAAGCACGGGAGTTGATCCTGCGCCATACTTCAGGATATTCAACCCATACATCCAGAGTCAGAAGGTACATATAACTGCTATTGGGGTTAGGACGTCATGCTTCATGGTTATACACACAGGCGGATCCTACGGGTGATTTCATCCGCCATTTTGTGCCAGAACTGGCAAATGTTCGAGGCCCAGGTGAGCTCACTTCCACTCACTGCCCAGATATAAGCTGATGTGGTCACAGAGATTCACAATCCGTCACCGAAATTGGCTGACAAGCTCGGATATCCGAGACCACGCGTGGACCACAATGAGGCCAGACAACGGGCGATAAGGCGGTACAAGAGTCCTGGTCAGGAGTAGTTGAATATCTGTAGCGTCGTCATATTTTGTGTTATACGGTGAACAAGTGGGTTATGATCGACCATAATGCATATAATGCGTTTTAGCCGGAAGGCGTTGCTCGCGTGACCGCACCGATTAGGAAAGGCGCCTTCCAAATTTGTGAACCAAGAACGATCACAACAGCATCCATGTCCATGTCCGTCTCCGTATCCGCTCCTACAGTCTACAGTGTAATCATCCGGTAAGTTTATCCCGGAGAAAGTACTTATAATGTGGGGAATCCCATAGTCCTACCCACCACTCACCAGTAACTGTTTACCATGACTGCTTACACAACAAGCTCTGTACACACGCCGCTGCTCTCTCTTCACGAGGCAGACTCCGATCATCCCATCTCGTTCCCATTTGCTCTACGCAATCCAAATTTCGAGGAAGCACCCTTACGAGCACGATTCCACCACACTGGCGTTGTTAACGTGCGGGGCATGGACATCATGTCCTTCTGCACGACCATCACTGCCCCAGGGTTGCGACGAATCGCACGGCAGGTGTGGAAGATGACCATAGACTTCGAAGACATCCGTCCGACGCACGAGGGGCTGGAGCTGGTCTCCACCACCCTCACATCGCTCACATCCTGCACAGACCTCACCCTCCTAGGCTTGCCCTCCGTAGAGAAAGATGGCTGGATCCTCAGGGACACCACGTTCCAACTGGAGCGCTTCGCTACGAACTTATCACCCACTTCTCCGGACGTCCTCGCGTTCCTCGAGGGCCAGTCGCATATCACCGAGCTAAATACGATGTGTCCCCATCCGCACGTCGTGCGGCCGGAAGCGATGCACCAGCCCGTTCCCTTCCCGAACGAGCTAATCCCAGCTCTAAATACCGTGGAATGCCCGGCGCCGTTCCTCGTCTCGCTGCTCTGCCCAGCGCCAGATGTGCGGCCACTCACCAGCTTGCGAGTAGACCTGAGCACACAAAACGCCCAAGTCACGGAGTCTGAGGCGCTCACTGCTCTCGGGACAATCAGTGAGAACGTGGGGAGGCTAAGCCTGCGTCGGAGCATGTGCCGCACTACAGCCATGCCGCGACATGTCGTCGAGCAGAACTTGACCGGCGCTATCGATCAGCTTGCCACAAAGAGTCCATGGAAGAAGCTGAGATTCCTGGAGATGCGCGACGGAATGTACGATCTGGTAAGTCGTCTTACTTTTTCTACTTCAGACATATAGGCATAGTCTTATGACTCTTTGGCAGGGAACCATTCCGAGATTGGCAGGGGTGATTTCGACATGCTTCCCACACATCGAGACACTTGTATGGGCACCGTCTGGTTATCCGGGAGGATCCAGAGTGGTCACTGCATATATCGGATCCATCTTTCTCACTTTCTGTCGCTCCCTTAGACAGTTCGTGTGTTTGGATAATACTTCTGATCCGGAAAACAAGCGATATATGTCGGTGGAGAAACAGTCAGGAGGGAAGATGTCGCAGTCAGAAATAGACGCGAACGATGCGGAGAATATGTGGAGAACAGTGACCATTTAGAAAATCTCAGTTATAGGGTAGATGAGAAATTAATCAATCTGACAAACTTACGCATGCGAGTGGAATAAGAAACAACAGGACACGACGTACATCAGGAGAGACGGTCAGACATATTGGTGAAAGCACACGAGCGGTTTAATCATCTAGGTCAAAATCGGAGTCGTCGTCTTCTCTATTTCCACGAATCTTCTGTCGTACATTCGGATTTGACCCATAGACAATTGCTGGGCCGCTATGATCCTCCTTCTGTATGACGCCTAAAGAAAGGGGGATGAATATATCAGCTATGATCAAGAAGAAGGAACATGCCGCAATTTAAAAGCCTCCACTCCAGCGTCGCGGTCTCGAATTTGTCATTGTTGCCCAACTCCTCAAATCCAACAATTCTGCGAACAGATGAGAAATTGATCTGCAAGAATGAGAGATGGCATACCTATCCTTGGTGACTCCATCAATAAAGCAAACTACGCACGGCAGTACTTTGATGGCCAGTTTCTCGACTAGCCACGGCACATTCTCTACAAATACGCGCAGAAAGCGCGTACCGAAGTATTTAGGCACAAGAGCCTGCAAAACAAACGTTTAGCGCAGTAAAACGTAGGCAAAATCCGAGACATACGGCCAAGTGCTTATCCATGATTTGACATCGTCGAAAGTCGTTATGATAGAAATGAATCACACATCGAGACTCCCTCCTGGAAACATTTAAGAACTGATACAAAAAGGCAGATTACGATAGGAGGCTCACGCGCTTGTCCTGATGACTTCTTTTTCGTCAGTTATTTCATTGTACTGACCATGTCCGCTCGATTTCAAATCCTGTAGTCGCTCCATCCTGCGGAGGGCATATATGTTAACCCACGCACCAACGAACGTAAGCTCAAGAAAGCACCTCACTCTCGCTTGAGTCTCTGGATTCCCTGTTCCCTGAGTTCTACATTGGAGTCATTCTCAATCTCCTCTTCGAGTTGCGCAAAGAGGGCCTCGTCGTCGAGATCGGAATGGTCCCCATCGTCGACATGTTGAGAGCTCGATGCGCTTTGCGTGACCCTAGACTTGAGGGTGGCAATTTTTGAATCGGTACTGGACATTATGGAGACTGTCGGACAAAGTGGTGCTTGCTGGAGCTTTGAGGGGAGTGATAGCCAGGAGTGACGTGCTCTATCGGAGGCTCGTGAATGGCTCCTCCCACGATCGCGTAGATCGCACAGTGATCCGCTTCGCCCATTGAACGCAACCATGAAGCTCATCGGAAAATACATCGACAAGGATGGCTCAGTCTGTGCCCTGTCTCGGCTCGGACGCACTGCACAGAACGCTCATGCTCTAACAGGGCCATGTCACTCTCCGCCCAGAGGATGATGAGGATATGTGGCATCTCTACAACCTCATCCAGGAGGTGCGCCGGTCTCTCATTTATTCCAGCCTCTTAGCTGACAGAATTCCAAGGGCGACGAAGTCCGCGCACCCGCTATTCGTCGTGTGCAGAATGTCTCTGCGACAGGATCAACCGAGTCTCATCGCGTTCGTCTAAATCTTACCCTCACCGTCACCCGCGTCACTTGGTCGCCCTCAACGTCTGCGTCGGGTGATGCGACGACCTCGGCAGACTCCTCTAATATGTCCCAGAACTCGACGGCTTCACTCCAGATCTCGGGTCGGGTTTCGTCCGAGAATCAGCACGTCAAAATGGGCGCGTTTCACACCCTTGATGTAGAGGCTAACAGAGATGTGCGCATTGTGAAATCGGACGGCTGGGACAGCATCGCTCTGGGTCGGGTTAAGGAAAGCTGTGTGCCAGGGAGAGGGGCCGAAGTTGGGGCAGTTGTTTGTGGAGAAGGTGCACATTCTTACAATTTGTTTGGTGTGCCGCGCAACGACTAACGCATGTTCTTCAGGAACTGCAATCTTCTGTCTGCTCTCGGAACATATGACTGTAGTCCTTCAAAGACTCGAGGTTCCAATACCGCGCAAAATTGCTACTGGGTCTTCTGCGCACGAGAAGGTACCCATACCTTCTAGTGCACCCTTGCGTCGGAACTTATTCTCTGGCTTTCAGGGTCTCCAACGTTTCTACACGGCACTTTATGCTTCTTTCCTGAGACACATCCCGTATTCAGCCCCTTCTCTGCGTGCCATTGTGATTGCTTCCCCCGGTTGGGTGCGTGATGCTGTCTTCGACTTTATAATGGCAGAGGCGAGTCGTACAGGAAACAAAACGTTAATGAGCACGCGGAACAAGTTCCTGCGAGTACACGTAAACAGCCCACATGTGCATAGTTTGGTAGAAGTACTGAAGAGTCCAGAGGTATGTCACATCGCGTCTCGTGCAGATGCATTCATGTGAGGTTGGATCCAAGATCGTATCACAACTCAAAGAGACGAAGTTCGCGAGAGAAGGCATCATGCTTGACAGGTCAGTCTCTTCTTAGAATCTGTGTTTCATTGTCGCTTCACTTCGGGGATACCTAGATTTTTCAAGATGCTAGGTGCTGATGAGATGCGCGCATGGTACGGTCCAGATCATGTATCGTTAGCCGCAGACCGAGGGGCTATTGGCACACTGTTAATATCAGACGAATTATTCCGGTATGCTTATTACTTATCGTAGTGTGCACGCTGTTACTGACTTGCTCAGTGCGAGTGACCCGGTATTGCGAAAGAAATATGTGACACTAGTGGAGAGCGTAAGGCAGAGGGGTGGGGAAGTGCTTATATTCTCAAGTATGCACGAATCAGGGCAACGTATGTGCGCTCTTGCTTCTTGGACTATATTCTGATACAGGTTCTCTTCAGAATTAAACCAGTTGACTGGCATTGCAGCAATTTTAACTTATCCGTTAGATGTTGAAGTCGTAGAGGCAGAAGAAAGAGAGGCGAAGGAGGAAGAGGAAAGGAGAAAGGCGGACGACGGTGACGGAGCGGGCGAATAATATCATGAATTTGAGCCTCTCATCATAGTCGCCTTGCCATAGATGTTATTTAGTTCAGATATTGCACCGGCCTAGTAGTAAATAGCTTAAAAACCTGTTCCGTATGGAGGGAGTTGATGAATACAGCGATAGAGCTTCCGAGCAGATATTATTTTATTGAAAATTGTATCGGTCATGAAGCTTGAACGGAGATCCTCTCTTCATAAGCCGCCCAGCCTTCCTTCCTATACCTTTCTGCTTGGGCCTGTATATCCGCGTCGTTCCCTTTCCCATAAATACCCCGGCCCACAATGATCACATCGCATCCACTCTCCAAGACGACCTCCCGAGGAGTTCGATACTGCTGGCCCATACTATCGCCCTTGGCATCCAATCCCACACCAGGAGTGAGAATTAAGAAATCCTCATTGGCAAGATCTGTCGAATCCAGGCCTTCTGCGCCAACGCCATCCATTCGGCGCATGGCGATGAAGCCGATCACAAAATCTCGGTGGGCACGGGCCATCTGAACCGCCTGCGATGTGTACGCGCCACTCGCAAGGGTGCCTTTGCTGCTCATTTCTGCGAGGAGGATCAGCCCTCGTCCGAGAGGTGTTCCAATAGAAGAAAGACCCGTGATAATCCCGGGGCCGGGGATGGGATGCGCGTTGGTGATATGCGACCAACTCGAAATTTTATAAACCCCACTAGAATATTGGAGAGCGACAGTGTTTCCTGCGAACGTACATATTTGTATCAGTTTTATGTAGTAATTTCTACTACAACGATACGCACCGATGTCCGCAAATTTTCTATCTTCAAAAATAAGGAAATCGTGCTTTGCGCTCAGCTCTTTGAGACGGTCAATCATGGAAAATTCGAAATCCTCTATCACATCGACATGGGTCTACAAAGCATGCATCTTAGACTGTGGGGGAGGAGGCCTAGACTATCACTCACCTTCACGAGGCAAATATAAGGGCCCACAACATCTATGATTCTGAGGAAATCGGCCTGCTTTGTGACATCTACGCTGACGCATAGGTTGCTCTTCTTTCGTCCGATTGTCTCAAGTAGGGCTTTCGCCGCGGGATTATGATGATTTTCCGCCCTTTGAGCATAAGTCAACAATCGTGCGGAGGGCATTGAATATTGAAGCCGATCTCAATATGCAGTCCTAGTAACTCTGAGTGATTGGAGCTCGAAGCCTCGGTTCTCCCTTGCCCGGCTTTCAGACAGTCTGTGTCAGGTCCCGGCGATGTTGGAATAGTGCCCAAGTGCATAACATACCCGGCGTATCAAGCAATTGAGTCGCAGGACTTACCGACTCCGAGGTCACTTTTGACCGCATATCTCCGAGTCCGTGCGCCAATCTCAGCTTGCGATTATTCGCGTTCTGTCGCGCCGACTCGAACTCTACGAAGTTGGCCTTTCGCGACTTCGTGACCGTCACTGGGTTTCACGATGTTTACCTCTCCCAAATCGCGTCCAAGACAAGACGACGGCGAAGACGAGCGTTCGCCGAAAAGGACAAGGTTCGATGATGGCGAAGGAGACGAAATAGTTCTAATGGACACCGTCGTCAATATCGAGCCTCCAACCGAGTCTACGGGCAAATCCTCGGAGGGCGAGCCTCAGCAGGAGAGCATGCTACCTCCTAGTCATGCGCTTCTCGGTGCTCCACCACCAGTATACGTCTCGGACGGGTCCATGCAGCGCATTATGGAAACTGACGTTGGGATCTCAGAGTATATTGGGCATGATGTTCCGAAGATCGAGGGGATTATCAAACAACGGTATGAACGGTCATTTTGAACACAAATGACAAGCTAAATTGCATGTTCCTAGGTTCACAGACTTCCTGGTGTACGAAGTCGACTTGGACGGTAATGTGATACATGTCAAATCTCTTTCAAAGCCAGAATCGTCCCCAAAGAAAAAAGAGGAGTTGAATGAGGAGGATACAGCAAAACATGCAAAACACATAATGGAGCAAGACGACGCCACTGCCGGCCCAGCTGCAACTTCACAAGGACCCCTTACACAGAAGGATGGAAGTCTTGTTCCGGAGGCTAGTCAGACAAGCCCCGAGGCCCACGCACAGGGCGAGCAAGATAAGGACACAATAGAAGATGGCCCGTGGCCAGAACGATTTACTTCGACTTTGACTCCATTCCTCGCCGAGGAGACAATCACCAAAATCAAGCACCTGTATCTGGAGGGTCCGGAGCCACCGTTCATGAGCGATAATGGTTGGGGTGGACGCCAGGCTAAGCTTGACGACGTGAACGAGAAAGCAGAGGGACCGAGTACCCCTGCCCCGCCTACAGAATCCCAGGCCGAGTCTGCGCAGCGGGGAAGAGGAAAGCGGGGTAGAGACCGCGGGGGGCGTGGGGGACGCGGGGGGAGAGGTGGCGGAAGAGGCGGGCGACCTGGAGAAAGGGAGGACCACCGTCGAGTGTTGACCGATGTCCGTTTCGCCGTGTTCGCTACTTCCGTGCTGCAATGCAATCTGACACTGTCGGAATCGCCTAGCCCATATCATCCAAGACCACGCGGACCGGTCTGCATCAAGCAATCCGCGACTTATTCGGAGGAAAATTGGACACTGAAACGGACATGAGCGCGCCTGCGACCGATGATGGCTCGCGAATCGTTATCAAGTGGTCTAAGAGGGGCGGTGGACGAGGCGGGGGTAGAGGTGGACGATCAGGTAAGCTGTTCTCATTTACGCTTTGAATACATACTTGAGCTATTTCAAGGGCGAGGAGAGCGATCAGAGCGCGGGGCGTACCCGCCCTACGTCCATTTCACCATGCAAAAGACCAACCGGGACACACAGGACGCTCTGGCTCAGCTCTCACGCGTTCTGCATTGCAATGTCAAAGACCTCTCGGTTGCAGGTACAAAAGATAAGCGTGGTGTCACCGTCCAACGCGTGTCCCTTCGACGAGGAAACAAGACTGTTGAGGATATTTGGAACTTGGCCAATGGGGTCACTGGTCGTCGGACGGTGGAAGATGCTTTATCGCATAGGGGAGAACGCGGAATACGTATCGCGGACTTCAACTACAGGAAGGCTAGCTTGGAGCTCGGAATGCTAAAGGGAAACGCTTTCGTAATTACCTTAAGGTGGTTTCTCTCCTTTGTGCTTCTTTTCACTGTGTTCATTAGTCTTTAGAAATGTCCAAGTTGATTCAATGGAAACTCTGGACAGGGCCATGTCGACGATCAAAGAGAAGGGATTCATCAATTACTATGGTCTGTAACAGTATATTGATTTTCATGCAAGCCTTTTTTGATCGAGTCGTCCCACAGGTATGCAGCGATTTGGGACAGCTGCCATTCCTACCCATTCGATTGGACTTGCCTTATTGAAGTCTGATTGGCACAAAGCTGTCTCTCTCATTCTGTGCACAAGACCGGGCGAGCACCCCGAAGTCGTCGCTGCCCGTAATGCTTGGCTAGTGGACGGCGACTTAGATAAAGCATTGGAGCTCATGCCGAGACGCGTTGTCGCAGAGCGTTGCATCCTGGAGAGCTACAAAAAGCAGAGAGGTGACACTCGGAACGCCATGGGAGCGCTATCGACGGCATGTCCTTCTTTATCGTGACCTTGAGATTCTCCTTATTTGCGCGGATAGATCCCACGAAACTTGCGACTGATGTACATCCATGCATACCAGTCGTATGTGTGGAATGCGATCGTTTCAGAACGTATAAGGATGCACGGCGCAGAGAAAGCGGTCGTTGGCGACCTAGTTTTCGACGCCGCGGACTCGGGAAAGGCAGATGATGAGCTGGAGCCAACATTGGAGTCCGTAGAAGGCGAAGCACTTGTGGATGATAAAGAGGCTGGTTTGTAGTTTTATCGCGCATGCTCGGCCATAGTCCTCAAGCATCATATTGCCTGCAGATAATGACGCGCTCTCTGGAAAGTCTAACAAACGCTCGCGGAAACCTTGGGTGCCGCCGAAAGTGAAGACCCTGACCGCCGAGGATGTGGACAAGTACACAATTTTTGATGTGATTATGCCGTTACCAGGAAGGGATGTGGCCTACCCGGGTGGGGCATTGGGAGAACGATATCAAGAATTCCTCAGAGTCGATGGTCTCGACCCTCATAATTTTGAACGTAAACAAAAGTATGCATGCGGGTTATATATGCACTTCCATGACAATTGGTGATTCATTTTTACTCTAGGGATTATAGTCTGGGAGGTTCGTATCGGAAGATTTTACATCTACCGAAGGAGCTCTCGTGGTCAGTTCTTAGATACACAGACCCAGACGTTGCGCTCGCGCAGGCAGACGAAGACAAGTTGCTCGGCTTCGACCCCCCGACGATTGTCGAGGATGGCAAGTTCATCGCACTGCAAGTGCAGCTCACACTTGGAACGGCGGCCTATGCAACGATGGCACTGCGAGAGGTGACGAAAACGGAAACTAGTTCCCAGTACCAGGCTGGCCTCACGCAAGCGTCCGAAGATCAGAAGTACAAAACCTCTGGTGGTGTTGATGATATCTTGCCCAGATAGTTCACCCCCGAGATTAATCCTTGGATACAAAGAAATTCATCATGATACATTCAAATATAAGAATGCCATTCTCTACTGGGAACGCAATTCATCGACATTCAATCTTCACTTTACAAATAACATGTTGTGCAACAAAGAGCAAACCCGACTCGGAATCCGACGGTCAACAATCGTTGGACGTGCCATCTGTAGAACGAAACTTAGATTACGCCACCGACCTCGGAATAAACTCCGGCTCGAGTCAGTGAGACATGATGCGAGATCTTGCACATAGTGTTGAGACATGGTCCTCGCGTCGAGGCGAACGATTAGCTTTCATACTAAATCCACAGACAACTGTACGCATTATGATTGTATGCATTTTGTTTTATCTCTTATCTCAACGAGCGACGTTGAGCGACGACTGGCTGCCAGCGGACGCGTGTCGTGATGGATCAGTCAGTACATGATCATTGTTTCGGTGACGATGTCCATAAGCAATCTTCTTCTCCAACTCCGGGCACCGCAGGCCGTTGTTAAAGACATTCTTTTTGCTTGAGTTATTCACTCCTCATCAGCTTTGATAGTTGAGCAACGTTGGATCGGCCATGGCGAGCGTCGAGCACATTGTCTTCTTGTCTCTGGTCCTGGACCTCTTCGGTATGCTGCGCCTCCGAGGTATTTGAGCGCGTATCGCGACATTGACTCCCCGGAATTGCGGCAGCGTTCACCATTCCCTTACCTCTGTTTCCTAGAATCATTGAATGGTACACTAAAGTATGTGGTCGCAAGCGGTGTTATTCGGATCTTACTCGACTGACTGGTCGATCGTGCACCAGCGGGAGTCGTCTGACCCGACGGGCTTTCTTTCACGCACTCTAGGTCTGGTGTCTGCCCTTCGAGGCTTCCTTTACCAGCCAGCATCAAACCCTCAACGATGGGATGTGGTATTGCTGGGTGAGTGAGGTGTAGTCGAAGCATGAACATCCCTTAATGCTTCACTGCAGGTGGCCTCATGGGCTCGGTCTTCTCGTGAGTACACCCAGTTGATCCTGCCAGCATGAGTACTGACTTGACCAAGTATGCTCCAATGGTAGGGGAATGCATATGTTTCAGTCTGAAGTTCCTTAACGCGCCGCTACAGGTTTGTTTCGCCACACATCGGGTCTCTGAGTGACAAGTACGGGCGAAAGAGGGTTTTGCTGATCACAATGGCCGGAAACATTCTTTCCGCATTAATGTGCGCGGTTCATTTTCTTATCATATGCTCCTTTTTTATGGTTGTTTGTCTAGATGGGTGACGTCAACGACGTTCGCCTCCTACATGCTCTCCCGCGTTGTTGGCGGTCTGAGTGAGGGGAACGTGCAACTGGCGATGTCAGTCAGATCAGGTTACTTGGAAAGCATATGAAGAACTGACAGTACTAAACCAGTGCCATTCTATCCGATGTAACCACTCCCGCAACTCGTGCAAAGGCACTCGCACACGTGGGCATTGCCTTTGCCATTTGCTTCTGTATTGGTCCACCTATTGGCGCGTACTTCGCTTCACAACCTCTCCCTTCTAGCTTCATTGCGTCAGGATTTGAACTAAATGTCTACGCTACGCCGGCGATGATTACTGTGATACTTCTCGTGCTAGAAACAATATTCCTGGCTGTTGCATTACCGGAAACACGAGGAAAGCGTGCACAGGCAACGTCTTCTGATAAAAGTGACAGCAAGTCTGCCGAGAAAGCTGCTGCTGTCCCGAAAGCGACCCCGGAGCAGCGCCTGGCAGTTCTCAAAACGCTGCGCAGATTGCACTTCCTTTTCCTCGGCCTTTTCTCTGGCGTGGAATTTACGCTGACATTCTTGACATTCGACTGTGAGTGCTGCGCTCCGACACCGGTTCCAGCGTGCTGACTGCGCACTCCTGAAGTGTTCGACTGGAACAATAAACAGAACGGAGCATTGATTGGCTCGATCGGCATTATCAGCGCACTCCTACAAGGAGGCTATGTGCGTCGCGCCATCCCCAAGATCGGCGAGGGCGCCATGGCCCGCCGAGGCATCTCGAGCTGCGCAGTCGGCCTCGTTCTCCTCGCCCTCGTACCGCTCTTCGTGGACCACCGGACTACAACAGCCGTGCGCTTACTGCAGGGTGCTGCGGTGTGCATGGCGTTCACATCTGCGACGGTCGTGAACTCGCTAACGGCGTACGCGTCGCTGCAGTGCGACGAGGGCATCGACGCCGATACAGGCAAGGCGGTCGAAGAGCACCCTGAGCTCGCAAAGGGGAAGGCACTGGGCCAATTCCGGTCGTCCGGACAGCTGGGGCGGGCCATCGGGCCCCTGCTAGGTACGCTCCTATCCGCTTTCCGCTCTTCCCGTGTCCCGCCGCCTGATGTCTAAGCCTCTACATAGCGTGTGCGTCCTATTGGACGTTTGGTCCGTCCTCGACATATGCTCTGAGTGCGGTGGCTATGTTCGCGCTCTCGGCAAATGCGCAGTCGATAGCGAGGGGGGGAACCATCCCTGCTGCGTCATAGCGGTATCGTGTCGGCGTATTATCCCGGGGTTGCCGTCGGAACCCGAGTGGGTTTGCAATGATCATTATGGCCGCAGTCATGCAGCATCACTACAATACGCTCCGTTTGGTCATCTTGGCTCACCAGTCTAAGTTGATTACGCATGGCTGGGTGGTCATCGATGGCAGCTACTTACTCACTGGAATTTTGTTATTGTGTACACCAAGTTGGGGTATACTGCACATGTACATGTCTTGGACTCCTAATTCATATTATGTGTGATTGGCCTCTACTGCGTCCTCCTCGGCATGATCTGTAATTCGATCAGGTCCAACGGACACGAGTATATCGCTGCGGGTTTGAACGCCACGGACCATACCAATTATGTACTGTCTAGCATGGTGTCCATCGATCCCCATGACTTTCCGCCAGCCCGCCGGAACACACATTATTGCTGAGTTGCAAGAGGGGTTGCATTTTGGGTGAATAATTAGATAAGTAGATCTAGGCTAAGTAGTGTGGGCTCTTCTAGCCTGCCAACACCGAGTCTGCCGGGCCAGCCACAAAACAGTAGAGCAATGTCCAGAAACGACCGAAAGTTACGAAAACGAAGTCCGAAAGCGTCGTCACTAGCACTGGGTATCCTGTTGCACCTCCCCTCGTCCCTAACACCCAACTCCCATTAGAAGAAGCATCTATATACGCCAATCTGTAATGGTCTCTTGAGTCTGTGCTATTAATACATTTGTCTTACCAGAAGTGTCACGCAGCATCTATGGCATCGTCATGAGTGTAATGTCGACGATGTGGAGTAGTCCGACAAGCCGGATGAGCTCGCTACTCGACTGTGTGCTTGCACATCTTGTGTCGACAAGAAAGAACCCGTCTCGAGGTCGTGTTGTTTCTCTGGCAATGATGAGCGTCGCATGAGTGACGGTGCTAAACGAGAGCGGGGACGCTCGACGCTCCGCCCGCGCGGGAGTTCAATCTCCTGCGAATGCGTAAACAATGCCGGAAGAAAGAACAACACGCCCCTGCTGCGTCGCATGCGTCTTCGCAGCTGCACTTCTGGCGGTGACTCGGGCGTGCCGAAAAGGGTGGACATCACGCTCCGACTTGCTCGGCGTACAACGTCCAAAGTCGACCTGCCGCTCGGAGGCTGCCATGAGGTTGTCGACACGGCGTCCGAGCTCTCCGAGCCAGTGGGTGAGGTCGAACGTGGGGCGAATGAAAGCGGCAGGAGTTGGACGTCATCTTCATCCGCTTCGGACGTCTCGTCGCTCGGCAGAGATATCGGCGACGACGAATGCATCGGCGTACTTGCGCCTGACGCCGGGAGACCGAACCATCCAAGGTCGAGGTACCATCTGCCATCTCGCATGACCCAGCGCGGCATCATAACCTCATATCCTCCGATTCGTCTCAGGCGGTACTTGCGTGGCTTTACCCTCGGCGCAAGAGCTAGACGGACCACACCTAAGATAAGGACAACCAGACCAACCCACATCAGGCCCTTGCCCCACTTGCCGAGGAAGCCAATGAACGCGGCGTCGTCTGCATGCCAGCTGCTGCCGTAGTAATGCGAGAAAAAGGAATGTGGTGCTTCCTCGGGTTTGGCGTTCTTGCCGTAGAGGGATTTCGGCAAGATGCGAACCTCACCACCCGGCTGCGCGAGCGTGGGTGGGTGAGTGGAGGTATAGAGTCCGTACTGAGCAGAGAGGAACATAGGGCCAGTACTGAACATGACGGTGGGGTAATTGAGAACCCAGCTGTGGTCGAACGCCATGAGGCCATGAATTGTTTGTTCCATGAAGGGATGGCCCGGTTCGGAGAAAATGAGGTCGTTGGAGACACCAACGGGAATGGTTTTGGGAAGAATGACAGGGTAGGTGAGCAGGGCGTCGAGAGGCCGCAGACATCCAATGTCTAGGTCAAGGTAAATACCACCATAGTGGTAGAGAATGAAGTAGCGAATCACGTCGGCGCGCTGTATGGTATACTTATAGCCGTCAAAAGTGTCGAGGAACCAAGGATAATGCTGGGCAATGAACTCTCTCGAACTTGCGTCGGTCCATAGCATATACTCACTGGAAAATGGTCATCAAAACGCTGGATATGAGAACGAGATAACGCACTAGTCAGGCATCATGTCGCGACAGCCCTGAGACACGTTCGCCCATTTTTCCGGGAGAGTTTCAGACTTCCAAGTCTGATGAAGGATACGAGGGATGCGTTCAATTTTTCCGTGTTCCGTGGCATTCCAAGGAGCGGAAGAGTTGAAGGGGGCATCAAGCTCGACCTCGGTCAAGTAGGCCTTGGAGCCGATCGCAAGATAGTAGGATATAGAAGAGAGGACGACGACGGTGCCAACGAGGACGGCGGCAAGGAGGCTGAGGCAAACATACACGGTGCGCCTACGAAACATGGGGAAGGAACGAGGGGAAGGACCGGCAGCGAGAAAGAGGGTGGGTATACTTAGCGGGCGATTGCAGTGCAGACGAGTGCGATCACTCCCGCCGCCACCCCCTTGCCTTTTCCGGATTTATACAGGCACGGGACCCCGTAAAATACAAAGTAAAATACGCAATACTTAAACTTAGTGCCCCCGATTCTCTCACGTCGGCCGCAAAGCACTCTTAAACACGCTCTCTGTCTCCACTCTGAAATATCTCACCGAGCTCAACACAGGCTCGTCATCAAACTTCTCCCCAATGGCTTCCAGCACCGCCGTGCAGTTCTCCCAGTCTTTCCGTGACCAGTCTTGTCCCCGCCGCCAGCCCCGGTCTTCGCTCCGTCGGAGCAGAAATACTCCCAGCGGAGGCGTCGACGCCGGCAGCTCCCTCTTCGACCCCAGATAGTCTACACAATCACACGCGGTCCACATCTCGAACTTCTTTCGGCGAAACCCCGGCGCGTAGCTTGATTGTGAAAGCGGTCCCACGTCCCTCGCCTCCGTGCGAACGCGGAACGCTACCTCCTTTAAAAGAAACGAAAAATGCATAATCGCCTGCAGGTGGAGAGAGTCCAGCGCATGGCTCGGAACATAGTCATCGTGGCCGTTGGCATCGGGCCTCATAAGCGAATTGTCGTCGTCGATATCCATTCCATCGTCATCCACACCAATGGGTGCCACTGTTATCCGCAGGTGCTTCAACTGCTTTGACGGCCGATAACTTGGCGTGTCGTCTTGGGGCCGGAACATCGTCAAATCGACGCCACCTGGTCCAAATATTGCTTTGGCTAGCTCCCTGCTCGACCAGCCGGCCCTAGGCGGCATAATCGTGTAAATTCCTAAAAATTGTAGAAAATCAATGCATAACACGTTTTTCATCGATCGAACAAAGTAGCTCACGGTCCGCTTCACCGTCAATACATAAATTTCTGTCCCCACTGACAAGCACGACATGCGCACCTGCCTGCTGTTGAAAGAACATACAGCAGTCTTTGATCTGAATATCATTCTTGCGCGCCGCGTCCGACACATGCAGATGGCACGTTTCCCGCGATGCTTGCACCTTGACGGTATCACGCTCTTTCATATTGTCCAGAATCCATGATGAAGCTCTACTCGCAAACCACGAGACCCGATTGCCCTTTTTGAGTCTGTAAGAGAATACTAACATAAACCACTGGAAAATAAACGCTCCGTCGTATATTGGAGGGCACATACCCATCTAGTTCGTTCAGGAGGACAGTAGGAATTACGATAATGATTCTCAAATCCGTCCACTTTAATGTCTTTATGTCGTCGTTGAATCGGTCGATTACATCCAAGTGATCAATCATCACATTGGTATCCAGCACTACGAACACTGTCCGCACAGCAGTTGCATCCTACAGAAATGTATGTCCGCATGGGAGACACGGATGTCAGCAACTAGCACAAGCGTACTGTGACCCGCCACAGACCTTCATTTCAACATCCACGTTAGCCGCAGCGATGATACGCTGCAGCGTGACGTCGGCCTCCATGTGCTGAGCATGAGGAGAGCCTGTACGCAGCACCCACCCCAACACGTTGACCTCAATAAATCAACACGTATGCACAGTTACTCGGCATGCACCTGACGCACCGTAAGTCGTCACTGGCGCTGCCACATGAGCTTGAATGGCAGACCAGTGGTTGACTTGTCCCTGCAAAAAATTGACGTCAGCAGACATGAAGATCAAGACTCACCACCACTAGAAGCTTGAAATAATATCGAGTAGAGGGATAGGTAAAGGAAACAAATGATGGTGCGGACACTGAGTTGTGTGTCGAGTTGTAGCCACAGACACCCAACGGCAGGGCTGCTTCAAGACTCGCAATCGGAAGTACTTACTGGCAATCGGAATCTACGACACGTGCGCGCGAGCTCCTTGTCATGATCTTGAACGTTGGTCACGATGAGCTGCTGCCAGTTACAGTAGGCACATTATTATACACCTCCAGCACCGCACTGCTCTGTAGTAAGATACTTCGAGACAAAAGAACGGAAGAGTATGAATCCTCTTTCGTAGCACGCAAGCTGATGATGGCACAAGAGCACCGCGCAACTATCACCGCATCTGCCAGAAGTTTAATAGAATGTCATTCAGTGCCATGCTGTGATATTACATTGCAAAGATTACTGAAGAATAAAAATGGATAATGCAAGATACCCTGTCCATATACATCAGATCATACATACTTACGCTGAGACGGCCAGTTTTTTCGTTGGGGGCTCGCCTCGCATAGTCTCTAGCGACGAATTGGATGCATCATCGTCAGCCTTACGCTTCATTCCCATTGGTGTTGTCGGCGACGGCGAATTCGCCTTCCTCTGCTCCCCACTGAATGAAAGGGACACCTTTGGGGGCGTCCGCAATATCTGTTTCTCAGGAGTTTGCGAACGACTACGACTCGACGACACCTCATTCCGAAGTCGCACCGCAAGCGTAGACTTAGATGCTGTCGCTTCCGCATGACATGTCGCATGATATATCTAAGAGACGGTTGGATAAGAAAAAGTCTGGTAACAATGAGACCGCAATTCTACATACCTTGTCATCGCGTCTGACAGCGTTCCGCCACACCCACTCTTCATCATCTTCCAGGAATTCCGACTTCAGGATTTCCTTACAAATGGGACATGATATAGGTTTCGCCTCATCACCCGGAGGAACTACCACGAAAAGTGCTCGAAGTTCGGCCTCACGCTTAGCCGCCTCTGCGGCAGCAGCTGCACTTGAATTTATTTTACGACCATCCGCACGGCCCTTGCCTTTAATATCAATCGACCCATCATGAACCCAATCCTATGCGTCGTCGTCGTCAATATTAGAAACAGAAGAGGTACAGTGAAAACTCACCTCCACGCTGATAAACCAACTGCGACTGTATCCTCGACTTACCGCCTGGCTCGCTTTCCTATTCTGCCGAAAATGCATGTCTAGGTGACCCTCCATGGTCTTCCTGCCCTTGGGTCCGTCGGGGAAACGAACACCGCATTGCTTACACTGTACGGGTAATCGCTTGTAGAGTAGACTGGCCACGTTGAGCCGTTGCCTTAAGGTCTGCGATGAGCGAGCGGTCGGATAGGAACAATGGATCACACACACCTTACAATATCAGCACTAGTCAGCTTTAGCTTATTAGCTAGAATTGTCTTCCTGTAGACTTTAGCAACCTCCTTCTCAGGATCTGGGGGCGCAGGCGCAGCGGCCTCCTCCGTCTTAGCTATTGTACCTGCACCGGTAGGCGTACCGGAAGTAGATAGTACACCTGTCCTGACAAGAGCATTGAACAAGTTCGCGATATTACTCGCGGGCGCAGACGGTGCTGAGACGGTAGCAGAAACCGACGAAGCAGCGGTTGGTTGAGGGACCAGCAAGCTGAAGTCAACCGGTTCAGTCTTGGAAACACTAAAGGAAGCTGTTGGGTAGGCTGGCTGCGAAGGATACATAGTCTGATCTATCGGAGTAGGGTAGCTTGGCGGAGATACAGAATATGACGCAGTGGAGTACGACTGTGGTACAGGCGCAGGAACAGGCGGCGGAGATGACGAAGCAGGCTGAGCGAGGCTGCGCAATTGAGTAAGTATCTGGTTAAGCTCTTCTTGTGAGACCCCCGCTTGCACTAGCTTTCGTAGCTGAAACGTGGATTGAGTACCGTTGCAATTAGGCAAGCTGAAAAACTACCCACCTGTTGCAGAACGGCAACATGATTCTGAGCGAGCTTGTCGTATGGATTTGCCTGCAAAGTTCGTTCTTTCTGGCTGAGGACGAATTCAAGTTCACTGAGGACTTGCGCTGTTGATATTGATGATGACCCGCCGGATCTACTTGATGACTATGGGGGATCAGGTACTGTTGACATTCATGCACAATAAGCCACTCACAGCAGTCATTGTAGTATCTCCTCCCCAAATGTGACGTTCGATCGCGACCTGTGGAACGACACCAAATAATTCGCGTCCATTAGGCGCCCCAGTGCGCCAAGTCAGGAGCATTTCCTCCATTTTACTGCGCGTGCTCGGGTCGACCTGCTCATACGTGTCGATGAAGAGCGTGACGACGAGAGGCGTAAAACATCTAGCATAAGGATCGAAGACATTCTTGGACATTGCATCGAGAAGGTAGAACGCGGGTAACTTCATCCAAAGTGGCACCTGATAGAAGAACCGCCATAACAAGCGCGCGATTAGTCAGCATTCCATGGGACGAAGAGAATCAGAGCATAAGGAAAATAGAAAGACAAGAGAGTTCTCAAAACCCTGAAGGCCTTGCATGGGCGCAGTTGCAGTCGCCAGGGCCAGGGGAAGCCCTTTGAACCAACTGAGTGCTCTTTGCTCATGCTGAAGACTACTACATACATGAATAACAATGTACTACTACGCTGACCATTCCAGACCAGCCAAAACCATCAAGCACATATGCCATAGCCGTTCGTGAGTGAATGAGAAAGAATACAAAAACTCACCCTGCGTATATGCATTTCAATGCATTGGGCAACAATCTCCGCATACCGAGAATACTCTTGGGCAATCATGGATAGATTCTGAATAATCGGCCTAGAATTGACAGTCAAATCAGCTAACCGCGTCGTATAATCGCGACGAAATGTCTGCGGGTCGACATGGAAAGTAGGCTGGACTGGCGGAGGGTAGTGGTAGCTCGTCGGTGGTATCAACGGCTGACCGTAACCTTGAGCGGGATATGGTGGAGAATTGAACACCTGGGTGTGGGGCTGAGGATAGAGGGACATGGCGCGTCGACTCAAATGACCAGAGCTGTCGCGAACAAAAGTGTGCGATGCAGTGTATGATCTCAACGTGGGTCCCAAAACCGTCCAAGAACACGAGAGAAGCTGAAGGCTGTTCGAAGTGAGAAGAAGAGGATGCTTTTACAGCGAATCTTTCACAACTGTCTCACACAGCGCGCTGCAAAACGTGGACACCGAATGTACACACAAGGAGATGGTGGTCGATGATAAAGCCTGACGAACGCTGGCCCGGACGAGGTGGGACAATGAGGCCGTTTATAACTCCGCCTGAATGTTAGACAGGGCGCCACAACCGGTACGAACCGGATGGCTACATTAGGCTCGTTCCCAGTACACTCACAATCCCGAATAGGCCACGATTAGGCGCCGTCATCGAGAGATCTCTCTACAGCCACGAAGCCCGCGTTCGCCCACTCCTCCTCAAGACTACAAGGTAAGTTATTTATGTGCTGATTGTTGATTACGGTGTCCCAGAACTTCCAGAGGTATCATTTCGTGTTTAAAATCGCTGGAACGTTGGGAAAGAGATGGATTCATCTGCTTGTCTATGGATGTACACGAGCCGAAGCGCTGACTTGTTTCGTCAAGATGAAGGACGTTGTCAAGACCGAAGAGCTCAGCATTCCTGAGGGGGTTGATGTCTCCATCAAGGCTCGCCTCATCACCGTCAAAGGTCCTCGAGGGACACTGACAAAGAACGTCCGACATATCGACATGGATATCCGGTTGCTCAAGGGCAAAGAGAACAAAGTTAGCTTAGTAGTGTGGCAAGGTGGCAGAAAACACGTAGCCTGTCTCCGCACCATCAAGAGTCTCATTGTGAATATGATCACCGGTGTTACGAAGGTATGTACCCAGAATAGTGCTATATTTCGATGTGATATGTAGCTCGTGCACATAGGGCTTCCAATACAAAATGCGCGCTGTATACGCCCACTTCCCAATAAACTGTATCATCCAAGAGAGTGGCAGCGCATTGGAGATCCGTAACTTCTTGGGAGAGAAGGTATGTCGTGCTCACTACCAAATTGCAATGGCTCATGTTCCGCAGATTGTGCGACACGTCAACATGTTGGACGGTGTCACAGTCTCGGAATCTAAGGCACAAAAAGATGAGCTGATCCTTGAGGGTAACGATGTGCAAAATGTTTCACAGTCAGGTACGAATCGTGTAGCCGACTTACACAGCTGATGGGTATATACTGACGAACTGTATCTTTAGCCGCCTCCATCCAGGGTGTGTGTCGCGTACGGAACAAGGATATCCGGAAATTCCTTGATGGTATTTATGTGTCAGACAAGGGTACTGTCATACAAGAGTGATTGGTTATCCCCTTATGCTTCATGAGTGGTTGCATTGTGTTACCAAAATTTACATGTTGTCGAACGCTATGGCCAATATGACCCGTCTCATACTCTCACATCAGCTGTGAATCTGAAAGACCTCGATTCGCCTTACGTACATGAGCTCACGATATGAAAGGAATCTTAGTTCCAACTCTACTACGGTATTGTATGTATTCTTGCCCGAAGAATCGTATGAGATAACCCTCTTCACCTGCCCCACTCGTGCATCAGTAGTCGCAACTTGGACGACACGGTTGGACAACGCACCACGAATACGATGGTAAAAGAATCGCCATAATACAACAAGGAACGCAACAAAGCTCACCGGGTTCAGCATTACAAGTTGTGTGCCAAGGGCCCAGTAAAAGAAGCCTGCATAAGAGGGATGGCGAAACCATCTCGTTGTAAATCGGAAGTAAGCAAAAGCCTCTGCCCAAGCTAAGTAGAGAGAAAATTACCTATATACTCCGCCAGTTACAAGGACATGCGAGTCTAATTTCCGCAGTGCAATGGCATGAGAGAAATTGGATGCTGCATGAATCATGGCAGTGGATCGCAGAATTTGGCCGATGAGAACGAGAAGCATGCCTGTGGCGATGCATAAGTAGGGCACAATATACAACGAAAAGCTCACCCACCGGCATAAGAGACGCGAGGATAGTTCTTGAATGCCGGCTTGAAGTACAAGGTAATCAGGTATTCGAGCAGAGCCACACCATGCGCTATATGATACGTCATCCCGTTCTCGAGAAGGAATGCTGGAGGGAGGAGTTCATGGTGCAAACTTGTCTAGCATAGACGAGTTTACTTACAGTCAATGCTACATTTGTCCTTGTTCCACCCCGCGGTAACAGCAAATTCGCCCCAGTGGAACGCTGACCATGCAGCAAAGAAAAATCCTAGTTGATATGTCGTCCACCAGAAGCGCTCGAAGCCTCCAACAGCAAATGTCAAGAATCCAAGGACGAATAAGGATCCAAGCAAGAACGACACGGCGGACGCAGCCAAAGGCGTATTTGGGATTACCCCACGCGGCTTCAAGGAAGGATCCGTTGGTACAGTATCAAGAGGATGCGGGGCAGCCATAGTGCGTTTACGGAGACGTTCATCAAAGCCGTCGAGGTCTGCTTTTGCAGACATGAAAGAGACAAGTTTGTTGTGAACAAAACATTGGGCCAACAATAAGATGGTTTCCGGGCGTCAAGCGCCTGGTATTCTGATCAGTTGCGCGTGCGCCCTGCTCGTGTCGTGCGCATGCAGCGCGGGCGCCTATGTACAACCTGCAGCCACTGGCAGTTCAACTTGCCAGAGTCGTCATTCGTTTGTTATCATAGACTCATTGGCGTAGCTCATGCTGTCATGTTTGCCCTCAATACCGTGCATAATCAGACGAAATATCTTTCAAGATGCTTGCAGGCGAGGTTTTGCTAGTGCTGTGGAATCTAATGCCTGCAAACTTCGGAACATGGCTTTGGTAGCCCATATAGGTGAGTTAGGAATATTTCGCGCTCGTTTGCCTCTAAAATATTAAAATAGATTCCGGAAAGACGACACTAACAGAATCAGTTCTTCTCAAATCTTCATACCTGTCCACAGCCGGTACTGTCGACACAGGAAGCACGACGACCGACTTCTTGCCAGCAGAACGTGAGCGGGGTATCACCATTCAATCTGCAAGTATTCCTGTGAAATGGAGGGATTGGACTTTCAACTTGATTGATACACCTGGGCACGCAGATTTCGGTATGGAGGTTGAGAGTGCTAGCAGAGTTATTGACGGTGCAGTAGTCTTACTGGACTCTGTGGAAGGCGTCGAAGCCCAAACGAAGGGCGTTTGGACGCAGTTGGATAGGTAAGCCATACACCTAGGTGAGGGTTGTATTAGGATTAGCTGTGGACTTATCGGAACGACTTTCGGACAGATACGGTGTGCGATCCCGGCTGATGTTCCTCAATAAACTCGATCGAGCGGGAGCTTCGTTCTCTCATTCCATAGCATCTCTTTTGACCAACCGCCTACACCCAAACCCTGTCACCCTGGTACTTCCTATTGCCTCGTTCAATCCTGAGGACTACACTCGTGCCGAACCGGGCGTGCAAGGGCTAATTGATCTCGTCCACTGGGAAATGTGGAAGTGGGACGAGGATGGAGAAATGTCTCGTCATCAGCTCCCTCAAAGTATCTCGGATCTAGAACGGTCAGGCCTCATTCATCCCACCCATCCTATCCTGCCTCATCTACTTCCGGCTCGCACAAGTCTACTGGACAGCTTATCCATGTTTTCCGAGGAATTTATGGAGGTTTTGCTAGGGCTGTCACCTGAACCGTCCTCATATCTCACAGTAACAGCAGACAAAATACTGCCCCACTTGCGTAAGGCAACTATCCGCAGTGATGTTCTGCCTGTAGTTTGCGGGTCCGCATTCAAACACATCGGAACTGAGTTGGTTATGAACTATGTAGGAGAATTGTTTCCAAACCCCATGGATGTGATTGAAGCAGTTCCACAAACGAATGCACCATTGCGCATGCTGGCTTGGAAGGTGACTTGGGACAAGCGGAAGGGTTGGATGACATTCGTTCGTGTCTATTCTGGTGCGTCGATTGTGTCGACATTTGTCTTCGGCTGACGTGTACAACTAGGTACACTTACGCGTCAAAGTACTATTTTCAACTCTACACGCAACCAACGCGAACGGGTATCGAAAATTCTTCTCCTCTATGCGTCTGAAGCGGAGGACGTGGAAAGCCTCTCATTTGGCTCTGTTGGTGTCATCCTGGGCTTGAAATATACTCGTACGGGCGACACGCTGTTGTCCACAAACCGCTCATCCCAGTCAACGTCTCTGCGAGATATTGTGCCACCTCCGCCAGTCATGTCAATGTCGGTAATCCCACATTCTCATTCCGACTTGCAACCTGTGCAAGATGCCTTGGAATCTCTTGCCCGCACGGATCCATCCGTCCGTGTCGAGACCCAAGAAGGTCAGATCCTCGTCCATGGTCTCGGCTCATTGCATCTAGAGATAGTTGAGAGCAGACTAAAGAATGAGTGGGACGTTCAGTTCGAGCTTGGGCGACGAAGAGTCAGCTACCGAGAAGGTTTGGGACCCAATGATCCCCGACCGGTGCAGAACACGTGGTCCACGGATATTGGAGGCAAATCCATTGCCGTGACAATTGATTTCGCTCTGAGGGCTCTCGAGGAGCACGAAGAAGGCAACCCTGCCTGGGATGGAAACATAGTGACCGATCAAACTGGCGAACTCATTCGTTCACCAGACGCGTTCAATGACCCCCTCGATCCGATGGCCAGTATAGCACGTGGAATCTTCAACACGCTCTCAAATTCCCCTCATACGTCCCTGGGTCTTTCCCACATCTGCGTGCAAGTTAAAGGATACAAGGTACACGCCGAACATGCTCCGTCGTCAGTGCTTGCTGGTGGTAGCGCAGTGCTTCTCCGGGATTGTATACGCAGTGCCGGAATGGGGCCTCTAATGGAACCCTTCATCCGCCTGAAAGTCATTGTAAACGAGGACTCCGTCGGCAAGGTGGTCAAGGACATCACCGAACACGGCGGTGAAGTGCGAGATCTAGCTTCAGGTTCAGGAAGCTCTGCCGATGTTGAAGAAGATCTGGAGCCATATCCCCATGACAGCGTATACATTCCTGCACAGGAATTGTCTCCATCCGCTTTTCATTCATCGCAAGGTGATGCCTCATCTTCTCGATTCAAACGATCCATATTCGCCGTCGCACCTCTGAGTCGCATGCTTGATTTCTCCAGTCGCTTGCGCGCATTGTCTGGGGGGCATGGCTTGTTTGAGATGGCCAATGTGGGTTTTCGACAAGTCTCAGAATTGAGGAAGATGGAGATCTTGCGCGAGATAGGGCGGGCATAATCGTGGTACAACTGTGTCCAGTTCTGCACTATCCTATAATTCTCTAGTCTCATCTGCGTCTCCAAAGAACACTGCTCCTTCTATTTCGTCATCATCTTCAATCATTCCTCCCTGGCCTTGACCGACGGACTGGAGAATTTGACTGAATAATATCATGCCCCCGTCGTCGCTATCGCTATCCTCGGCCATGGCTTCATGAAATAGAGGCACTGGGGGCAAATTTTTATGGACTGATACTGGCGCGGGAGTCACACTCCTCTCTCTGTCATATTCTGGCAGAAAGAGTGGCGTGCGAGCTCTTTGAGCTTGGCCACCACCGGGGAAGAAATCAGAGGGTGCGATGCTTGGTGCTCTAGAACCCGGCATGGGAGCTGTAGATGTACCTTGTGAAAGCGCAACCGATGCCGACCGTAGCGGGGGATAGGGCTCAACGATCACACAAAGGCATCGTCCATGTACATTGAATCCATGGTATTTGAGCTGGAGCATTAGCTTCGTCTTATCTTCCTCCGGTTTGCCTGGAGGTTCCGGTACATGGGTCGATGCAGCTGCCGATGGAGCACCTTGTGCATCGTCCCTAAGAGAGAGAGTAGGCTCAGTGTTTTCTTCCTTCACTGTGACAGTTGTCGATACATCATCGGATGCGTCCATCGCAATGGTATCGGTGTCATTGACTGGGGCATCGGCAAGCCCGCTGGTTTCTGGGAGCTGAGCAGAGCCAGTTTGCTCCACAACGTCCATCTCGATATCTGAGTCCACGTGTGCCTCCGGAGTAACCACCTCTTCGTCATTGTTTTGCTCTTTGTAGTCTGCCACTTGCTTTATTGTACGTGCAGATCGTCTCAGAGCAGCAGCCGACCCAGCAGCCATGGGAGAGGCGAGCTGAACTTCGCCATCTTCATCGTCTGAAATGGCAATGGTCTCATCCTCGTCAGTATCTTTAGCTCTTTGCTTGCCCTTCGTCTTCGGCTTCTTGCTCCGCTTTGACGCTGCCACGGTCTTTCTTTGACCTCGCTTCTTCCCTTTCCGAGGCGAAGGCGACCGCTCACGCACGGCCGCTTCTGATGGACCAGGTGCGGGAACGAAGTTTCGTGTCTACATTCCATGAACACCCACGCACCCACGCATGAGTGACTTGTGAATTTGCATACCTTGACTAGCACGGCATGTTCATCCGTGTTGCGAAGGAAATATCCGAATTGATAGGTGTCTGAGGCAGCGAAAATGAATAAAGATATTCATAAACTATGCTTGGTATTAAATGGACACGCACCGCCGCGATAGACTTCGACACTTCCTCTCTTGGCATTCGTAGGGCCTCCCGGGCCAAGACGTGCATCCGCCTCCTTTCTGAGTTTGGGAACAATTCTGTGTGTACACTTAGAAGTTGGCATCGGTGCAGCCGTAGATTCTTCAAGGGAAAAGGCCACTGACCGTGGGCGTAGGTCTTCCAGCACATGCTGAAGGACTCTCTCAGACATCCAGTCAATATGACGTTCATCCAAGTAGAGCTTCCCAGGATACAACTCGTAAGTGCCCAACGGAGAAAATGTGAGAAGGGAAAGTCTCACGTAGAGGGGTAGGATTGTATGCTCGGATATTCGCAAGTAGTACGTGTTCCGTGGACCAAATCGCATATTCGCAAGAACAAACCACTTAGTTTTGTGCGAGAGATAAAATTGATAGCTCGGACGCTTTGAACGGGCACTCCGAATGAAATACAGGCCACAATCATGTACGACGTCGACTCAAAGAGCACCAGTGCCTCGGCGCCCTCAGTAGATACCCGTGCGCTCGCCTTGACACGACCTCGTGATCGAACAGCACTTTACACGCGCCCAATCTATTTAACCACTTAGCGTAATGCATTGAATGACAATTGTACACAGTATATAGTCGGTTACAAGTTTTCTGTCAGTTATTTTGCGTATCCTATCCAATTCATTCATCGTCTCCGAACTTCGGGCAGAATCAGAGGTCACTAAGCGACACGTCAGGACCCGAGATGACTGCCTTGATGACTGCCTTGCCATCAGGACTCTTGCCTGCCCTTGTTGTCTGGAATGCCTCAATCGCTTGATCAAAAGAGAATCTGCACGAAAGACCGGAGCTCAGCATTCTTCTATTGAGGAGAAATCTACACATAGGACAAACCTGTGGGTGATGATGGACTTCAGATCAATCTTGCCAGAGCCTGCAAGAGCAACAGAGAGAGCGTAGTCTCCAGGTCCGTATCGGAATGAACCCTTAAAGTCGATCTCCTTCGTGAGGAGCGTCGTGACAGGGATGACGATCTCTGGGCTGCCCATGCCGAGCTACGCGAGCACGAATAAATCAGTTCCGCGGATATTAGGACAAACATCCGCATGATTTACTTGAACAAATGTACCTCCCATCTTAGCGATGATAATTCCAGTTTGAATCGACACTTCAGCACCGCTCGCATCCACAACGAGGTCGATCGAATTCGGCCCGCGCTCCTCAATCCCGAGGTCCTCCGTCATCTTCTTCGCGTTTCGCTCCGAATACCGCATACGCGCCTCGCCGGGCTCCATCTTGGGAGGGACAAATGTTTCCGTCGCAGCGAAACCCTTTGCGAACTCGAGTCGTGCGGGAACGATATCGATTGCAATGACACGACGCGCGCCAAGTGCTTTTGCGACTGCCATACACAGCAGACCAACGGGACCAGCGCCAAAGACCGCGACTGACTGGTTGGAGCGGAGGCCGGCGATGTTAGCAACCGCGTGAACAGCAACTGAAAGAGGCTCCATCTATATAGAATGGAATTAGATCGAGATATTAACATCCGCGGGCAGACACACCATAGCACCCTCCTCCAAAGTAAGGTGATCGGGGAGCTTATAGCAGAGATCTGAAGGAATAGGATAGAATCGCGCCAAAGTACCATCGTAGGGTGGAGTAGCAGCGAAGACAATATCGGCGCACAGCTAAATTTGCTCTTTCAAGTTCTTTGCATTGGTGATCAGATGGACCTGCGCACCTCGTAACGGCCACTCTTGCAAGCGTCGCACGTACGACAAGTTGCACCTGGTTCCATTGCGACACGGTCACCAACTTTCAACGACTTTACCTTTCTACCGACTGGTTCGAGGGTGCATTGTTATTGTACAGCAAATGCACTCGATAAATGCGGTAGTACCTTTCGACACAATGCCGGAGGATTCATGCCCGAGCACCTGATGAATAGTGAGGATACAGTAGTTGCACCAGGCGGTAAGGTTTTACCATGGGCTTCTCCACGACGAATTGCGCGATGCGTCCCTCCACGAGATAGTGGACCTGGACCACATAGGTTCAAACGTTGATTGGGGCGGGGTGGGTCAGTATCAACGTACATCGGAACCGCAGATACCTTGATTGCTGTTGATAAGACAATTTTGCAGTCATAAAAAACATACAACATACCGGTCTTTTTCACCGCGACGAGTACCTCGTCGTCAGCAACTATCAGCGGATGGTGAGCATATAACCAGACAGAAGGAGCAGGGGATTGAGATCTCACTCTCAGGAATAGGTCTCTGCTCGTAGACAACATCTTCAACGCCGCGCAAGACAAAGGAGGGATTATCAGACATGGTGATGAAGCAGATGCTGGTGGGTCAAAAGCTCGAATGAGACTGGCCCAGGGGCTTATGAAGGGACGAGCGGGCTGAGCTGAGCGGGGCCATTCCGGACCGGGGGCATGCGCCTGGCCTTTGGGGAGGGCATATGATGCTGGATCAACGTTGTTTTGATAAGTCGAGTGGTGAACAGTTCAAGCTGGGATGCGGCTAGCCATGGGTACCGGGCGGAAGAGATTGGTGGCATGAGGACACTCACGCACGACGTTCAGGGTGTACATAAAACGCGTGGACTTTTCCAGATGGTGGATTCGTAGACTTCCTTGCCATCGTATTTGGATTTCTAGCCTAGACCCCGAGGATTCGAAATGAACATTAAGGCCACATGAGAGACGGAAGAGATCATGTGTGCGCTCAAAGGCGGCCCCGAATCGTGGCTTGGATGGCCGGCGTCGGTCGAGGGCGATGTCGGACGTCGTGTCTCATGTCTCTTCCAAGTCGTAAAAAGCCCCGAGCCGACTTCGCTGAATTCACAGCGACTCAATCCACTGACCCAGCTCATTGTATGCACTTCGAGTCTCGATGGCTGCCGGGGACGTGGTGCACGTAATCGAACACGCTGTGCTCGCCATCGATAGACCGATATGTCGTGAACAGACCCGCAGGCTGTATTATGCCCACACATCGAACGATAGGGCTGTCGCTTGCGAGTCTCACTTACCTGATTCGCTGGGAATTTCTCGTCTGGGGTAGCCGCTAGTGGCATATCAAATTCTCAGCGTGCGAACATATAAGGCCCTCATCGCACCATCCCGCTCCTCCCTCCATCTCCCTGCCCTCACCATCTCCTGTCTCCCTCATCGACTTTTGAAAATGGTTGCATCCAGCGTACTTGGCTTCCCTCGCATCGGTCAGTTTTTTCGCTGTCTCCTTAACGCGTCGCACTGAGTTCTCTTGCCTTCCTGCCTAGGTGCGAACCGTGAGGTAAAAAAGGCCGTCGAAGCTTACTGGGCGGGCAAGATTTCTGCCGATGAGCTCACCAAGGCCGCTGCCGACGTGAAGAAGACCAGCTGGACCAGTCTCAAGGAAAGGGGTGTCGCCCTCATTCCTAGGTATCTACATCCGCTTCATTTAGGCGTTTCATCATGATTATCAATGTAACATTTTCCCAGCGGTGACTTTTCCCTCTACGACCATGTTCTGGATCACTCCGCCGCATTCAATGTCATCCCCAAGCGATACCTCGGCCATAACCTATCGCCGCTTGATGTCTACTTTGCCATGGGCCGCGGCCGTCAGGCTGATGGCGTTGACGTTCCTGCCTCTGAGATGAAGAAGTGGTGAGTTGTCGATCGCATTCTATTATAGTGTCCATGAGTTACCTAGAATAGATACTAATCATAATGTCATTTTTCCAGGTTTGACTCTAACTACCACTTCGTCGTGCCTGAGTTCGCAGAGGACACTGAGTTCAAGCTCAACTTCAACAAGGCGCTCGAGGAGTACAATGAGGCCAAGGCTCTTGGTGTCGTGACCCGTCCCGTTGTACTCGGTCCAGTGTCGTTCCTTGCCCTTGGTAAGGCTGCCAAGGAAGCAAAGCCTGGTTTCGAGCCCATTTCTCTCTTGCCAAAGGTCCTGCCCGTTTACAAACAGCTTCTTGCTGATCTTAAGGCCGCTGGGGCTGAGTGGGTCCAAATCGACGAGCCTGTTCTCGTTCTCGACTCTGCGGCCTACCTTGAGAAGCAGTACATTTCTGCGTACGAGGAGCTGGTCCCGGCCTCTCCGAAGATCTTGCTCGCGACATACTACGGCCGTCTCGACTCTAACCTCTCATTTGTCGCTAAGCTCCCCGTCGCTGGTCTACACATTGACCTCGACCGTGCGCCTAAGCAGCTCGACGAGGTAATTGCTGCCGTGAAACCCACTCCCATTGTGCTGTCTCTTGGTATTGTTTCTGGCCGGAATATCTGGAAGGCCGACCTCCAGGCTGGCATCGCACTGGGTCAGAAGGCTGTCTCCGTCCTTGGACAGGAGCGTGTCATTGCTGCCACATCTTCTTCACTTTTGCACACTCCGGTTACTCTTGCAGCGGAGAACAAATTGACTGCCGCCCAAAAGGATTGGTTCTCATTTGCTCTCGAGAAGGCGAGCGAGGTCTTTGTCCTCGCGGCTACCCTCTCTGGCTCTCAGGATGCGAACGTTGCCAGCGCTCTTGCTGCCAACAGGGAGTCTATCGCTAAGCGTCGCGAGTTTGAGCGTACATCTGATGATGCTGTCAGGAAGCGCGTTGCTTCCATCACTCCCGATATGTTGAATCGCAAGAGCCCCTTCACTGTTCGCAAAGCGGTTCAGGCCAAGTACCTTGACTTGCCGAAGTTCCCCACGACTACTATTGGTTCATTCCCTGTAGGTTCCGTGATTATTTTTAAAATAATTGATTCTTATTTTTGGTCACAGCAAACCAAGGAGATTCGTGCAGCCCGTGCCAAGCTCAACAAGAAAGAGATTACGCAGGCTGAATACGAGGACTTCATCAAGAAGGAGATTGAGTACGTTGTTCGCTTCCAGGAGCGCATTGGTCTCGACCTTCTCGTCCACGGTGAACCCGAGCGTAATGACATGGTTCAGTACTTCGGGGAGCAGCTCGAAGGCTTTGTGTTCACCCAGAACGGCTGGGTGCAGAGCTACGGTTCTCGTTACGTGCGCCCGCCCATCATCGTCTCGGACGTCATCCGCCCGGGCCCAATGACAGTCAAGTGGAGCAGCTATGCTCAGAGCCTCACGCAGAAGCCAATGAAGGGCATGTTGACGGGTCCTGTTACTATCCTCAACTGGTCCTTCCCTCGTGCCGATGTCTCCCGCGAGCTACAATGTATGCAGCTTGCTCTTGCTCTCCGCGATGAGGTCGTGGATCTCGAGAAGGCCGGCATCAAGGCGGTGCAGGTTGATGAACCTGCCCTTCGTGAGGGTGTAAGCGATCTTCTTGACGTCGAAGATTAGTTTACTTATCGCTTAATCTTAGCTCCCTCTCCGTAAGGCCGACTGGGAGCCGTACCTGAAGTGGGCTCTTCCCTCGTTCAAGTTGGCCACTGCTGGTGTTACCGATAGTCTGCAAACCCATTCGCACTTCTGCTACTCCGACTTCGACGATATCTTCCCGTCTATTCAGGCTTTGGATGCGGATGTCATCTCCATCGAGGCGTCAAAGAGCGACATGAAGCTCTTGAAGACCTTTAAGCAGTACGGTTACTCAAACCAGATTGGTCCCGGTGTGTACGATATTCACTCCCCTCGTGTTCCGGGCGAGCAGGAGATCAAGGATCGTGTTGCGGCTATGTTGGAGATTCTTCCGGACGAGCTGCTCTTCGTCAACCCTGTACGTGAAGTTGTCTTCACCGTGTCTTCCTTGATTATTGACAAGATGTTTATTCTAGGACTGTGGTCTGAAGACCCGTGGCTGGAAGGAGACCGAGGCTTCCCTTGTGAACCTCGTTAACGCTGCACGCTGGGCCCGTCAGACCCACGCTTGATTGCACTCTCTTTCCGCTTCAACAGCGACCGTGATGTGGTTTCTGCGATAGATCCGCGCGCGCTCTCAACGACGCAGCGCTGTGCTCGTAACCCAGGGTAGTTGTGAAGACGAAAAATCGCCGGGCAAGAGGACGCCCAGCGATGCCTCAGGCACGTCGGTCTCAGCTGGTTGGTCTGGAGAGACGAGAGGACCTGCTGGGCCTGGCGCAGATGGGGTAGCATAGATATATGTATCGTGCATGGATGTTAGTATTTGGATTTCAACAATCCCAAATGAAAGGCGCTTCAACGGCGCGGCTGATGATGTCTCAAGGACTGGTGTGATGTGCAGAGATATTCTGTTATTGCAAGCATATATGGAACGAAGTTACAGTAGTGTATATAGAATGAAGAAAATAATGCAGAAACCAGTAACAATATGAATGCATAATTTACAGGGCCAACATACCAATGCTGACGAGAAAGAGTTAGGAGAATCCATATGCTACATATAATAGATGAGACATAAGCATACTCAGTTGAATAGATGGAATGTCATTGCGATTCTTTGGCCGGGAAAGTACTTGTGTCTCCGATCCCAAGAGACAGTAAGCTCCAGCTTGCCAGCCATTCGACAAACGATGCATTCCTTTGATGATGACGGCGACAAGGGAACTTTGAAATCGCTGACGCATCCAAATTGACTGATGACGGAGCTGTTTGGGCCCACAAACACGCCGCTCGGTCTGTACACAAAGTGAGATTCATCTTAACCTCCAACCTCGATGAGGGAAACCCACGTGAATCCCAAGTTGAGCACATCTTCCACACCAGACATGACTTTCCGAACGACCACGTCTACGACCCCTCCTGCCGGATCCGCGATGATAGAAAACTCGCCGTCAAAGCTGAAGCGAGTTGGGCTGGCATGAGAGATATCGATGCCTTGTGATACTCTGAAGAGCATATAGCGGGCCTGCACAGCGAGAAATCCATGGACGCGTTCTTGCAACGACTGTAATAACACCTGCATGCTTTGGTATGCTGTCTGCAGACGGCTCAACTAAACCGAACTTTCATGCGCCGATAAACAGTTCTTGGCTTACCGGCGTAGAATCCACAAAAGTTGTGAGCTCTTTCCCCGAAAGAAACTTTACTCCTTTGTTGTTGTCCATACGTCTGCGCTTTCTGGGCTCGTTGCCTGATATATGATATGCGTTAGCATCCTGATCCCACTCAAGCAGCAATCACAACCTTGCGCCACAGTCGAGGCAACACTGCTGTCGCGCATCTTAGGGCGCCGTTGACGGTGCTTGTAACGGCAGCCGTCGCAAATGTCCCAAGGCCAATCTCCCACTGGAGGAATGACGGTTGCACACGAAATACGACCGCAAATCCGATACCCTGGGGGGTAAACACCTGTTTTCTTATCAGCATTTGCAGGAACAACGAACATAGCTGTGTTCATACTGAGATCAGGCATAACGATGTTCTTGTCCCTGTACGCCCGCACTCTCTGTAGGTGGCGTGTATGGTTGCGACAACGCTCGCAGAGCTTCCACTTTGAATCGGGAGGCATCAAATTGCAGCACAAACGCACGTTGCACACGGTCCTTGGTCTATCGATGGCGCCCAACTTCGACTGACCACCCTTGGGCATTTCGGTGGCCTTTAAAATACAGCATTTGAGTTTGTAAACCACCAACTATATCAACGTGACCTACGGGAAGACGAGGAGAGGTACTATCTTTGTGTGGCTCATCAATCTCGGATTCCCCAGAATCCTCTAGAGGAGTCAAATCCGAAAGATCGCTGTCCCAGCCCAGATCAGTAGAGGAACTCGGATCTTCACGGCGAGGCTCAACAGCCGGACTAGAACTTGGGACCATTGGTGAGGACGGGGGTGTAGGAGATTGGGGACGACGTGTGCCCTCGGCCGTAGAAACCCCTTCCAGCAGAGAAGATGGGGTATCCACTGAGCCAGCATGTTCTACTTCGACAACGCTTGAAACTGGGGCTCGATCTACCTGAACTAACACATCCTCTACATGCGCCTCTACATGTGTTTTCGCAACGACTGTGGCCAGATTTCCGGTCGACACATCACTGGAATCATTTTGTGTAGCAAGTGCACGGGTCTCAGGAACGACTTGTTGAGCACTGCAGTCAGGAGGAGCCAGTTCTTCAACCACCACAGAAGGCATGGCGGCAGGCGAGGGCGATTGAGGATTAGCTGTGGTGCATCGCTCCAGATTGGTACAAAGTGTCTCTAGTGTCTGCTCCTCCAATCGTCTCGCTGCAGTTTGCTTCTGCAGAAGGGTTTCGACATGGTTCAGCATAAAGCTCATTTCTACATCAGCTTTCAATATACTGGGTCCTGGTATCGCCACCATAGACGATGGCCCGAGACTGTTCGGACTCGGCGTGAAGATTGCCATCTCCATAATTGGAGCATTCTGTTGTTGCAAAACTCAGATACCGAGATAGCCCAAATTTGGTGACCAGACGTACCATGTCTCTAATTCGAAGTCGCTGAGAGTCTGATTTGGCGTCGGGCCGCTTCGCGCTGCAAGCAAACGAACCCGAACGCTGTTGCTGCTTTTGTCGCGAACGTGCTATCGGAGGTGGCCTGCTTAAGAGCGATGGACTCAAAGACTGGAATAATAAACAAGTAAATAGGTCTGAGTTGTAATCTTAAGTAACTCTTCTTACGGCATCTGGTGTGAATTTCTGCGTGGACGTCGTGTCTTGAGAAGTCGAAGATGTGTTTTCAGTGATTGTCGAGACCTCGGGCTGGGAAAGAGACTTCAGCTGTCCAATTGTAAGCGTCACGACATGTTCCAGAGTGTTGCCTAGAACTGACCGGTATGACATCGACATCGACAGAGATAAATGTATTGGCTAAGGGAGAGCTAGATTCTCGGCTTGTGTCGGCTTGGAGTGCCTGGGGGCTGCACCGTTCATTCCGCTTGACAGGAGTCTGAGCACTGATTAGTTCGGATGTTACTGGATCGCTTTGATTATCTTCCTTGTTAGGTGCGGAGCTAGTATGAGCACCATCACGGGGAAGACATTTACGACAGACCGTCCATGGGTGACTTCCCAAGAGTATAGTGCTGCAGCCATGCGTCGCACACACTCTCAGCTGGCGCTTTGAGTCGTCGCTAGGATAGGAAAAACTCTGTGAAGAGCTTCCGGCTTCGAAAAAATTCGGAAGAGACACCGATTCGCGTGTGGGCTGTGATGATGAAGCTGAGGCCAGGCGCGAAATTAGTGGCGGAATTGATGCTGCTGCTGTAGATGCTATCCGACTTGAGGCGGAACGGTCATCTTGAAGCAAAGCGGAACGTTGCAATGTAGTAGTACGCTGCTTAGAATTTGATCACGCATTAACACGCTTGAATGGACCATTGAGGAGTGAGCAACAGACCTGACCGTAGCCCTGAGCTAGAATTGTTGTTTTTGCGGATTTTGATTTGATTTCCTCCCCTCGGGGCTTGTAGGAGGGCGGGCCTGTCGCCTGCTGCACAACATATGGAGGAATGGCTGACTGCGGACTCCCATCATTCCGGGCTCTGCAATGAGCATTGGGGTCCAATATCACGTCGGCATTCATGGGATGAACATGCGGGGCAGCTTTTCGTGCAATCCACGCAGCCAATTCTGCGCCTGAGAGGTACACGGGCAAGTCTGAGCGCTGCGTACGCCGAGGTGGGACCATGGCGATCTGTGCTGGCCGATCGCGCGAGTTACGTCCGCAGTTCTGCTGGCAAGAGGTGCAAAGCACGGGTTTCTGCCCCGACCCTAGTTGAGCATTTGCAGGCTGTTTGACTGCAGCAAAACACACGGAACATGTGTTGGTCGTCTACCGCGCAAGTTGTGACTATTGCATCCGCAACGGCAGGACAAGTGAGTCGATATAACGTTACTTACTGTAAGAGAGACATCCTGTACTGCAAGTATCTCACACTGCGCTTGAATGTGCGTGCGGCACTCGTGGCAAATTTTCCATCTCCAGTCGGGCGTAAGGGGATGGCGACAATTCTTGCACCTACGCGCACCATTGGGAGACTGCACACGCCCTAAGCATTCAAAATCAGAATCACGGTACTACCGAGCACACCACATGCACATCGCTTGCAGACAACTCACGCTGGTGGCTTGTTATGGGATCCATTCCTTCGTTCACAACAAACTCACGACAATACGAGTAGGGCCTAAAAGGGGCACGATGCAGTCAGTCTTGACTTCCGAGAGGCCGTCGCACGTAAAGCGGGTATACCGACCGACTTAGTAAATGACAATTGCCCCTGCCTCGCTGCCGGAATAACTGTGTCCTGCGACGAGCACCATTCACAAACGAGAGACGGTCGATGCAGCGACAGGGACATGCATGCTGTTGTCAGGCCGACACCCTCGTACTCAGAATCGTGTCAGCTCGTGATGCGGTTCGGCCTTAAAAATTTTCTCAAGATTCGGCCCACATATACTAGCCTCGGCACCTTCGATCGCCCTGCCCCCCGAATTAGGGTTTTAACGAATCTAGCGTGGGGTGTGCGGACGAAGGGAAATAGTGCACACAGTGAAGGCCAGTCAAAAACGTTGAACAAAATCGCAAGCCGCATGCGAGTTGCGCTACACAGGAAACGATTCAAAATCCGAAAGTTTAGTACGAACAGAAATGGGCGGAGAAGCGCCCGATCCAGCGCCGTAACCATATGGGGAAGGCGCGGATCTGCTTACACCCACAACAGCCACTCTAGCAAAATCCTCGTGTTACAAACTGATAATGAAGAATGGAATGCACAATATGCACTTGTAATAATAGTAACATATAAAAAGCCAACTCACCGCGCGCTAGTTATCGAGCACATAGTCCGAGCACTACAACGAACTCAACAGTGCCGTCGTTATCTGCTCTCTGCCCAGTCTGCCAGCACTTCTGCCGAGGGCACGGTCATCTCGTCAGCGATCCTTATCCCGGGTGATGCAGGCGTGAGCTTCGGTGGTTTCGGCGTCGGCCTTGTAGTATCACCAGAATCAGCGTCCGGATCTTCCTCCGCCAAGTCCTCACGCTGGAGCGTTTGCATATACTCTGGCGAGACTTGCGTCAAGTCGCCCTTCGTTTGCGCTTCTGGGACCCGTAATGTAGCCATCGCCGGTCGTCGGCCATTGCCATCATTAGGGCGCTCCATGGCAAGTGCCATCCGAAGTCGTTCGGTGACCTCCTTAACGCGCTTCGTCTGACGACTACCCCAATAGATATAAAATCCGGCGAGGATACCAGCAACCTTATAGTAGGTGATCATAAGTTGTGCGTCAAAAAACGAATTTACACATATACTCACGAAGGCAAGAGGCAAAGTTGTAGCTGTTGTCCACGCAGGTCTTTGAAACCTATTCAAGCCCCACATGCACCCACTAAGTAAACACTGAGGACGATAGTGAGCTTGCATGATAAATCCGCAGGATATTCAGTCATACTTGGAAAAAGGTATTCAAGTCATTCATAACGCAGATCCATATTGCGATGCTGTATGGTAATAAGTCCCGTAAATGTAAACATAATAGTAGTAGTATCTCACTCTATAGGGAATGCCTGAAAATTAGCACGTCAGTAAGGGCAATAATTCTATTCAAAGACTGCCTCACGCGATGAGTTTGTGTTCCATGGGGGCGATACCATGTCTGCGCTTGCATGAACATATGTTGTTCTGTACGTGTACGAAGTATTGGTAAGTCAAGAAAGACATTTCCGAAACGAGAGAACATACGATAGTGCAGATCAACTTGTTCTTCTTCAGTCAAGACAGGCACATAGTTAGCATCATACTGGGGGTCTGGGAGGTCATTAGGGTCGTATAATTCGGGCAATCCAGCCTTCCGTCGCAATTTCTCAGTACGCCGCTTGTAGTGCATAATTTTTGCGATGCCTGAAAGGGCCAAGATTTTGACGTGCAAAAATAGACCAGGATAACAACTTACGGTACGTGTCTAGGATGCGAAAGGGTGCAAGACCTATACTAGGTAAGGAAAACAGCCCTATCGCGAACATTAGCTTGACTTCACGATTGCTCAATGAGTAAGTCTCGCACCGGTTTCAATTTGTTGACAAATCTCAATCCAGAAGTCTTGGGTATTGTCGTTGTGAAGATCGATGAAGCGAGCGAGAAAGACGACCAACGCGGTTCCCCAGAAGACTTGCAAGTACATAAGTTCGAAAAGGTGCAACGAGATACCGCAGCTCATGAGTACATACCTACTAGAAAACCATATATTGCTGTGACGAACTATGGTACAAGTCAGTTGCTATTGCCGACAAGGACATTCTGCAGTACTCACACCCAACGCTGCGAGATGCTACAAGGTAAGTTATGGGAAAGGGCAAAGACACATACGACCCACGCGTTTTAACAAAGGACCAAACGCCCCGCATGACCCTGCGCAACCGGTCCCTTTTCCTGAGTACGTCCTCCACGTGTACGTCCAAATTATCCTCGTCATCATCCTGGTTTTGCCCTTCGCCCTTCTCAACACTGTCGCCTAGTACCTTCTTCCTGCGTCTTCGCGGAAGAACGACGACGGGCTTACGAGAATAGAATGACAGCGGAGGTCTTCAATAGACATCAGACAGGTTTTGAGGATGTCAAACAGGTCAGATAGACATACATCACTATAGCATTTGCTGCGTTCGTAAGGGTGGCGACGGTAGCGATCTGTGGATCTAGAGAACAAACGTGAGTTCTGCTCCACTCATTGAAAGTGCTGTATCTCACCGATAACATCTAGATGCTCAACGATATCGTCCGGATGATGGTCACCATCCCGACCCCAGTCAAACTTGAACTGCTCCGAGACCGGGATGCTCAATGCACTGCCTATGCGTCCGGGCTCCTCCTCAGCTGCGGGCACGAGTACATCCGTCTGTGGACCTTCGAGGGAAATCATGTCCGTGCCTCTGAGATGATGTCGCGACAGGGTAGGATTGCACCGTCGTGTGTGTTCGTCTGGGCGAATTGACGGGAAGAAAGGATTGCAGTCCTCACTAACAGGCCTCGCGGAGCGAAAGCCTGTAGGCAAATCGCGTGCGTGCCCCACCTGTGGTGTGAGGGTTCCATTCAAGATATGGTGCGATATCTTACTTGATGGACGGCGCAGCGGGGGCCCACGCCGTCCGCAGACAGTCTCACAGTCGGCTGCAACACTGGTGGCTGGCGTACGCGTCTGCGTGTTGTTTTGCGCGACCCCGCGTTGATTAATGTTCAAGGACGGCGGACGAAGAGACCAGGGAGTGAAGGCGGCTGTAGGGGAGTGAGTTCCCGTGCGCCGCACCAACCTGTCTGGATCCTGAGAGACATCGCGAAGGGTAGTGTAGCCGCGCTTTACTCGGATAGAGGGCATCCAGCTGGCAGAGAGAGTATGTGCTGGAGGTGCACGACGAGGAGGAGAGATGGGAGCAACGAGAAATTTGGCTGCATTTGAGATGGCATTGTGGTGGTGGAGTGGCGCTTGTTCGACGCGTTCAGATGAAGTCACCGTGCCAAGCTAAACTCTTCTCGGAACTTGCCGCACACTGCACCACCTCTCTCCAAGCCTCGTTCATTGTTCAAAGTAAGTATGACATCCGTTCTAGTATAACTTACAGATATATAGCATGCGATTCATGATTAGAGATGCTGTATCGTATCGGGTATCCTTCAATCATGCGTCTCCATTAGCATTCGAGTCTTCCCGGGACGATTGTTCTGAGGGTCGAGACGATCCCACCTACACATGCGCAGGTGGTGAGTATAGCGCATACTAAGTCACAAAAAGAGACTTACGCTTGTGGTGGACATATCTGAATCCATACTGGACCGCATGCCCGTCTGATTTCTCCTCTTGAACACACTGAACACTCGGGGCCTTCCTCTCCGGCGCGAAGACGCATCCGAAGAGTCTTGGATCTCCTCTGGCTCAGTCGTCAGGCTTGATGCCACGATGGGTGTTGCCGTTTTGTTATGCAGATGGAACAATGACATCGCTCTTCCCTTTGAACTCGATAACAGCGTACCAGTGGGTGTCGACGTAGTCCGTGAGCCGGTTGCAGTCGAGCCAGATGACGACGAAGATGTCATTTGTCGAGCTTGGAATGGCAGCAGCGTCGATCGGTGATGTTCGTCAAGAGTGTGACTGTGATGGCTTTTGGGTGCAATCCACTTGGTTTTGGAGATCAGCTCCCGCGCAACAGGCAGAACCGGGACAAGCGGTTGCTGGAATGCCATCTTCACCCAACCACGCCAGTTTCGCCCCGATGGAATAAATTGATCAACCAACTCCTCAAACTATCGCAATATGTTAGATCCTGAGCTCAGAGAGCGAACATCGGCAACACGCACACTCCATGTCTGATTTCGGTATTCAAGGTCTCGCGTCCGGATACGTGCATCGCGACAGAGGAAGGAATCTTCCTTCGCAATGCTTAGGAGAAGGTAAAGGCTAGCGACAGCGATCAATGTAAAGATAGTGGTCCTCGTTCAACAAGTGTAGCGCTCACCTGTTGACTCTTACCCAAACGAACGTCTTCTGAGACGAGCGCGTCTTCATCTCAGTTGCGTCATCAATCTCATGCCTCTTGCGTGACTGCCCATTACGTTCCTTCGTACCCTCAGAGTCTTTGGAAACCTGGCTCGTCACGGACCGCGAGGGCTTGCTCAGGGTCACAAGCGCATCGGTTGAGCGTGTCTTGTGCAACCCGGGTGATCGCAAGGTGTCCGACCTCGACGCGTTGCGCAAATCCGTGAAGGAACGCGAGGTTCCCAGCTTACGCAAGGGTACCGGCGTTAGTTTACTTGCATCAGGGGATTTCAGAGGGGAAACATCCCATGATGAACGTCGAGGGCTTAGAGGGCTATCCGGTATGATCAGAATGTTCGCGTGGTCGCTTGTGGGAGAAGGTGAGTCGGGGAGCGAATCCAGGCCATGGAGTTCATCGTCTGAATGTTCCCTGTGTCGGCGAGCGGGCCAGACGTACTCCATGATGCGTCTCCCCGTGCGAGTGTCAAGTTGCAAGCGCATTGGGTGGAAGGTCAGCTCGAATCGTTCGTAAATGGTGATGCCGCCGACCGGGGGCAACACTATCCAATCTGCAACAACGAACAATTTACGCTATCAAAGACAATGTTATCTCTAGTAATTTCCTGTGACACCCAGACAACGTACCTTCACTAGCGGATGCGTGATGGGATCTGTGTGTTTAGACAGGATCTCGGTCCATTCAGCATCAGCGGCACCATCGAAAGCTTGAAGATCACCCAAGACTAGTTGGTTGACTATAGAACTGTCCTGCCGACTGAGCCAATAGAAATTGATGTCACGAACCGCGAGCTTCGCAAGTAGTTGACCTTGCTGGTCAAGCATCCTCCAAGAAATTTCAGATGATGACGTGTGGAGTAGCAAAGCTGACTTCTGCTCCGGATGATCATTCGCCTTGTCCTGGGCTAATTTGATAGCGTCGAAGATCAAGTTGAGCTCTTCAGCTAGCAGGATAATATGCGCATCAATCCTAAGAATCTCCACTTGCCCCTCATTACCGTATTGATGAAGCTGTCGAACAGCTTCTTGGCGAGTCTCTAGCGCATGTCTGAGGCGTATCTGCATGTTCGCCACCACATCAGCAGCAGATGCTAAGTTCGTGAAGTCGTAATTGAACAGCATCCTTTCAAGCTTGTCTGAACGGTCTTTGAGAGCGGCATCCGAAAAGAGAATAAGACGAGTGACAATATTGGCGATGGCTTGGAAGTGACCATCATTCGCGGAGACAGTAAATCGTGGCACATGCACCCGAACAAGATCCTGTAGAACAACGTCAATTGTGACTAGTGCATCTAAGCAAAGAGGACCCACAGTCTGATTCTGCAAGTGATCGTGCTGGCGATTCGAATTCTGACCTGTTTGCGCAACAGATGTGACATCATTGCGCAAACGCAGTCGGTTAAACTTGTCATACTGGAATAACGCATTTGTCTGAGGAACAAGTCGGTCGAACGCACTGTTCTCGCATCGCAAGTCAATGAGAACTTCCAGAGGAACGTAGCCATCCCCAGACATATTCGCGGTAGAAGGCGAAAACGTCTGTAGTCCTACGATAGATGCAAAGTTTCTGGAGGAATTTAGATCTATGTGCGCTCAAAACGTTCAGGAAACACACACCGATTCATGACCAGTCCGCTGACAGGATCGTCAGCATTGGCACTATCAAGAATGGCGAATGACGTGAGCTTTCCTTGCACAGCTGCAAGGACACAAACTGAGTCATGGTCTGATTCCGAATTGGCTTCACTTCGTAGGACGAATTGCGGCTTGAGCAATAGACAGAAATGACTCTTCTGGAGGGAAACGTCCTCAGACCATCCATCCAGTGGATCAATAGAACCGGGGTCATCAACCGAATAAGGCTGACCATCGTCAACGGGAGTGCTGGATGTATTCTCGCCAGTAAAGAAATTGCGAACAGCGATAGCAGCAGCTTGCGCATTGGACACTGGCTTGCGATGACCATCCTTGTCCTGAACTAGATCTGCGAGAGCCGCCTGCGCTTGGTCACGAATGAACTTTACGGCACTAAATACCAGTCAGCCATACGCAAAGAGTAAGGCGTAAAAGGCATACCGCGTTGCCATGTGGTATTCGATTCCTCGTTTAGCACGAGAGCAGTAATAATACTGCATCATCACCTATACGTAAATCGTTTAGCGCGAACACATGGGATAGAAGGATTCAACACACATCACGGATGGTACGATTGAGGTATATTTGCGGAGAATGAACCTGGTAGACGTGGTCAAACTCTGCCCAATCCTCCGGAGATACTGCATCTGAGGGCATATGGTAGCTTTGGATGCGTTGCGGAACAGCTGAAAAGGACGTCGCATCGATTTTGTGCAGATGTTGGACGTAGTTATTCAACAATGCGATCTTCTTGCGCAGCTCGTTTTCATCACCGTCATTCTAGTATAGTCGAATATCAGTCAAATATTGTTTGGTCAGGCGATTCAACACACCGAGGTTGACGCCTTGGCCGAGCAATGAGCCAACTTCTGCTGCAATTCCTTGATACGGGACCCTGTCAGCGAGATCTGTACCTGTGTGACAGCTACAAAGTATTGAGTGCCAAATCACGAACATGAAGTATGGACATACAGGCTTCTTGTCCAAGATGGCAGATATGTGTTTTCTCTGCACCGAATTTGCTTCTTACCGGCACATTCTCCGGATTTTCGGCATTTTCGTCTGTGGCACGTTTGAAGTACGTGAAATGAGGACAGTATCCAACAGGCTGCAGGTAGACGGTAGGTGCTTTGTCGGGTGACCACTGATTCCTGTCGAAGTCGTCGCAGTCGATCCATTCCGATTCCTGCGAAACAGAGTCTGTTTTGATCTCCGACCTATAGTTGCTGACTAGAGGCGACGATTCCATCCGCACTTCTTGTTTGAGAGGTTCCGAGAAAACAGCTAGCATCGAGCGCAGATCCAGACCTTTCATGACAACTTCGATAGCGTAAAATGCTTTATGATGAACTGCTTTGGGTTCTCCATGAACCAGTCGCGAGCTCTCCTGGTCTCTCTGGTGCATGTCTACCTGGAACCGGTCAATGAGGGCTTTAACTCCGACAAAGGGAGTCACTCCATCCGCCCACGCGTCGCAGGAGTTGTCAACATATAAGTGCGTGATGAAAAACTGTTCAATCAGGACGCGATACTTCAATGTGGCAAGATGCTGGCCGAACTTCGGTGACACCGGCCGCTTCCTTGAATACAGCGATCCTTGACGTATAGGAAGAGATAAGGCACCGTCGAAGAGGGCGTACCATGCCCAAAAGTGTTCAAATACTTCGGGAGAGAGGTGCAAACTGCTTGGTGCCACTTTATGACGACCTCCGCCGTTTCGGAGCCCCGATGTTAGCGATATAGACATATGGATGAAGTCTGATCGGAACCCATTGTAGGAATCTTCGAACGACTAACACGCAATGAGAACACATTATCCTCCAAATTGACGGAAGGCACTTACTTTGGGCTCTGGGATGCCCGCTTTGGTCTCCAACTTGACCTTGTAATGAGGTAGGAAGTCGAAGAAACGACATTCGCGGTCAAACGGTTTGCCCGTGCATGTGCCGCACTCCGACCCACAGGATCGCTCGAGGACGAACCCCACGCCGAAACATGTGCCCGAGCTAACTTTTGCACACACTCTAGACTCACGAGATCTTCGCGGATTGAAGGTGGAAAAGGGTGTGGCAGAGATAGAGTGTCGTAGCGTAGGCTCGTCCACTTCGCCGTTCTGACCCCACGTCTCTTGCACGCTGCGCGTGATTACTCAGCGACGAGAAAGTATTAGAAAGATAGACATCATACTTAGGAATTATGATCAACATAGTGTCACTCTTGACTTGAATTAATTCTCCTTGCTCGTTCGGCTGGCCAATGAATACACAAGGGTCTCCTCTCCAGCTCAGGGCGAATCCAGCTCCGTCGCCGCTTAGTCCATAAGGGTCGCGAGAACCTATGAGAAAATAATGAGAACAAAAATTTTAGTATGAACAGATAATACTGACCTTTCATGTTGAACTGGACATCACCCTTAAAAAACACCTTGACACGCCAATGTAAAATTAGCCTCAACTGGAATGGAGGATGATATAGATTAGCATCAAGCTGCAAGCATGGGTCCTATGAAAATACCTTATCCCAAAATCCAATAGGCGGTGATGGATCTCGAGGCGCGTGCGACAACGTATCAATGACACGCATGAAATCTTGCGTTGCGGGGCCGTAGCTCACAGCCCATGCTAAATCAGTTGTACCATCGGTGAGGACCCGTATGGTAGGCTGAGCATATGTCTTGACAGGCATAATCGTCTTAGGAACTGGAATGGATAGTGCGGGCGCGCCATGGATACCGCTGTTAGCATGGACAACTTCACATGGGAACCACTCCACAGAACAATCAGTCCCCATCTCTTCAGCAATGACCAAGTTAGTGTCGAATTCGAGCGCGGGAGAACCTATAATGGAATTCGGCGGGATATTGAGCAGCGGGAGTGGATATTCCCGGAAGGTCATCCGAAGGGACGCCACAGTGAAGTTGATGTGCAGAGGCACGAGGAGTGAAAATTGCGTATCTTTCGGGAGCCCATCGCCTGCAGAAAAGAGCAATTCTGGGATGTTGTCGATTAGTGTTTTGGGAGCAGATAAATTGAGAATCAAGCTATCCCACGAAATTCGCAATAGAGGAGGAATTGCTTGCATTGGATTGACAGAGACCAGATCGTGGTACAAATCCTCTTTTGATCGACGCCCGATGGCATGCCGAGTATACTTGTCTTCCCTACTTTTTTGCAAGCTATTCGCTTTCATGAAAGAAGATTTCCAAGCAACAGAGTGGACTTGATATAAGCGTTCGCGAGCATTGGAAATGGAGACTGTATGTTTAGAACCGAATTGGAAGTCGGAGTCGACATCATGAGGTTGGGGGTGCGCATAATTTGACGTCAGGATAGTGGACACCTTGGCCTGAAACGCTTCGTCACGCTCCTGTCTCAGACGCGCTGCCTCGTAGCCCGTGCGCCATATAAGACCCATTCTCGACTCAAGATTCTCGTCCGCCGCGTCAATAGTCAGACATCTGATCGTGATCGAAATGTTCGGCACAATTTTAGCGTCTTCGGCCTCTGGTACTGGCGGCTTGGAGTATTGACCATCGGAAACCATGCGTATGAGATGCTTTGCACTCTTGACGGTGAGATTGACATCCAGGATAAGGTCGGCCAGAACAAAATCGAACGGTATGCGCAGACGACCGCTATTACCTTCAACCAAGATAGACGTAGGATTGATGTGGAGTGGTAGGCTGATGCTCCAATCTGATAGACGAGCTAACTCTTCCCATTCTTCCCTTGGAGAGCCATCTCGTATAGTAGAAACAGCAATCGCCAAGATGATGCTGCTCCACTTGAGAGTAATTTTCTTCAAGGGCGACCCCGTACAACACAGGTATGAAATCTGCAAGTACAATTTCGATCGCAGGGGGAATTCGAATAGAAGTTGGGCTTCCTTGATATCACACTGCAGACTGAGTGAAAGGGTGGAATGGGTGGGCGCGCTCCTTTTCTCTGAGGACGAAGGTGGCAAGAGCCCCTTCAAAGTCTCGACGGCCAGCAGAAGATGATAAATATGAGCGAGACGCAACGACCCACGTATCCTCGAGACGGCGGCGGTGATCAGGAGATCGTCTTTCGATCCAGGGCGATACGTTCCATTCGGGCGCAGGCCCGACAGGACCATGTCAATATCAACATTGGCAATCCGCAGGAATTCCTTAGATGTCAGGTTGACGTCCTGCTCAGCATGGCAGTAGGGATCATCTGCAGTGAAGGGCGTTGCGACAGCGTCGCGGAGAGCAACGTCCCATAAGGCGATTCCAATCAACGCACGAGGTGAAGGTGTTTGCACAGGTGTGGTCGTGCCGGCTACAGCTTGAACGATGTGCTCTGTAGGTAACGCCAAACGCAGGCGCTTTTGGCTTCGAGCAAGAAGGTTAGAAATGCGATCATAATGCCTGTTGTGGACGGCACAATAACGGAGGGAAAACCCTAGATGTGCTGCCACACCACGAGTTATGCCCAGCTCTTCACCGGGAGCGAGATCCGGTGCGGTGACAAATACGACAAAACGCCCCACAGATATTGAAGCCGACAGACCAAACGGCAGGCTGTCCAGAACGTAACGAGCCGATGTGTGCTCAGGCTTCTTTGTTCCTTTGATAAAATATGCCGAAAGCCGGGAGATAGCTTTGAGAACACTAGGTTGCCATAACTCGATCGATATGGCCTCCGTAGAACACCGCAAATCCGTGAATAATGAGGGAACATCCAGTGTGATGGCACAATTACCCTCCTCCGCGATGTCACCGATGCCGTTTCCATGACCAATTATTTCGAACGTGTCCAAATTCAGTAAACCGTCACCGGAGTGGTGTGAGAACTCAGCAGGTGAGCCCCGTTCGTGCCTACTGCTGAGCTCGGAGCCAAACTGTAGATGAATAGATGTGCGTTGCAGTGAACAATTGAGAAAGAATTCCATTTTGAGATTCAGATGGTCATGCAGAGCGTGAGTCGAGCGCTTATCGGGGAGTGACAGGTAATGTGAGTCCAGAGCGAGTACGAGACCGTCCGTCCGAGCTTCGAGAGCAAATGGATCTTCGTTAGTTTGCACCCCGGACGAGATGAGACGTGCAATCACAGGCCCAACTTTGAAACCAAATGCGATGCGAGGAACTGGTGATAATATTGACGGCAAAGGTGCGCGACCGTCTGTGGGTTCGGCTGGAGGCTGTTGGCGCGCCAGAATGACACGAAGAACTTCCAAGCGCTCTGTAAGACGCACTTCGCCTAAATCAATATTCACCGCCAATAGCTGGGAATTAGGGTCGCCTGACAAGAACCTCGGGCTACAAAGCCAAGGAGAGGGCCACTGGGAGATCATCGCATCCACTTGTAGAGACCCGATGGAAAGGACTTGTAGATGATCGACAATCGCACCTGAGCCAGACCTGTCCAGGGAGATTCTGTTCGTAGAAAGATTGAGACGATATACGTCCGCACCGAGGTCATCGTCTGGCACACTTCCGGTACCCAGCATCTTCCTGTGTATGGGATTCGAACCTGGATGACTAAGACCCACATGGAGGTCGATTCCCCGTAGTGTTGCTACAAATGTCTGAGAAACATCTCGTTCATTAAGCTGGGGTCCATGTTGCAGCTGAAGCTTCGTAATGATAATATTCACAGCTTTCAGGAATGATAGGTGCGACTAATAGGGATAGACAACCTCAACGAATTAACAACATAACATAAAGAGCGATGCAACTTACACTGACTGCCTTGCTACCAAGCCTACGTACTGGAATATGTTTGTGGCCCCAACCTAATCGCATCGATGCCTGCATGACTATCAGCATACTATTGTGAGATGATAACGAAAAAAAAAGATCATACAGAAGATAGAGCTTCCATGAGCGGCGAGCCAGGTGACATTGGAGACGGCCACGGGAAGCGACGATTTGGAAGTGGGGGAGAAAGTGAAGCTGAAAGTGGTGTTTGCATAGAAGCGGGGGACAAAGGCAGCTGCTCATTTAGCTCAGAAAGACTTTGCTGCCTCGGACGCGACCTCAGAAGTTTCAGTAGACGTTGAATGGCATCGATCTTGATGTCAACGGTATCGAGCTTGAGCGACGTCTCCACGCTATGGGGTTCGATGGCCCGATGTGGATCTATGCGCACTAACGCAGTAAATGTCGTAGACGGGACATCGACAAAAGCCATTCCATCTACGGCACAGAACATGCATCAGATAAATACAAACGTAAAATGGATGATACTCGCCGGTAGCGGATGCTTTGGGAAGATTTTGAAGAGAAACGGAAGATGCAGTACCAGTGATGTGTTTAATACCAAGCGTTAATGAAGCAGTAACCTGAGTAGCACCCCAAGCACGATCCCATGTGCGACGGAGACTTCCCGCAATCCTGGCATTCCAATCGGCAACATTCGCCAAGCTCTTATGACGACGCGTGTGATGAGCATGTCTTCTAGTGCCCGGAATGATTACCCCGTCAATGGACGACAGCGTAATCGTTGTGTAGAGCTTGGCTTGTCTTACTGACAACTCTAACCCTGGGACATCCGCTAGTGTAACTACAGCCGAATGCAGCTCGAAGTCCAGAACATGAGTGATAGCAGGCAGTGCCCGGATAACCAAGCGGAGGATACTGACAAATAGCGACCGAACCACAGGGCGGACGTACGGTTCAAGAACAGCGTACAGTATGCGCAGTACGGACCAGATAGCAGGCCAGGAACGTCGTACGAGCGGCGAGAATGTGAAAGAGGGCGAACCTGAACGTTTCCGGCTGAAGGAAGGCTCCAACCGCGTATTATCCTTCCTCCTGTCAAGCTCCACTTTCACACCTTCCACTACGATGGAAAAGCGTCGCGCAATTTCAGCGGAGGGGCGGTGATAAGATATGCCAATACGGTCGACACGCAACGTTCCACTACCTGCTCGAAAGTATATTCCACGGATGGAGCGCAAACTTACGCTGCGCACGCGTAACCGTTTAGAAATGAGTCTGATGATAGAAGGACCCACGTATATCCGGAATATGAGGGACAGAGATATGAGCCGTACAGCCCACAGGATGAAGACCGCCCAGAGAGAATAATCCGTAGGAGAAGCAAGCACAAGTGTCCGTAATACCGAGAATACGTATGTCAGGACCATTTTGGCCAAATCCACAACTATGAATGAGAGCGTGCGCGTGATGAGTCGTGAAACCGGAATGAGCGTTCGACAGACTCACATCGAGGTAGAGGGAAAGGAGTGTGGACTCAGAAGGGAATGAGCAGAGATTGGAGACTGCAAGTGATGTGTTCCAGATATTGTCCCAGCATTAAACAATGAGTATGTCTTTAACTGAGATGTTGGTAGTGAGCATGAGGGTTGCTGTTCTGACGAGACAAGCTGGCGCAATACGGCGCCGGCAGCAAGCGTGATCTCGATGCAGTGTGATCGCCCGGTCGGCTCGGACCCGAGGATCCGTTCAGGCTACAGGCAGACCCACTAAGGCCACTACCACTGCTAGCCTGCACACACTAAAGCAGGTCATACTTGATACTATCGATAGTAGACGTCTTTTTGGATAGTATACAACAATCATTATTCTCTTACACGTCCTACTAGTTATTTGCAGCCGTCGAGTCGTGAGGTATTATTAGATCTATCTGTGGTCACGGTATAGTATTACTGTAGGAGTTGTGAGTTGGGTCGCCTTCACAGAAATGTTCCGGTAAAGGTATTTTGGGATCCTTGGGAGTACTAGTCTTCTGATTCCATGTCCAGAACACTGTCACTCGTAATATGTCAGTCGCCGCAGTTGAGAATCATATTAGAGCTTGCTCACCATTCTTCGGACTCCCTCCGTGCAGGTGCGTATGCAGAAAAAGCAAAAGAGCTCCCCACGAAGCTTCCGGGGTTGAACACGTGGCACCCCTCGTAAGTCATTTGATATCTATCATATTTGTCCGCTAGGACAACCTATCATAAAGGAGCATTCATCCTCAGTCCATCAAATTCGACAATATGTAAACGCACCGCAGAGGGAAGAGGATACAAGCGCAGTGTGTGGTCAAAATCAGAAAGAATTGGTTGGATCGAGGTAGTCAATGGAACCAGATGACTCTGGTCGAGGATGGACTGCACAAGCTATAATGCTTTGAGCGGACCGGGTTGACAACATACGATGCTAGACGTCCGACTCACATAGCGCTTTAGATCGTCATTTTTCGCATCCGGTTTAACTCCTACCAGATTCCGAAGCATCTTCGCCATCATGTCCTCTCTGAAGATCACGATTTCTTGCTCAAAGAATTTGATACGACAGGGATTCGTGGCAAAGTGTACTTTCGGTACTCTGGACTTCAAGCGCGAGACAAAGGAGGACATTAGCGGCCGCCGGGGAAGCACGGAGTTCACGGTCACATCTAGCGGACCCGGAACGAAGACTATGTGGGTCGTGCGCGTAATCAAAGGGTATGCCGCAATCAAGTCCGCTAGTGAATCTAGCTGATCTGCAAACAATCGTTTATGAAAAAGCTCTTATCAGACATTTGAGTCAAATCTATACCTTGGAATCTCCGCACTTCCCTGCTGTTCCCTTGTGAGATACCACGGCTGGAGAAATTGCCACACAGGACGATCACTTTAGGGATGAAGCTGTTCTCCATACAATGATCGAACATCTTACGCAGTCCTCGCAGCGTCTCTGGATGATCTAGCCATACATCGGATAGAACGAAGAATCGAAGGTCAGGCAACTCGAGACGAACGCGGGCGGCTAAATGGGTCTATTGGCACAAGACTATGAGAACTCAGACCTTTAAGAAGCGAACATTCCTCACATCTTCCAGCAGTGTCGTTGCACCTTGACCTAGAAAATCGACATGCCCGTAGATGGATCTGGGTCGATCAGAAATTCGTCGAATACAATGCCGAAAAGCCACTAACCGCGCGGTCTCTCGACTCTCACATGGAGGATGTCCAACAGCTATTACAACAAGAATTGCATCTTCGGTATACTCGCCCTCGACAAGCGCGAAACATCCCTCGGTGAATAGCCCCTCACTTGGTTGATCCTTTGTACACGTATCGTAAGTAGCTGTGCAGAGTCAGATCATCAACGTACAAGTTGGGAGAAGTCTAGTTCAACAGATCCATCTTGGTCTTCCAAACACAGTTTCCCTTCCTTGTTGTGGCAGAGCATCCCGAACAACAAAAAGCGCTCTCCTGCACGACCAAGAAGTTGTTTCGTAGATCTCAACTAGTGTTCGCGTAAGAAATGAGTTGCGCATGCTACCATGATGAAATTATACGTACCGTGAGCAAATTTTCTCTGTCTCTAGAAGGGAGAGTAGAAGGAGAGAAATGGTCGTTCCTGAGAACTGTCTGCCTGATAATGTTCAATCTGTTTCGCATCGCCATAACGCGGGAATCAGCAGTCCCAGCAATAGTGAGCGAACCAGATGCCCTGCGCTTAAAATAATAACGTTAGCACGGTGAAACCCATGGGAAGGTATGGTCTTGCCTCTCAAATGCACTTCTTTCATGCGACCAATGCCATAATGGCATGTCGAACGCGTCAATAAAATGTAATTGACTTTCCGGGTCCAACATGTCTGGTGCTCCCTCCGATTGATCAACAGAACCTTGAAACGTATTATACACTCTCTTCAGCACATCCAACGAGACCTTCATCTGCGCGTCTACAAGCCACTTGGATGAGTTCCAGACCTCACGACAACATGTGAACGAACCATCTTGCTTGTTATACTCCTTTGCTATCCACTCTATTGAAAACTCTACATCTTCGTCGGCGACCTCATGTCGATCTAGGATCTCTTCCAAGAACTCCAACGCTTCGGGGCCCAGAGAATGTCCGTATTTTCTGAATACCTAAAGCATGCGCTATCTTTAGAGTCATTTCAGTAAATTTGTAGTGAATCCAACCTTTATGATTGGTCTCTGACGTGGAGCAACCATTTTGGACGCAGCGTGATCGTCGTGGGTTAGGTTAAAGTTGCATAGCGGACGCGACGCGACGCGTCGTCGAGCGCGTGCCGATCGTGGCACTACCATTTCGGGCTGCCTGTCTGGGGGAGTCAGACCCATCATTCACTACAACTCCTATCTCGCTATGTTTTCGAGCTTGGATGTCGACATTCGACCCGGACAGGGCCTTGGAATGTTTCACCTCGGTACGTGAACAATTAGGCCCTGTATGGCTGCCTGAACCTCGGTTTCATCCGGTAGGAACGTCACTCTGGAATGTAATGGATCTCCTACGCAGAATGCAGCACGCATTCCCCCTAGTTGACGTTAAATTTGACCCAGACTCATCAATAACTCCAATAATACTACATATCCGACCACACCTTGACCTCCTCTTCTCTGGCCATCATCAGCGGCTCCATACTATTTGCCTTAGGAGACTGCGTGATCCCAATCCACCCGTTACACTAAAGTATAAGGATACGACACTATCTTCTAGCGAAGAGGTTCTGAGGCGGGTTGGTGTCAGCCGAACCTTCGGCCCAACATATCCCGGTGATGACCTACGATACCCCGGAGTTTCCTTTACGTTTGAGGAAGACGGTAGGAGTGATGGGCTTAGTGGCCCCCCGTCGCAGCGCGAAGATAGAATGCAAGAAGTCAAGAGAATAATTATCGCACAGAAATGCTTGGATGGCGAAGTCCGGGATGAGTTGGACGAGGTATGCGAATGCCCTGCCATGTTTGGGGAGATACAGCGCGCTGTTGTGAGGGTATGAAGACCATTTCGCACTTCTCGATACTGTTATTCATGTTCAATAGGTACATGATGGAGTAACATTGTATTTCTTCCCGTCGTCCACGGAATCCGTTCAAATACGAATCGGCGTCAGCACGGCGCAAGACCTTTCCTGTGATCTAGGGTCACCGCTTCGAGTCCACTACAAAGAAGACGATAGGATGACCATTCACTCAAGAAAGGGAAACACGGATGACGACACAGATACAGATTGTGGGTATTTTCGCCAATCCTCTGTAACTCAAATAAACTGATTCTTATTTACAGATTTCTACAATTATCTCCAGCATGGGATCGACTTCTTGATCTCTGGATCGACGCACGTCGTGAAGAAGATAATCCTCCACTCCAATGTGGTATGTCCATAGAATTTTCACGCTCCCCGTTATTGACGTTGCGTAGCCGGGTACTGCGTTGTTTCAGCGCTATAAACGATGTCCATGGGAGATCGAAGGTCAGCCTGAAGATGATGAAGATGGTAGGGAACTACTGCCGAAATTATGCGCTACTATAATATATATATATATATATTTGCAGAAACTCCACCGCGAATCAAATTCTATGACAGGGTACTGAAATGGCATGTACCGATAGATGCAGGGCTGACCTTCACGGGTTATTAGGTTGACGATATAAGTCATTTTCTAAATCCAGGCGACACGCCAGCATCTATGCTACTCGATCGTACAGATGACGAAGACGGTCTCACGTTACCTAGTCCCAAAACTCGTGAGTTCAGTAGTCCATTACACTGGGTAAACCGACTCACTTCCATTATCAGGCTTACTTGGTTTTGACGGGATCATTCTGGAGGCTACGGAAACTGCGCAAGTAGTCGCTGTCATGTTATTTTAATCACAACAGCCACATTTGACATTCATAGCTTCTGTAGCATAGCCAATGTAAAGTGCGTAGAGTACTGCGGATCAACTTGCTTTCTATCGGACGTTATGTACATCTAATGTAAAAGACTGTATACTCAAGATTTGAATAACTCTGACCAGACAGTCCGTAATTCCTCTAGCTTTGAGATGACCACGATTCCATCCGAACCCTCGCTTATGTCTTTCCCGATCTCCTTGACCTTGCCTCCTTCCACAGACATCATTCCGTGTTCGCAGAAATGGACACAGCTACCCCAGCCCAGTGTTTTAGCAGCTTTAATATTGGATATGCTGTCATCGACAAAGTAGCATTTGGAAGGGTCAGATATGCCTGCCTTCTCAAGGGCCTGCGAAAGTATCAATGATATGACAGCTGTTGCAACGTCCGCGTGCGGATGTACCCACAGCATGATAGTATTCGGCTTCAGGTTTGCAGCAGAAATTTGAGTTTGAATAATCGCAATACACCAGGCCCTCGATCTGGTCCTCTACACCGAGTATGCGCAAGACGCGCCGCGCGTGCTAGATGATCATGTCGACAATGTCGCATTAGCTGAGATGATATAATTGCTTACTGTCTTATATGCATTGGTCAGACCCCATACTCGGGCTTTGGATCTATCAATATCTTCAAGGAGTTTCCGAAGAGCAGGGTCAGGTTTGAGCATGTCTTCTAGAGGGAGCGAGCCATCGCACTTCTGATCGAAATCTATCGGATCTTGCTATTTTATGAGCACCGCTATAGAGCAGGAACTTATGAAAAATTGGTATCTTACCGATCTCATGGTGCCGAACCAGCCCACGGATAGCAAGGCCATACTGCGTGTAGTATTTGTGATGTAGTTCTGAAGCCTGCTCTTCGGGGAAACCAAGCGAGACGAAATAAGCTGACAACACGGTCCTGTCAGTTTCTGACTGCCGAAGCAATTACTTCAAGTAACCATGGATTCGCTGGCCCATCGCATGGGATATACGTGCACTCGCAGAGTACAGCGTGTTATCGATGTCCAGCCAGACTATGCAGCGATCATCATCTGAAGGATATCACCCTGATCAGCCTAAGTGAGGAGAAGTGGAGTCGCATTCTAATGGTATTCCTGACCATGGGATCCCATGTTAAATGTTTTCTGGAATCTGAAGGATCCAACCAAGGTACCGAGTGTGGTGGTGTGTGCAGAGCAAGGTCCGCACACTCGGTGTAGAGTGCGGGCCGCTGTGCGTACAAGCGCCATGATCAGAGCGCCATCAGACGCAGGTCGAGCGCCCATTTCCCGATGTAGCGCATCTCCAGACGCTGCTGACTAAGCTCCATAGCCACCTACGAATCTTCACTAGAGGGCCGTCAACACAGTCCAGCAACCCTCAAGACCCGACTTTGTGAGCATACTTCCTCCTCTATGTGTCTGAGGGGCGTCCAGAGAAACCGTTCATAACGTGGTTAACGTTGGATCGCGTTTTAAACGGATTTTCGGGGATGGATGCACCGACATCCATCAGGATGGCGCCCAAGGACGGATTGCCTGCTTCTTGTTCTAACATACAGCCGTTCCGTTATAGATGGCTCGCAGCAAAGAACTCGTACCCGGCGTCGGCCGCCTCTCTCGCTCGCAGGTCTTTGCCCGCCGCGCACTCTACAAGGGCATCAAGAAAACTGAGAAGCCGGCTGCCACCGAGGCAGCAACAACAAAGGAGGTACAGGTCGGCGGCGAGAAGAACAGCGCGAAGCGTCTCGTGCCCACTTCGAAAGCACCTCGATTCTATCCCGCCGAGGATGTTCGTCAACCCAAGAAGAGCCGTAAATCGCCAAAGCCGACGAAGCTGCGCTCGTCCATCACGCCTGGCACTGTCCTCATCTTGTTGGCGGGCCGTTTCCGGGGCAAGCGCGTGGTGTTCTTGAAGCAGTTGTCAAGCGGGTTGTTGTTGGTTACGGGACCATACAAGGTCAACGGCGTGCCCCTCCGTCGGGTGAACCAGGCGTATGTTATTGCAACCTCGACCAAGCTTGACCTCGGAGACTTCAAAGTATGTTTTACCGTGTATGAGTTTACGGAAGCTCTTAAAGTGCTGTATGATTAGGTCGACGAGAAAATTAGCGACTCATACTTCGCGAAACCTACCGCCAAGGGACATCGGTCAGCGGAGGCTGAATTCTTCTCGGAGGGCAAACCCAAAGAGAAGGAAGCATTCCCCGAGTCGAAGTCTAGCGATCAAAAGGCGGTTGACGCCGCCGTCATTGCTGCTGTCAAGAAGACCGAGAGCCTCAACAAGTACCTCAAGGCGAGTTGGGGATTGTCAAAGGGACAGTTCCCCCACGAGATGAAGTTTTGAGGACAGAGGGCAGCGGTTGGAGCGGAGAGCTGAGGCATGAGCGACTGGGTTGCGGAGGTCTCCATTGAGCCTATGATTTATGATTTGCCATGTAGCATGCATATGACATCTCTTACTTGCCAGCACCCAGTCATTGTATGATGAGCAGCAATGTCGTGTATGCATGCTTGGAGATATTAAACAGACAGTCTGAATCGTATTGCCACTAGTACAGTATTTGTGTCCACCTGCCATTTCTCGTGCCGTTTATTCGACAATTAAAGTGACGCTCGTGCTTTCGTTTGTCGATGCTCACCACGCATGTCTCAAGACTGTCTTCCGTTCGACATGCTGCACGTTTGCGGAGAGCGCAGAAATGCAAACCATTGCACACTTCTCGAACGCTAGTCTCCTCGACTGTACAACATCTTACAGATGGATTCCTGGACTTAGCCATTGCGTTGCCACTGCCGCCCATTCTACCTCCTTACTCCACGACTATCATTGTCGTCACGGTTGTGAGCCGCCTGTTCTTCACCGTCCCCTTCTCTGTCTGGGTAAGCATGATGCTCGCCTCGTTTCTGCGTTCTGTGTTTGCCTCATAGGGCCTTACAGGCTAAGAATCGACAATGGCGGGTGGAGAATTTAGTCAATCCACAACTCCGTCAAGAGATATCCCAGCTGCAAAAGAAGGCGGTTCAGGACATGCGCCATGATGGATTTCGTGGGGACAGAGATGCAGCGCTGGCAGAAGTGAACAAAAGGAGCAACATTCTAGTGCGTCCACACTACTGCCTGTTGCTACCATTGTTGAGATTATCTCCGCAGCTCAAGGCTCGCAGAACTGAGCTCCTGAAAACGCATCGATGTTCATCTTTTTTGACCATGCTTGTGCCGCCCCTGACGCAACTACCGCTGTTTGTTGGCTTTAGCCTGGTACTCAACAATGCCTCACAATCGCCCTCTGTGCTGGACAGCGAGTCATTCCTGACACTAACTTCTCTGTCACATTCTGATCCTACGGCAACGCTGCCAATCGTGCTTGGATTGATAACACTTGCTAATGTGGAAACTGCACGATGGTTTGCGGGCGCTGCTGCTCTCGAGCGCGAAAAGAAGGTTGAAAAATGGGCTGCGGATCGCCGTGCTAAGGGCGAAACAGTTGTAGAGCCTAGGAAAGTTGTTCAAGCTAGTTTGAGAGCGCTTTCCGTGGCTCGTATCTTGATAGCGTCTGTAGTCCCCGGGGTGAGCTCTGCATTACATCTTCAATTCGTGTATATACGTTGAACTCTCGCCTTTCAGAGCATTCAAGTCTATTGGGTCGTATCGGCTGGGTTTGGTTTAGTCCAATCATGGACTTTGGATTGGTGGCACGCTAGGCGAACACAGGCTCGTCATGAAACGCCTGCAGGTCCCTCACAGTCGACTTCATGATATGTTTGCAGGACGCCCATTCATCGTCTACCATAGTAGTGTGCTATTTGGTGAGTCGTGTATCTTTAACGTGCTGGATGACTATAAAACGTGGTTCGAGGGAACCAGTAATCATCCTGAAGGGATACTGGACGTCCAGTGAACTCCTCTTGATCTAATATGACGATAATTGTCAATTGACACATTCTTGTGCCGACGCTAATATGCTAATTACAGGATAATCTGGATGCACGTTAAGATCGCTACTGCGTCTGATGTGTATTCATACAACCAGTGACATCTATTCTATGTTTTGCTCCTAGTAGTGCGCCGTTCCAAGCAAACGCCTTTATAAATATGAGGAATTAGATATTCGTGCTGTGCGCAGAAGAGTCAAGCTCTTTTCCCTAGATGACCGTCTCTCTTGTCTACATAGCGTCCAATGCCCAAGTGCCATGTAATCCTTGGTATCATCAAACTGAATCCCGTCACGATGGTGATCCATAAAATGCCTCCCCAACTTGCCACATCCCATCTGCTGTCTCCGAGTGCCCATAGGGTGATTCCGATGTGTAGAAAATCTCCCAGGAGGAGGGGCTTTAATAGCGCGCCTACGATCTTCTCCTGCAATGCAGGCTGCGAGAATAGGTACTTGCGGCAAGCCGAAAGCACGAAGAAATTCAACAATCCGAGAAGGCCTGCGACGTGGCCGAGCTGGAGGATTGTGACGCGAGTCGCCAGCGGCATCGCGTCGGGAGGTCCGCCTACAGGCCATGGTGCTTGCTGGTCGTGAGTCTGAAAACTGGGGGTCGGCGTGGCTGAGCAGAAGGCAGAAATGGACACGCACGGTTTTTGGATCGAACACAGCACCGATGAAGCCGAGGCTGGTGAGCAGAGGCTCGTACAGCCCGAAGATGACCCAGTAGAAGGTCGGGAGAGCCGTGGACGGCGGCATGGGGCAGAGTGCGGGCGGGAGGAGGTGGCCGACGGGTGGACACCTTTTATAAACCAGCTCCCGGCGATCTGTGCGACTGACGAGCCCGTCAGAACCCGTGGAAGAGGCAAGGGATCTCACACGGTCGGGTCGAAGAGGCGCAGTCGTGTGTGCCAAGGCAGTCGCCATCATTACCGCACCAAATTTGGGTCGGCCATATTCCCCGGCCTGCCCTGAACGATCGACTATTTGGACCCCCTTCGGCGCCACCGCGGGCCTCATCTTACATGTCGGTCCATTTCTTACCCAGGCAATCGACTTCTACTCCTCCGTTGAATTGCCAAATGGCAGGACCAAGAGTGCTCTCGCACGAGATGGAGGGTCTAATGCTCGTTTTTCTGTCGGATATTCCGCCGGTGGATCTCGGGCTTCGCCCCTTCTGACATACTTATCTGTTGCGTCTCCAAAGTTACACGTTGTCGCCTCGCCTCGTTCCCGATGTTCTTGAGCATATGCAGATTACATAGCCTTCCCTGTAGCTTGTCAGTCATGTGTCCATGTGTACTGGACTGTGTAACCTCCATCTCGAGTATACACGCAATGTGTGGCAGTATATCAATCTACCACAACTCGGTGTTCAGTGCCTACATGCCAACTGTCGGGTGTATTTATGCAGGGTATTTCGCAAGAAGTATCCGTTGATCCTGGCAGCAACTCGGGTAACTGTATATAACATCAAGGTATAGGTTGACTGTAGCGATATGGAGAAGGGTATGCAAGTGTTAGCGAGCAGATTCGGGCTGGTCAATGCCAAGTGCGGCGAGATACTCCTGATGTTCAGCGCGATGCTTGCGAACTGTCGAATCCACTGAATGCCTCCATATAGGTAGGGCAATCTACAAACGTGATCGGATGTCAAGCATTGGAAAAGCCTGTGACCACGCAACAACTCACGAAGCCGATCACACCGTATAGCATGTCTAAGAAAGTGCTGTTACGTGGCGAAGACCCAGCCGTCGATGCGCGGAAGACATTTCCGATGAAATCATACGTGATGTGGAAATCACCGTTCTGTACACCTGTGTCAAGCATGACTGTCAACTCCGGACAGCATTCATCACTCGCTAAAATGATACCTCGCAAAAGTCCGGCTGCAACTACCTCTGGGGTTGCTCCTCCGTCCGACTCTTCGATCTTGAGAGTAAGCTTCGGCTTATTTCGATTTTCTTCCTCATAGCCCGGAGTATATATTGTCCCAGGGAAACAAATATGCACATCTATACCATATAGTATCAATTCCGACTGGAGAGCTTCTGCAAGGCCTGCACACGTCATCAGATCAACTTTGTAAGACGCACGAGCATGACATTACCTCTGAGAGCGAACTTTCCGGGGGAGTATGCTGAGTAGCCAGCGATGGAGAAGTATCCGAGGACTGATGAGACAAAGACGATTTTCCCTTTCTCGCGTCGACGGACCATCCTCTTAGTGCTGACCTTGGGTGCCGACTTAACAGTGTGACAACGAAGATGTGATAGAAGCTCACTAATGCTGACGATGCTTGTGCCCAGAATGTGTCGTCGAGGCCCTTCCTCAGAAACGCCTCATCTTGCTCAACGAAAAAGCCCGGAGTTGACCTTCCTGCACATAGAAAGGCGACGTCTGGGGATTTGCCTCCATGTGCTTGAGCAGCAGCCTCTAACGCGGCGGCAGCGCCCTGTTCAGTTTCAACCGCATAGGAATACGCCTTCAGAATCTGATTGGGTGTCTGGCGTACGGCCTATCCAAGACTTATGCGCTCAGCAATTTCTATCACTAAACTAGGCGCACCTCCAACTCTTCAAGTGCTTTCTGAAGCCGCTGTTCGTTGCGTGCGACTATGGACACGTCGGCTCCCTTCTTGGTCAAAAGGATGGCCAAGGAGAGACCCAGCCCCGACGAGCCACCTGTGATGTAACAATGCTAAGTGGCAGTCAGCATCATGTAAAACCGGAGGGGAATAGCGACGCAACTCGACCACGGGGATCCCATTTGCGCTTGAATAGCTGAGATATGAACATAGCAGTTGCCGCTGCAAGCAAGAGTGAAAGAGCTATCCTAAGCATTGACTTACTGAGCTAGCATCACACTGGGACGAGCCAGGGCTGCAGTCGGCATGAACAGAGGTCGGGCCTAAGCGCAGGATCATTTGAAATGTATTACATAAGCAGAGCCGGCGGTCGATCGACGCGTTGGTTCGAGTCCTCCACCCACGGACCACGACTAGGACTTCCGTTAGTCCTCCGAGTCTCCGTCTAGCTCTGCTCAGTCAGTCAAAGGACTGTCTATGTCCCATGAAACTCCTTTATCGTTGCCGCTGGAAGACCCAAAATTAGCTCTCGGCGGTCTGCAAACTTCGAGCAATAGTTCTAATACCCAGAGAGAAAAGGATGGGGAGGAGCGGAGCGGAAGTGTTGGCCATGGTGACGAGGATGTTGGGTCTGCCTTAGCACATCACATCTCGATATCTGATGCTGCCTCTCTTGCGTCCATCGACCGCCCGCCCGGAGAAGAGGAGAAGCTACCCCCTGCCAAGGTCTACGCTCCGTACTCTTTCCCGGTCTTAGCGCTCTTGATGCCCGCCTCGGTGTTCGGATGTCTCGCAAGGTTGGGCCTTGAGGCTTTGGTCACATTTGATGGACAAAGTATATTCCCGCTTGCATGGGTCCAAGTGGGCGGGTGTTTCGTCATGGGTTTCTGTCTCCGATTCAAGGAACCCTTCGGCCAGTTGTAAGCATCTAGCTTGTTCGCTGCTGAGAAGCTTGTTTATTCTGCTACGCCAGTTATGGGCCGTTATATACTGCGTGTACGACCGGTAGGAGCTTTCGTATTTTCAAAGACTATGCGTTGACTCGGGACATAGGCTTCTGTGGATCTTTCACTACGTTTTCCTCTTGGCAGTTGTCTGTATTTCAAGCATGGATCAATGCAGGCCACTTCGACCGACATTGGTTACACGATGTTCGTCCTCCGTAACTCAAGCTGTCCATAATCTGACATGCTACTCACAGGTCATAGCCGGATTGACCCAGATGTTATTTACACTCGATTTGTCCCTGATTTCGATCCAATTTGGAGCACATATAGCATCATTGGTGCACCCCTTCATCCCATCCTTCCCATCACCCAACAAAACTTTGCGTTACGGTCTTACCGCACTCGCAGTCCTCATATACGCCGCCACGTATCCCGCCTACTTCCGTTTGCCCGAATCATTCAGACATAAGGCGACCTCCGCACTCTTGTACTCGTTCCCAGGGACTCTCACACGCTACGTCTTATCAATTGAACTCAACCGTCGCTTTCATCTCTTCCCCGTGGGGACATTCTCAGCCAACATGCTTGGGACGGCGCTTATTGCCACATTCACCGTGCTCGAGAGCACGCGAGGGCCACCCAGCCCCAACGGCTGTAACGTTCTGATTGGGTTGGCGGACGGATACTGTGGGTGTCTGACTACAGTCAGTACATTCGCGGTAGAAGTGGCGACGCTGGAAACCCGAAGAGCATGGTTCTATGTCATAATCAGCCTAGTTACTGCGCAGTTGCTGCTGCTCGTCATTCTGGGCCCTTCGTACTGGGCGGGGAACGTGAGTGATCAGATAACATGCTCTTACACATAAACTATCACTTTGCCGCTCATCATTAGAAGCATCACTTGGTGTGTTGCCATTCGGATATTCTCGTCTGTATACCCAGTTTGGAGCCTGCTATTTGCACCATTTTTGGGCAATTGTATCAAAATTTCATGTTACTCAAACGTCTGGGATTCCACTGGCGCGAGTAACACACGGTACATTCTCAGGAACAAGCTGTTTGGGCGGTTAAATTGGTCCATTGTTCTATTGGCGGGAATCCCTCCGTGCAGACGTGTCCATCGGTGAGTGCGTATTTTAGGTCGAGACAACCAATTAAGGGCGCTTCCGTGGGCATGTATTGTGCGCCTGGCGGCAAAGGATCTATATTTGTCACAGCTGGGCAAGGTGCGAAAGAACATCGGACATGTTCAAGACATATGATCATCTTGTGCGTCTCGTTTGTTGAGGTCATCACTCAACTTGACACGCGTGCACAGCGATGCAATCCTGCGTGCGACTCAGAAAGGCTGGAGTAAGCACACGGCGCAGGCCACCGCATCGATGTCTGCCAGCCAACCTAAGCCTTGAGAACATGCGCCGCCGAGCACTCCTAGTTGCTCCCCCTGGTAATCCTCACACTAGCACTGTTAGCATCCGACCCCGAGTAGGTTGACGCAGCGGGGTCAATAGACAGCCTGGGCTATGATATGTCTGCATTCTTATCATGGAGTAATTGAGTGAAGTCACTAAAGAATGCAGCAACACAAAGACCCGTACCGAGTAGACAGTACACACATGTCACAGCATGCACGAGTCCTTCGAAAGGGGTACAGCACGTACCGTATGGTGTCCGCATTGAGCGCCTCATTGGGATCGATGCGGTATCCCCATCCTGGCGCTGATTTGGCAAAAGAGCCATTCTAAATTCCTGATGCGACTTCACGGGAGCAATTTGACTGGAGTGATGTGCCAGTACACGAAACAAGGCACCGCCGCTCTTTAACCGCCGCAGCCCCTCAGTAAATCAGACAAGTTGTTGCAATTGCAACTTGGAGATCGGTGTCAAGCAAGTCTCGAGCCGGCTGAGTTCGCCAAGAGGCGGGTGGTGGCGCTCAAGTGGCGCGGACGGCGGATCTACCGAACGCGTCTCACGTGCTTAAGACGCGTCGCGTCGCGTCATACTCCCGCGCCATCGTCACGTCGTGGTCTAGGCATCCAACCGAATAGAACCTGTGTCGAAACTCAGTTCGTGTGTATGATATATTCCATCTCCGAAATCCTTTCTACCCATGACAATGCAAAGCAAAACGCGATGCTGTATGCTAAACAAGATGAAAACTCAACCTAGCCTGCTCTCCTAGCAGGCCCATCTCTTCCTCGAGGAGCGCCCGAGAATCACAACAAAAGCAGGATAACGAACAACGCATCAGCACAGGCCGCAGAGGAGACAAAGATAGTACGAAGAATAAATATAGCGCTGTGATGGACGTGACTATGATATGCATGCAGACGTTGGACGTGCACAGGGAGTACCGTATCGTGTTGAAGCTGACATGGGAGCATGATGACGTTGAAAAAGGATATGAGTGTCATTAGATCGCTGCACAACCCACTCCGGTCAACATTCGGACCGAGGGTTATAGGGTGGTGCAACTGGTGGTGTACAATGCGGATGGTAGCAGGAGCGTTACTGCAAACGGTTAACAACGTTCTATAGTTGAGCAGGCAGTCCACAATGGGTCGCCGGGAATCAAGTGTCGAGGGTGACAGCGGCGATATCGAACCAATGACATATGATGATGAGTGACAGTGGAGGGGTAAACGCGGCGTCGTGGTATCCATGAGATTGAGGCGTGGCAGGTCAGTCGTAATTGGGAGAGGCAATTACATAGGGAGACTCTGGTTCTTTTCTTGAACGAGCGTCTCCAACTCCTTTCGGAAGATTTCGCGCGTTCGCGATCGCGAATGCATGCGTATCCGGCTCTGCCAGTCCTTAACCCAAGCCCATCGTGACAGCCGTTCCTCTGCAGAATCCACATCCAGCGGTGGTACGGATGATGTTGAGGTTGACAACCAGTGACGCAGATGATCTCGGCCCAAAATAGGTGCCAGCGAGAGTATAGAGAGGAAGGCGAGCTTGAAAAGAATTTCCGGCGACGTGAGAAGGGATCGTACGCTCTGGTGTGCGGGCGACGGATTGGAAGCGACAGTTTGGAGAATGTCGCCTATTTGACAGGTTACTGCTGTCCATGGTAACGCACCCAGGAAGGATCCGAGGAAGCAATCCCAGATGGCGACGCCGCAAACACCAGATGCAATGTTGATTCCTGCCCAAGGAACTACGCCAATCAGACGCAGTATTGAAAGCCGCACCCACGCTTGCTTATGCTTATTGCTGGAAAGATTGCCTATGCTAGAGTCACCTTCCAGTGCTGATCGTGTGAGCTCTAAAGCGCGGGGAAAGACTTGGGTAATGAAGGGGGCTATTGGTGCCGCGAGGAGTGTCGCACAAATGGACCCCACAGTGGTCAACAATGTGAACAGAACGGTAGCAAGTGCCGGAGACACGAGAGCACCGGCTAGGACATTCTGCGAGAGGCAAACATGAGCCAAACGGGAAGTGGATACAGATTCTTGGCACACGTACCCATATGACGCTGCCGGGTATTGACCAAGCATGTTTCCAAACCGCGGTGATAGAGATAACAGCAAGAACATGAACCATGGCGGCGGGTCCACTCTGAGTATAGCCCTGAAGTTCACGGCCGAGCTCTGCGAGGTCGGTGAGATTTCGAGGCCACTGGAGAGTAATGGGAAGGGTAGACATGGCGAGGACAACTAAAGCAGCCGAGAGAGGAAACAAAATGAGCACAAACAACACGGGGGTGTGTATCTGGGAGTGGATTAGAATTTGACCTGGCAGGCGTAAAAGGTACGCACTGAAGGGGGCCCCCTGAGAAGCCATCTACGAGATGGAGTTTGCGAGGTGCCTGGAAATGCATCGGCGAATGTCGTCTGTGTTGGTGAAGCGGAGAGAGGCAGAATGGTAGAATCTGTGCTTGCACGACTGAGACGGGGAGAGGAGGGGGTCGAGAGGTCCTGATGGCTCTGGGAGAGGTCGAGGAGGTGGAGGCATCTGGAGAGGGTAGATGCAAGATGGGAATCTGAGGAGGGAAGGGAGGACAACTGGAGGTCGTGGATGGGGGGAGTGTGCGGAGGAGTGATCATGGGGGACTGGACGGGAGGGAGAGCGAGCAGCGAGTTGGACCTGCGACGCGAACCCAGGGTACTGAGAGTCAAGGGCGGGCGGACATTCGTGGAGGACGCACGGTGACGGTTTGGAGGAGGAACAGCAAGACAGGCCATCTGCATAAGCAGGGGAAGAAGGGAAAAGAAAGATGAGAAGATGAAGGCGGTTGAGGACGTGAGGCGGACGAGGCGTTGGCCGGACAAGCGGGCCTCTTACGCATCCGACCTCTGTCAGCTCCCACGCCCTCTCGGCTCCGGCACGCTTACGCGACTCCCGGCTCCCGCATCTCGAGACGCCTTGTCCGATGCCGTGCCGCTGCCAGTCTGATGCTCACTCAGCGCCCAGATCATGTCCCCAGTCCAGTCCGGACGGCATGCATAGCGGCAGCGACTAGATAGCATACAGTTACAGTGGACGCATAGAACATCGCGCGGGCAACCCTCCCCAGCAATCGATAGCCATAATAACATCATCATCCCTCCTTTTAGTGACCTGTCCTCCTGCTCTCCTGGATGATCGTTCCAAGCTCCTCCAGCTTGCGCTTCGAGCGCAGAAGCGTACCGAGCTGTATTCGCACCGTGAGCCAACAAATCGACCTCCAACTCGACAGCAACGTACCCGCTTCTTGGTCAATTTCCTTGCCTTCTTGTCCTGAGGCAGTCAAAGTTAGACAACTCGTCGCCCGCAACACCGGGTATACTCACCTTCGAGTTTCTCAGCAGCTCCATCACCCGACGCTCATATGGCGAGAAGCCCGCTACTTCCCGTACAACAGAGCGCACGACCTTCGTGCGTTCAGACTGGATGCCCTTACGCTGGCTGGGGCGGACACTCTTTGCGATCGGCGTCGTGGGGTGACCCTTGTTCAGGCCGTAACGGAGGTCTATACATTCGCATTCCTATCGCATCAGCATCGTCCTAGCCGACACACCGACAAAAAGCGATGAATACGCACTAGAGCGGGCCATTTTTCTTGATGTCTTGAGGGATCTTGCTTCGTCGCTGCAGACTTGGGACGGAGCTGTCCTACTCTACCACGTGACCACACCTGTGGCTGCGGTACTGTACAGTTGCTGGCCGAAAATCGTTTAAAGTTCCCACGCCCCCTTTGGGAAGCCAAGAATTCACGCAGGAACAGCGCAGAGCATCAGAAAGCCGGTCATCGGGTATCCAGATGTCTACATAGATAGAGTTTGCATAGCTGGGAGAACAGAGATAGGCACCGTTACGTCTGTACTAAACAAGAACAAGTGTAATGTAATGAATTGCTTGTGATTCAATCGTTTAGCACACTTGTGCGGCCGGCCTCGTGGTCCACTGTCGCACGACCCTAACCTTGGACCCCCCAGGAGAGAATTGTTCGACGAGTGGCCGAGCACTTCGGCCATGCGGCATATATGGAGATGAAGATGGAGATTTGTCGACAGGTGTGGGTGGTCGCAGAGAGGGCGCCGACACAGAATGAACCACAGTCCGGGTCCTCATGCTTGAAGACGGTTCTTGTAGTTCCTCCTCTTCCTCCTCCTCCTCATCGTCGTCTGGACCGTCGACTGTGTCCTGCAAAACAGGGTCAGGTACGCATAAGTGAGAACTCGCATAAAACATACTGCAAAGTCTTCCATGGGCCTGTCATCATCGATGTCATCATCGTCCTCTTCATAATCTTCATCATCGTCAAGCCACCTCCCCTTCCAGTCAACATCTTCCAGCTCCTCCGCACTCCAAGGCCTGAGCCGCATCCATTGCATTCGCGGACCGCTCTTCGCCCTCTCGCTAACTTTGAATCCATAAATTTTAGGCACATAAATTCTGCCCTCTGCTTGTTTTTGGCCGCCATAAGGATTCGGATTGATGAAGGGCGAGGTGTGCGACGGTGAGCCACCCGAAGATCTGGGGGATACGGAGGAGCTAGAGGGTGAAGGAGGCTTCCAGAATGGTGCCGGGGCAAGTTCGCGGTAGCTCTGGAAGAAAAGGTGTGCAAAGGTGGTTCCAAAGAAGGCGCCTGGGGAGGACACAATCAAATTTCGCTGCCAGTCATGGAGAGAAGGGAGCATACCATCTACTCCTTGGAATCGGCTACTAGGTGGTGTGTAAATGTCATTGCAGTTTGGACAGAAGAGCTTCACTGTGTCAAGGCCAGGGAGATCCGATCGCCCGCACGGTAAGACATTACACCCATGACAATAGACTCGTGGGCATGAACCAAACATGCCCCCTTCATACTTGTCGACCTAAAGTCTCATAAACATGAACGTCCTAAGCACTGAGAATGCTCTACAGCATACCATTGCTTGCAGCCCTGCTCTTGTCAGGACGTAGCGCTGGTGAACAAGACCATATAATAACTCAGCTGATGCTTCGACTATCGACACATCAGGAATTTTTGTGGTATCTTCATCTTAAATATGAGTGAAAGACGAAGGGCGCATGAGAGTATCAATACATGTTCATATGACAGATAGCGGATAGTGGACGCACCCGGTTCGACATCCAGAACCATCTCCATAGCTTCCTTCCAAAATGGAACCACCAAATTTAGTCCGGTAAGATTAAAGTCATCTTCGATGAAATCTTCGGAGACCTCGCAGAAGTATTCATGTCCCGGCAAACAGCAAAACCAGCTGATCCAAGTCAATGTCGATGTAGGAGTGGAAGAACCTGCGTGGCCCACACATGATCAGCAATCATAGCACACTTCTATGCGGTGCGCACAGAAGGTGAAGAGATAATGGTTGAAAGTGATAAGACGCACTGTCGCCATCTCTTTGTTCATCTATGTCCTCCATAATCTCGTCGCCCTCTCCGGTTTCACTTAAGATCTCTTCCTCTTCGACTTCATCCTGTATGACCTCCACGGGTGCTTGCTGGGCGCGCCTTGACATGTCCTCCCCACAAGATGTCGACCAAAACGTAATTGGATGCAAGCGCAATGGCGCAGCAGCTCAAGTGAGCCAGGGTTTGAGTCGAAACTCGACCTGCAGCTGTGGGTGAGGGTATGGTTGCCACGAGGCTCCTCGGCGTATGTGCTAAATCGGGAAAGATCTGGGATACCGTAAATGGCAAGTTAGGTGTCTGTCTTAATTTGCGCATTACTGCGGCGGCCCACACATGCACAGTAAAGAGTCAAAGTACGACATGTATAATGATTTGAATGCACAAAGCTGTAACAAAACTATCCAGAGCTAGGAAGCACAACCGCACGAAAATTGTCAGCATAAGCAACGAGTATCTGATAGACCTAGTATTAACATATAGCAATGTAGAGACTCACCAGACCCATGTAATGTTGGGTCGGACGAGTCAGAATGTCGTCGGAAGGGTGAAGCATGGAACACCGAAGTATTCCTTCACAACCACCAGCACTTCCGACTCCTTGTTGGGACGAATAGAGGCGGGATTGACTCCGGCCCAAATATGCCCTCCGCGGATATTGTTGAGTCCTTCCTTGTGGATCTTCTCTCGCGCTGCAGCAACCTTGACAAATAGCTCCATCCCTAGGCTATTCGCCTCCGCGAGCGAGAGAGACTGACCTCGGGTGATCAGGGTAGCGTAGGCGAACACAAGGTCGTTTGGGTCTAGGTTGTATCGCATCCAAATACTGATCTTGAGCATTGGATCCATAATAAGCATTTTGAGCTGAGAGACCGCGTGGAAACGTAAACTATCGATTTGCCACCGGTCAGCCTGGTCTAGTATGGATGACCACTCGTCAGCCGTCGTCGCTCTCCATGAACCAAGAACGCTAACAAAATCTGTCTTATGAGTGCAGATAGAGACAGAATGCGCGATGCAAACACTAACGATGGATATAATATCCAAAGCAGCCGTATAAAATCCCCACCGTTGACCCCGGCAAGGACGATGGGATTCTCATCTACTTTCCCTTCCGTCGAGTTTTCCGGGGGAGGCACACACCACATCTCCCGGAATACAGTGGAGTGACGCTCAAGTATAGAGCGATGCAGTTTGTAAAGTGTGTTCTCTACCTATAAGACTGATCTGTTAATATTTATTCTAATTGTGGCAGTCTGACGAGAACATACTAGTAGAATAACATTCCCGTCCCCAAAATAGTACTCTCTATGGCGCTTCGGTACATCTGTCTCTGGATTTGTCCCTGATGATGGCGACCCAAAGATGCTGTGTAGAGGATCAGAGTTGGGCGGAACCTGCGATGGGTCGTAACTGCCAAACCCGGCATTGGTCGACATGCTTAGAAGACAGTTGCAGATATGAGCTTCAGCAACTTATGCTGCCGTTAATATAATGCTGCAGCGGTCGCGAGCTCGTATACAAAGACAAGTTACAAGTTTGCTGATCAATCGGCCCCGTGTGGGTAATTAGTCAAGCGGCTTACCGGGTTAATTAGCGACCACACGTACTCTTCCAGGAGATATAGTCCAAAGCCTGAGCAATATCCTGTGCACTCGTTTTCATAGGCGACGGACGTTCGAGCTGTGTGGCAGACTCGCCTCGTTTATTCGATGCGGCAGCATTAGTCGCGGACATGTGATCGCGTTCTTCACGCGTTGTCGGCGCTACTGTGCTCCTTGGCTCTTGCCAACTGCATAGTGCATACTATTAGCTTCTCGGTCATCCAACGCGTCTATCCTCTTTCTGTGTAACCCGAACCACAGAGAAGATATATTCTATACCTTTACTTCTTGATGGCGCGGGATCCATTGCAAAGCTCACCTCCGTCCCTCGGAAACCGCAGCCAATTCCACTTCAAGCCCCAGAATGCAGGCTCGAAGGCCGAACTAAATTTCACAAGGGCACAATTCATGCAAGGGGGCTCGAGCAATGCGACAGATGAGCGACGCGCAGAGAGCGATCGCGTATTGAAGCCGCCCATGGCGAATTTACAGAGGACTGATCATTCCGACACCGGACGCGGCCGACTCATTTTTGGCGCGAGGTTTTCGTCACCCCAGGTGGAACATCCACAACCGCAGAAGCCTCTTGTCTCCGGTGAACATGCATATAGTCAGATGGATATATCAAGTTTGCCGTCTGTTGCATTTAGGCTGCCGTCTCCCCGAGCCACTGAACCACTACGTGAACATCCGTTGCCGATTGTAAATTTGTCGCGCAAAGCCTCAATACAGCAATCTCAATGTATTGATACCAATAAAACTGGTCCGAGCAGGAGTCTGCATTATCGATTCGGAGGGCGTGAGTCTGTTTGACTCTTGTTTGCACATATACAACCTTTCCTTAATTATCTGACCAAATCTTGTTATCATTCCCACAATAAGCTATGCACGAATCTGTTGAAATTACAGCAGTGCCTCAATCCATGAGCACCTCCCAGCACCGAGAGTCTCATGTTCAAGGGACACCCTCTCAGGAGGTCGCAACCGTCAATCGCATTTCGAGTGTTCCATCAGTCGACGTCGTCCAACCTTCGTGCTCGAGAAGTGCCTCTGTAGTTAGTTCAGTTTTGACGCGTCAGGACGAAGATATATCTTCGATCATGATGCGCGGTGCAACTGATCTCAGAAATGCCAAGTTTGAAGTGGAAGAACAAGTAGGTCAGACCGGGTATTCGATTTTTTTTGTGAACTGAAGAGATATACACAGCGTCGTGATATTGAATTCCTGCAATCACAGATAGAAAGCTTAAAATGCGAAAAGGAGGATGCACTTAAACGTTTGCAGGGAATCAAGCACGCCGCTAAACAGAGCCTAGAGACGACCTCGAAGAGGTACGACTCACACCATCGCTCATGAGAACGAGGCTGCATATATGCGCAGCTTTCATAGCCTAGAAACCACGATGAACGAGTTGAAGGCTCAATCTCAATCGTCATTTGAATTTGTCATCCAAAGTCGCCAATCACTGCCCAATGTACAAGATCTCCGAGAAACTATCGCTAACGCTATGAAAAGTGAGTATTGGCGACACGAAGAACAGACTAACTTAACACAAGCAGGTATCGAACCACTCCTAGACGAAGGCGGACGCTTAGCTCAAGCGTCGACAACTAGGAATATCATCGACAATCTAGAACTTGAGCGCGAAAAGTGTCAGTAGAATTTTCTTGGCTGCTTATTCTGCACCCACTCATCGTCTATTCACCGCGCATATAGCCCAGCAAGTTGCGGATATACTTCGAGATCGCCTCCAATCTGTGGGAGCAGAGCTTGTCGATGCCAAATGTCGCATTACAGAGTTAGAGGGTGGACAGCTCGCTGATCGTCAGGCGCTTTTTGCCTCGACGGATAGCATCAACACCGCTAGTACGTCTCTACAGCATACTATATTCCTGTCTCATCTGTTCACGCGTACTAGGTCAACAGTTTAGTGCATTGGCGGAGAGGTTAGAGAAGCAACAGCGAGATATGTATGAGATCTTGGCTACTGCTGCGGACGCAGAAGCAAAGCTAGTGGCCGCTACGGAACAGTAGGTTACTCAACTTTGTTGGATTCGGTCACGAGGATTCATCAGCTGCCAGGGTTGCGCATCTCAAAGCAATCATAGTGGAGAAGGACGATCGACTACGGGCATTAGAAGATGTTCAAAGAGAGTACGCGCAAGATTTTCGTCTTCACTATTGGGTATTAACTTTGTGTCAGAAATTTGCACATGTCCAGCGAGCTCGCTAACCATGAAACCAGAATCTCTTCGCTTGCCTTGACTGCTCAGGAGTAGGACACGGTCATTCATCGCAAAATTCTGTTGACACATCTTTATCTTTTTAGGTTGGACACCACGCGCTCCACTTTGCGTGAGCGTGAGACTAGAATTCGTGTACTGGAGTCGTCCGTGGGTATCAAAGACGAAGTGATTTCTGATATGAAGACAAGGTGTGGTAGCCTACGAAGGCGAACCGTACGTCAAAATCTGATCGTTCGAAATACTAGATTTTCCGTGCTAGAAACTCGAATATCCGAGAACTTGGCGGTGATCTCTGGGCTAGAGGCAGATCTTCGAGATCATCAAAATCGCCAAACCCTCGCAAGAGAACAATGTAACGAGAGCGTAATCCACATCGGTAAACTACAAGAGGAGCTTCAAGAATTGCAAGGGAAGCTGGAGAGAATGCATCATGAACGCAAGATCTGTGACGAGAAGTGCGCATCAGCCTCTACGTTAGATGTTTATATTCATAAAGTCCAATGTACAGGCTGCAGCAAGCCAACTCTCGCTGTCAGGTATGTTTAGGGGTAACGAATGCCATTGTCTCATAACACTGCTCGGTTAGACTCTTGAAGAGCGTTTCGAGGACCAGTCAGTGACATTGAAGATTACTAGAGAGTCAAATGGAGACTTGCAGGTATGCTGTATTTTCGTAGACAGGCTGGTTCTCCTAATACTACTCCTCAAAGGAGCGCTTGCTTGCCGCCGAGGCGACCCACGCGGTATGTAGCGCATGCGAGTGTGACCACCACTCTCATGTCTTTATGTGGACTTGTAGCGAGAGCTCGAAGCAACGAGGGCGGAGTTGAGCTGCGAAATTATCTTGCTCAAAGAGCAGAAAGCGACGTCGCAAGACAAGATCCGCGACCTAGAACGACAGCTTACAGCTCAGGATGCCAGAGCCGGGACGCTTAAGGATGCTTACGAGGATAAACTGAAGGAACAGAGCAATACATACGCTGTCCTCAAGGAGGCAGAAGAGAAACGAGCAACACGTATTGATAGCGAACTAGAGCGGTCACGATCTGCCGCTGAAACTTTGCAAGACAGGCTTACCTTGGCTACAACTGAGTTAATCGATCTTCGCTGCCAGTTGAACTTGGCACAAACGGCGTCCCAATCACAACTGGAACAGATAAGTGTCCTCCAATCCAACATCCAAGACATGGAAAGAGCTACCCGCGCGCTGTCGGATCGCGCGAAGACTATCGACGTTCGCTACAAGAAGGGTGATTTGGTGCGCATTCATGTTATCTGTCTGCCGGAATATTGTTCTAACCGAAGATTTCCCACAGGACGAAGATGAGAAGACATTTATACAGAGTCTCATACAAACTTCGCAGGCGATACACGAGAAAGAATTGGTCGCCAAAGGCAATGAACTTCGTCGCGTGAGTGGATGGCTTGCTATTTGCGTTTCTAATGGACCATTGTCACCATTGTCCAGCGAGACAATATTATTAAGGACTTGCGTTCGAAAGTACATTTATTGGAATCCACACTTGCCAAACATCTTCAATCTCAGGTAAGTGGCAATAACCCTAATTCCGGGGCATCCGAAGAATAGAAAGTAGGCCAAGACCAAAAGCGTTACATTCGTTCCTACGACCACCGCAGCCTTGGAGCAGAAGTCTATGATTGATCCGACAACCTGGAAGTCTTCTGACGCAAGCAGTTCTCCACTTACATCGCAAGCTCCTGATAGAGATGAGCCCGTAAGTGGTAGCCCTGACTTATAGATATGATCTTTGCAAGCTTCAGGTAGTCAACGAATGTGGACCCCGTTACAAGCAACAAGTCGATGCCCACCGCTCTACCTCTAGTTGGCCGAACAACCGCCGCTATTCGGATGATTACTGATCGAACTTTGCCCGTACCATTTCGACCAGAAGAGTCACAAGTGGTACCTGCTAGCTCTGACACACCTTCTGCGGCGCATCAACCGTCTCCGCTGGAAGAACCATCGGACCGTTTTTTTTTCAGAGCACTCGCGAGGGATTCCTCGGACGATATCATAGATTTTGAAGATCCTCCCGCTAGCACTTTGCCTCTGGCAGCAGCCCTCGGCAAGAGAATCAAAGCTAGCCCCCCGCCTGTGAGCGTTGAACCGAAAGTAGCTAATCCTAAACCGCCGAAGCGTGCGGTGAGCCAACTATTGACTCCAATTCTGAGAACTCTATTCAAAGTTCATTCACGTTCGTACAGAGAACATCAATTCATAAACCCGAAGACGCAGCCGTCTCGGTGGTTTCTGGTGACAAGGTATGTAGGTTATGAGACCACTACCTGGCACAGGTAGTCCGCATATACTGAGACGAGCATACTACTAATTGTTGTCAGCCTGACCCTCATATTGGAGCATCAAAGACCAGATCGCGGAAGCGGCGCTGAACTGTTTTAAGGGCTTGTACCGTGTTTCGAAATTCGGAATGGACTGGTCAACTTCCTCCCGTAATTATTGGTGTTCTCTGTACGCCCATCGAATGTTCGGGGAAAGTTCATGTTTAGGCTTTTGTAACGCAACCTTGCCATTCCTCTCCATGTAAATTCTACATGTCATGAAAAATCCCTATCATACAATTATTCATTCAATCGCCATTTGTGGACGACGGATGGGGCTCCACAATAATCTCAAACAATCGACCTTCGAGTATTCTTATTTCAATGAGCCGCTACGGGCCACGGCGTGTAGCTATAAGTGGACCCCTTCGTCCTCATTCATTACGGCTGCAGATGGAGACGGCGCATCCGAGGAAAACTGTTGAGCGAAAGAATCTCCTACTGTATGAGGTCGATCATTCTGATGCGGCCACGAGGGGCCACCGACGACCGCGGCTGGGAGAATTACTGGATCATAATGGCTACTGAGACCAATCCCTCTTTCACTCAGGGCCATTTTCAGTATCGTTATTCTCTCTTCCTGAGAGCCACTGTCCAAGTCCGTGAGGGATGAAGAGAAACAACCAGTTCTGGCACTTACATGACGACCTCATTCTCTTCTATCGCTTTGGCGAACTCAGGATCTGGATCCGAATCTGCGACTTCCTGTAGCTCTTCTTGCGTTCTTTTGAGATGCGAAAGAGAATTCTGGAGACGAGATATCTCTGCAAATTCCTGTTACCAGAGAGACATGGTGCCATAGTGTGCTTTGCAACCTTCTGTTAACGTTGAGATATCCATCATCATAGCTTCCTCCAATGTGAAGGGTTGGTCGTATCGTGGGCTATATTCCATGGTCAGGAATTTGTGAAACAGTGGGAAGCTGCTAATGAGCAGAGGGGCTGTGAGGCGCGTTAACAGCAGCAACACTAGTAGCGGTGTATTATGTAAGTAAGCATCTCTAAAAAGTACAGCGCCGCGGTGTCCAAGCTGAGAACTGTATGCATAATAGATACATTGCAGAAATGCGTATGGAAAGCGAACGGGCGTATGGAAGGACAGTGATACGGGAGTGCGGAGGAGCTATACACCCAGTCTAGAACAACAATCAGCGCACACTCGGATAATAGAGGATGGTGCGTTTCACGCACTTCTTCTTGCTAGATTCATACACAACGTAGGATATGGAGACGGCTGGCACAACCTGTCGTTCCCCTTAACATAGGGCGCGAGGTCCGGAGAAAGCGACAACGTACCTTCGCCAACGTCGGAAGCAATCCACGGTAAAACCCTCGCCATCCATCCCGAGCATAAGTCTTACGTACTACGTCCATAATGCCAGAATATCGTTGCGGATGCCCAGAAGACCCAGAGGCCTGCAAGCGTGTCCGGACGAGATTTAGCGGATAGACACTAGTCGCACCAATGCTTCCAGAGACGCTGCCGAAGGCGAGTAAGGCGAGCACTCCGGGCTCATCTTTTCGTGTTGATCGCAGGTACGCGAGCTTGAGAGCCTCAAAGGTGCTCATATCAATAGCTGAATACCTGGAGGAAGTATCAGACAACATTGCATTATTGAAAACAGCGTACCACATACGGGAATACACCGACTAATCCGATCTGCACTGCGATCAGTAAAAAGTCCAAATCATGGGAGTATAAGTTGACTTACGGTCAACCCGCGATAAAAAGCTCTAATTCCACCCAGCGCCCACACTCTACGAGCCGCGGATAGCAACGTCCGTTTGTGCTCACCTGTACTGCTCATCATTTGAGTCTATCACACCTGTGAGCTGCCATGAAGTTTCATTAAGATTAGCTCGCGGACACACCTTCAATGTCTCTATTGGATATATACCTAGCGATAGAAATATACTGTCACCAAGATCCATAAGGTAGATGCCATGACGACGTACTTAGTTGACTGCTAATTCCACCCATTCCTCCGGAGAGGAAACGACTGACACCGCTGATTTCTCGGGGGTCGTCGACATGGTCCCAGTATTTAGCAAACATCCGTTTCTGGCGGTCATATTCATTGACAATTAATCTATTATATGGTGGAAATGACTGACGGATGATTCATAAGCTAGAAACTTGATCGCTGACTCCGGGAGAATCTTTGCGACAGACAACCCGTTACCAGTCCAAAACGCCCGTACGCCACCCTCCGCATATATGCGGGCGACAGCACTACCGATCGCTTTGACGCCTCGAACGGGAGCTTTGGAGTCCAGCGCTACTCCTCCAAGATCTGGAGGTCGTGTAATCAGGAATATCTTGAGACGGTCAAATGGAGCAGTGCATGTTCTCGAAACTGAGAATGGCGTCATTGTCTTGGAAGCATAATTCGGCTATAAAACTTACCACCACCAGCAAAGCCCCCCGCGAGGAGAAACTTCGCAGCTGTGGATCCCTCAAGCCAGTGGTGTTCACTCCCGTCTTCTATAGCATCCTCCTCCGACTCATATTCGTCGTCGTCTGGGGTATCATGGTCTACGGGAATACTTGCATGCTCTTCCGCTTGTAATGGTGGCCTTGAGGAGGACATATCTTCCGCACTGAGACTAACATCACCTTAGGAATAGTTGGTATCAAGCCATTCACGTCTGAACTAGACGCATTCACCTTCCATAGTAACACGAGCTGCACCCCGCGCTTGATCATCCGTCGCTCTCCGTACTTCGTAGTATCTGAAGATCTCCGAGGGCGATGCTCTCCGGGGCAGCAGCAGAAAAAAATCTCTGAACTCCGCAAAGCTAACGGCGTGTGCGTGGGGGGAGAGTGTGAGGAATGTCATAAAATCGGCTATGGTGGATGTGGATAAGTGGACACCTAAAAACCTTTATTATCAGAAACGAAGCAAAGTCGGATATAAACGTATGATTCACCAGCTTTCTGCAAAGCTTCTATGAGCTCTTGAGTATCGAGGCGACCATTGCCGTCAACATCCAGCTCGTCATTGAAGATATGCCACAGCTCTACGAATATCAGTCATCACTTCAATAGAGAATTCTTACTAGCGTACCAGCTTCCTTAGCATCGGCATACTTCAAAAATTCACTCCACGAGCAACTGCGGTGGAGAAATCCTCGCGTGTGTGCACCGCATCGACCGCATAACTCCGCCTCATACATCTCTTGCAGCTTCCTCGCACCTTCTGGTGTCAATACGCCATCTGACTTGACAGGATACGCCTCTGCGACGCAGTCGTCGAGCTCGGTTTCAGGACTGGTCCGCTTCGGTAGTCGCGACCATAGTTTGCGCAACCGCCGCTCGCGTCGCTCCGGGCCCTCCTGCGCTCGAAATTCTTGCAAATTATGGGGGATAGTGTGATATTCCAGTGGGTCGGATCGAAGCCGAGGGATGTACGAGCGGTCTTGCGCGCCAGATAGGCTGGCCTCAAAGACGTCCCGGTTGGAAGGGCTCATGGACACGAAAGACTCGACGTGGTCACCCTTGAGATGGAGCGGACGGGAGTAGGAGATGTCTATGGCGGGTGAAGGGGTCGTGCTAGTGTTTGCACATGGCGCAGGAGCGATGAGCTGTTAAAGCGACAGTGGAGTCGCCAATGTGGTCGTACATATCCGGGTCATGCAGGCAGACGCACTCGCACTCTGACGGACCTGATTGGCTCACGCCGCCGGGATCTCAGACACGGCTCTTTTAGTCGACACTGCATACGCCTGTCACAGTGCTCATTGAATCATCATCACGGTACGCTTCTAGACATACTTCCGGGTGGACTAGAGTCAAGTGCAGCACCCCAGGGGCGAACACTACAGGTAAACATTTTCGAGACGGCTACGACTGATATACCAAAGCGAGGCAAAATCTGGTACACCGGGAAGCTCCAGATAGATGAACGCGGTCGGAATCCTTCTCCACCCATCATCAGTAGAACGATAGTGACGGGAAAGTCCAATCAAAGTACTATCCTGCGCAGGCACCTCATTTCTCTCCAACAGGTAAGCTGCGATTTGCTTGGGTAAGCCTGGGTTTGATCCGTCTTCCGCAGGGATATAGTGGAATATGCCCAATGCATAATACCTGGACTCGGTACGAAATGGGTAATCTCCCGAGTCGATGTTCACATCGCCGATCTCATGATCTGGGCAGCGAAACTTGAGGCCTTTGACCGGTCGGCCGTCAAATTTGGGTTTATTGGTTATTTCAAGAGGTAGGATGATCAGCGGAACTCGCAACCCCCTGCTGGTAAGCGAGATATCGAGTCGACCTATCTGGACTATGTCAGGGTGTCCCACGTAGCTGGCAGGTGACGCAGGGAGACCACGCGATGCATGATGCTTCGCCGGATGTCCTGCCCAGTTGAGCACTGATGTATCACCGCCAGCTTGCATGATAGCTTCAATGAGCCTAGAAAATGCGCGTTCTCCGCCCTCTCCATATGCAATTTGCAAGCTGACGTCGAATATTCCCATCAGGGAGTAAGCAGCGTCCTCTGCACGAGTAGTCTTCCGTGGCGCAGCCCACGTCATTCGTTTATCAACGTTTTGAGGTGCGGGTGAAAAGTCCTCGATGTCGATCTCGGGAATACCAGTAATCTCGTGTAAAATCGTTAGGATTGGAGTATCCTCTTCTTTGTCGTCCTCTTCTTCTGTGAGCGGCTGCCACTCTTTGTTAAAGAATTTCATTGTTCTAGGTGCGAGAAGTTCCTGCAGGGTCCATCCCCTCAAAAACCACTCGTCCGCCCGCATGTCTTCCATAACGGTGGTCTGACCTAAGTATACAATGCAAATGGTCGAATTCCGGTACCATCGAAACATAGATCGAATTGACTCGTCAAGTTCCGCACTGCTTGTCTTGTCGATGCAGCATGTGTCGGACCACAGGAAATCCAATCCCAGCCGTTTAGCCTCTTCGCAGCAACCAAGTAGTTTCCTGTAACCGAGACTTCTCTCTTCACCAGAAGCAGCGGTCTTCATGGTGCGACGACCTCCCTCTGATTGATTTTGCGATGTGCGTAGACTCCTCTCCATCATATCTTGATACGAAGGCTCTCCTGTGTTTAGCCATCGATGAGATAAGATGCCGTATTTGACCCGGTCTTCGACAAGCATAGATACAGCTTTCTCTCTCGTGTACGGGGGCACACACGACCTCTGTTCCTTGGCAATGACACTTTCACTGATCTCATTTATGCGACCAAGGAAGTGGGACCTTACGAAATCTCGGCCCACAAGTTCCATTGTCGGGAGATGTATGAGACGGATTGGAATTTCATTCGTTGTGTAGCGACCGAGTTCATCGAGGACATCCTGTGCGGCACCTTGGATGTCGCTGTGTGGGACTTTCTGCTGAGGACCCACCAATGCGCTGGCTGGAGAGACCTGGTGCTGTACTATATCCATTGATGAAGACTGTTCGACAATGGGACGAGACACCCACTGGTTCATCACCCTCAGGCTGTTTGGTATTGTTCCAAAAACTGAGAGACTTCTTCCATCGCTGCGGTAGCCCAGAAAAACAGCCATGCTCGCTAACGGGGGAGGAAGTCTCGGCTTCGGCTTTAGCTTTCGATGCTGGCTGTATGCGCTGCTGTTAGCGAGAACAACAAGATAGACAATGAAATTTCACTTTTTGAAGATGCTCGTGAGACATTGCCGAAGGAGGTGCCTGGGATGGATCACGTTCTGGACCAATTTGCCGCTTCGAAGACAAGGAGTTCATTGTTGTGGACTTGAAACCTGAAGGTACGGCTTGCGCCTAAGAAGCATAAACAAAACACCAATGAGCATGATCAGTGAGGGACCCACATCTCGGTTATCTTCCAGAGGCTCGAGAGCTGGCAGTGGTCTTGATGAATCAGACCCGTTAGGTATCACATCCCTGATATCCCATAGACATATTTTCTTGTCACCGCAGCCGCTTGCGATGAAACAAGAGTTGGGTGAAAAAGCCATACACTGAATGGGACTGGCATGCCAAAGCACCCGTCCGATCCTCTCGCGAGTAGTCGCATTCCAAAGCCGGATGCGATCTTCTCCGCACACAGCTGCTATGATATTTCCATCTGGCGACACGCTGGCTGATGTCGGCATCCACGTTAAATAGCCACCGAGGGGGTCTCCAATCTGACTACCCGCGTTCAAATCCCAGATACGAATTGTTGCATCGCGAGATGCGGTGATCAAGCGGTGGCCGTCGGGAAACCATGCGACTGTTTGCACAACGTTCTCGTGTCCAGCGAGGGGGCTGATCGCTGCCTCGCCCGTGGAGGTGCTCCAGACCCGGACGGATTTGTCGAACGAGGACACAGCGGCGATTTTACTGCCATCGGGGGAGAACGCAACATGCCCTTCCTGCGTCCAGGATTCGATCTCCATCACCAGCGCGCCGGTCTCTACATCCCATATTCTGACAATCTTGCCAGCTATGGACGCGAGCCTTGTGCCGTCAGGTGAAAAGGCGACACATTTAACCCAATTCGAGTATGCCTGGATCGGCTTTGTCGCCTGAACCCGCGTTGCTGCGTTCCAGATGAGGACTTTACCGTCCCCGCCTCCGCTCGCGAATTTCGTTCCGTCGCGGGAAACAGCAACGGTAAACACAGCAACCTTGTGTCCTCGAAGCGGTTCTCCAATTTGTTCTCCACTCGCCACGTTCCAAAGGCGGATTCTCGATTCATAAGATCCGCTGATGATTGTCTTGCTGTCTGGAAAGAATGCTACACACGTCAAGGGCTCTGCGTCCCCCACAAAGTACCTAGACGGCTTGACGTCGTCAAATTCACTTGTGGCAGGTGGCATCGCTCTATGAGTTTTCACCGTATATTAGTCATGCGTAGTCCCAGGTGAGTCAAAGATAATCTCATCCCAAATTGGGTACAGTCTGGTTATCACTCACCAATTAGTTCGTAAATGAACCAGCCGTTTCACCGTGTGCCATCAAAAGTAGAGAAGACGCCACGGGAGGTCTGCTTGATAATCACATACACGCGACCGTTTGCATGCCTAGAGACGCTGGCCGCATCACCGTAAGAGTTAAATGAATCGATGCTGCTGACGCCCATATATTCATTCAGTTCGTAAGACAATTTTATTCGATGAGATCAAAAGAGTGAGGCGACATACGCGAAAATCGCATACCACAGGAAGTCCTGATCATTACATCCAAGTCCCACGCATATACATCCGAGTAAACCATAGTCGACCATACATCAGAGCCGCCGACAAGTATTTGAATAGTGTCCGAGAAATAACGATAAGGCGCTCAACGCCACATAAGTGCCAAGATAGTTTTATGCCCGGAGAATATGACATATCTTAATACGTAGGTGGAATCCGAGACTCTTGACATCGCCCCATATGCCGAACAACGATCCACAGTGCCGTTTTGACCCGTTTGCAGAAGAGGAACACGATGGTGGCCGCACATATTTCGTTGATTGAGCACCTTGCGACAGGATGGACCGGGTGCGCATGTTCTCCGTGGAGCACATTGCCGACGTCGACGCATGTTCCCTTTGAGAGCCCATAGGGCGACTTATGATGGGGGTCAGCTTCCCGACCGCACCGTTTGGTTGCTGAGCGCCTATCGTATCAAACGTTGCCTGGCAACGAGTTAAGGCACGATAGCTCAAGTACTCGCAGGCGAAGCGGCTTACAGTGCGTTGCTCTGGGTATGGAACGTCGCTGTCCACACGCATACGACGCTCTGGATGATCTCTAGGAAGTGGTGGTGTCGGTGGGCGGTAGTTCTATCCAGCGGAAATGAGCATGCGGCATAGCAGAAAGTCCGAGTGCTTACGCGAGGCAAAGAACGTCTTGAGTGGAAGGACGAGGGCGTTGCGTCGGCACTATCCCCTGAGCTCGGTGTTCCGAAATCTTTAGGGGGTAATGGAGGATGCTGGGATGGTGTACGTTAGCGCAATCGAAAATACTTCCGACCCTACAACTTGCCAGCTCCTCTGGGGTGTCTTGTATTTCCTGTACGGGTGCTATTCGTAGAGAAACTGGATACGTCTGTGGTTTTTCCCATAAAGCGGCGTCCTCATCGGTGAAGATGGTGCCGCGGCGTTTTTCCCGACCTACTATTGCTGCAGCCCTGCGAGCCAATTCTTCTGGGAGCTGCACGATGATGAGCATATACTGACAAGTCCGAGGAAAATAAAATGACTTACTGGAGGCACGTCCTTGTCGGTATGAATGAAAGACAGACGTTTGATATGTGTGCTCAACCTCGATAGCGACGAAGAAGAGTCTGGTAAGTATCTCGGGACGGGCTTCCTCCTGGTCATGTTTCGATGAGACGGCATGTTGACTTGCGGTTTGTGGGGCAGAAGAGAAAGGTATAAGAGCAAAGCCAAAGAGCTGAGCGCCACAAGGATACGTATTGTTTCGAAATATTGCACGAGGATATGTTGCATAAGACCGAAGAGCCCAAGCCCGAAGTCGAGACAGACAGGCACTCCTTGGGCCCTTATATCCGCAGGGACCAGGCTTCTCGAGTTGAAGAAGCCAGTGGCATAGTACAGGCGTGAGTTCGCGATGATATCCACTAAACCGGAGATGAAAGCTGCGTCAGTATAACTTGCTGCCGGGGCATCCACGCACTGACCTGAGCACAGAGGTGCATGGAAGCGCTCGAAGGTGGCCTCGCGGTGTCCGCACACTGATCTCGGCAGCGGAAAGGGGCGAAACCCTACTGCCAAAGGCCACCCACAAAAAAGCGGACGTGTCAAACGCGGTAGCCTCAACCCTACAGACTTCATGGGGTCAGCATCCAGGTCTGCCGGACTCAAGGCGCCATGGGGGCCACATCACGATCAGCACGACGGGTCGAGACCGCCCGGCTAGGATCCTCTTCCGGGATCACGCCCAGGAGAACCGCCGCAGGGTGCTTTGCAGGATAGCGTAGGGCCGCGTGGCGAGCGGAGGCATGTCGTCCCAGTCTAACAGTCAGAGCCAGCGCCTGTTTGTGTCGGGATGATCACGGGAATGTGACTGGACGCGTCCGTGAAGATGTGGCGGCATCGGCTCTATGTTCAAGTTTAGTGACATAGCTAACTTACTATCGACGCGTCCCCGGATCACACAGCTACGCGCTCCCTAGGCCCATTGCTAGGCCCTATGCAGTTGAAAAGAGCATCTCAAGCCATCAATCACACAGAATCCAATTCAACGATATCGAGTCCGTAAGCATAACGCGACATACAGCATAACTACACGACAGCATGGTAGTACAAACAACGAGGATGCATGAATGAAAAGATGCTACATAATAACACAACTGGAACAATTGCAATCCTGGGCACGATGACTCTGCCATCACGTCTCCCCCGCGCCCCTCACGAGAAATACATTACATACGACATGTTCTTGTGAAGCGGCTTGAAGCCTCGCTTGAAGACCTCCAGGTTCTTGTCTGCAGCCTGCTGGTCCACTTGCGTCGCCGAGTCTGAAAAGTCCAACCCGCCCGAGGGATCGTAGTGGTTCTTGGCGCGCGCACAGACGATATCCGCATCTAGACAAGCGGTTAAGAGGGCCGACTACACTTCGCATAAAAGCGGGTACTCACAGTACACAGGCGCGGGGATGGACACAGATCGAGTCGAGCGCGCATAGACGTGGCACAGCGCGAACGATAAAGCCTGCAGACCGTCCGGTCTAGAGGGGCACTCGTGAGCATACATCGCATAAAACGACAATGAGGCAGATACATACGTAAAGTTGTTCTCATCGTGCAGCACACTGTAGTGTGCCGGACGCGATGTTCCAAGCAATGTAGATAACCCCAAACATAGCTGATGTCAGTAATGACACACAGCAGGCAAACAATTGAACTTATCCAGCATGGCTCTGGAGGTACCAGTCTAGCTCGAGAGGATGCGTGACCTCGCGATCGACAACCGTACCCGCCGGACAATTACCGCTACGATCCCTGTCCTCGGCACGCTGAGGGAAGAAGCGAACATGATGCCTCTTGCCGACGACCACTACGGTAATTGTGGGGTTGATCTTCAGGTTTTCGCAGGCCTCTGCGGGGTGGATCAATACAGGGGGGGGCATTTCAAAATCCTTCATACGTACTCTTCAAAAGCGGAAGTTCTGAATCACATACGAAGGCTGTATGTTAGCGACTGTAATAGCCAAGCACTCTATTACTAACCTCGTTCAAGAACCTGCTTGAACTGACCCTCGGATACACCATCTAGCCAAAGCTGACTGTCAGAAAAAGACCAGCGCAAAATACCCCGAAAGACAAACCGCGGTAGAAGATGATCCGTTTCGGTGCCGGATTCGGCTTCTTCTCGCGCGCACTCCGGTATTGCATGTACATTCTCAGCATATGCTAGGAGATTGTCGGCAATGTAAACAATGTCAATGCCACCATATACTCACCTCGCTCATGGCCTCCAGATCCTCAATGAGCTCTTGTCGCGAAGTTTGGACGCGGCAGTCTGCAATGTACTTGGCAGTATCCGAATCCACGTTCGCGACCAGGGCAGTGAAAGAAGGGCGGCCTTCCGCCCCGGGAGCAGGGTGGATGACATCAGCACTGCAAAAAGGTCATCGATTGCGGCGACTATCATCAAGGTCCAGACGTACCCCATGACGATCGTGGGGTTGTGTGGATCAGTGAGAATAGATACAGAGCGCGGCTCCGGGATCGTGTTGATACCACCCAGCTTGACATTCATTCTGAAACTGGGTCAGCTAACGATCGCATACTGGGGGACATTGCGTGCTTACTTGAGGGAGACGTTCGCATAGTACTGGGCCTTTGCCTTCTTACATTTATCCGACTTCATACACTGAGTCGCAACACCAGCCTATTAGGAGGGTTTAACATGCACCGTCTTCAGCAAAAGGCAAGAAACATACAGTAATATCACCAAAACTATGAATGAATTCAGCAAGTAGAACATCACTTGCAACTAGACTACTCACTGTTTGATGGCTGTATAGATGTCAGCACCATTCTCGGGAAGGATTGCTACAATCAATTGGGGAAAACCTCCAGACTTCTGGTTGCACTCGGCACCAGCAGCTTTCAATTGCTGTACGCGAGGCTCAGCAATTTCCCGAACGCACAACTGAGATACTTACATCAGCAATACGGCCTTGGCCATTCTCCCAGCGAACAACTGGTCTCTCGTCGGTAAACCCCATGCCTAAGGAAGTTTATGATCTCCTAACCTGTATGCTAAAGACAATTGCTTACCTGCTTGCTTGCATGCCGACCTTAGTCCTTCGATCATTTCCCTCGCATGTTGGTCTGTGAAGCGCTGTTGGCGTTCGTAAACGACGACGACCCACCGGTCGACCCTTGCGGGGCTCCAGAACTTTTTATCGATCCTAGTCGGAAATTGTCAGAACACAACTGCAGATAGACAGCTGCAGGCTCACATATTCCACGCGCCATCACGAGGTTGCTGATCAAAAAAAGTTACATGAATTGACGCGCCGATTGGATTGCAAACGGCAACGGCTCACTATGGTCGGTTGTCTGGAGCCGGCTCCGTATTTGAGAGTGGGCGGCTGGAGAACCCGAGCTTGAATGGAGAGAGGCGCAGCATCGGGTGCCACCATGAGGCCAAATGACTGGTAAATGGGGCGATCAAAAAGTGCAATGAGTGACGCTGGGCGTGTACTCACTCTCACATATTCCGACTGGCCGTAGGAAAGAACCTAGATTAATGCGGGATTAAGCAACGTGGAGAATGTACGATTCTGTGATTACTTACACCCAAGCCGTTTGCAATGCTCTGCAAACGCTCAGGGGGCTTCTTCGTCGCGAAGTCGAGAACGTCCTTCGTCTTCTCAGGGGGCACTTGTTTGCGCATAATTTGTCCCTTGGGAACCTCACACAACTCCAGTGGGATCAAGGCACCATTTCCAACCTACAAGGAGTGAGCATTACAAGGACATTGAAGACTAGCTTCGAGACTCACCTCCACACAGATCACATCAGGGAACTGCAAGCGATAGTTGTACGTACGCTGGAAATACTGTGCCACTGTCATTGTCCCTCCCTCTCGCATAGTGAATGTGAGCGCCGTGGCACCAGCGGAGGTTAGTTTCTTGACAACTCGAGGTGTGTTCCGCGCCTGCTGAGCCTGACCAGGCGACTTTGTGATGACCCGGACTCCACTCAAGAAGCGCTGCAGGCGAACACGTTCGCGATCCGGGAAACCGCGCGAGGGTGCAAGGACATTGGGATCATTCTTGCCGAAGAAAGCAAGACAAAGGCCCAGGAGGGGACCATCTTTGTACATGGTGCCAGTGCTGATATCCACATTGATCAGCATCTTCCCGACCGCGGGACGAACCGACTGGAAGTATCCTCTCCAGAGGATAATCCCACCGCCGATGTCCTTCGTCTCGCGGTCGGTGAAGAAGCTTCGCACGTTGAATGGAAACTTCAGAGATGGCTCCTGTCGGATCACGACATTGAGCGCCTGGGCGATCAATGTTAGACTGCGTTCGAAATTAAATGAGCAGCATCGATCATACCGTGATGGCCGTCAGTACTGTGTTATCATGCGACTGTTTCCCTTCGAGGAAGCGGGCAAGAACCCTGCATCCGCCATTAGCACCAGAGGCCTCGAAGAGCAGTAAATATATGCGCACTCAGGATTGATCTTAGCGACCCAGGTCAAACGGATTTTGTATACTTTGGGGCCGCGGCCTCTAGGAGCTGTGCCAGTTGTGCCACTCGAAGACACGGGATCACCAAGAGAGACATCGAACTGTGGCATTTCGATCAGCTGTGCTGTGGACGCATTCAAACAAAAAATCACCCTACTTCCTGGCTGTTACTGTCTCCAAATGGAAGCTCGCGCGCGGCAAACATATTCTTGCGGCCGTCATAAACGGCGCGTGGAGTGAATATCTGCGGTGCGACGACCCGCTGCAAGCGATCGACCAGCTCCATGTTTAGCCTTGCGGGGAGGGTCTTTTCATCGGGATAAATCACTGCATGATCGTTAGCGCCACACGAGTGGGTCGATGGAGTGCAACGTACCGACTGTGTCATGATAAGGTGAGACCGGAGCATCATGAGGACAACATAAAGAATGACGCACCGTCATAGTGGTGAATGATGGCGTCGGGGATTTTGACCGCGAAGTGATTGGTCTGCAAAGTGATAGGCCTACCGGCAGTACCGAAAGCAGTGCGTTTCACGCCGATGGTGGTGACATGGGCGTTGGTCGACGGCAGACCTACCGTAGGGGCGCCGCCACGTATAGCGGGACCGCCACCCCTGGCAGGAGGGCCGCCTCGACCTCGTCCAGCTGGTGGATTTCCTCTGGGAGGCATGTAGAAAAAGAAGAGCTTTGTAGGTAGGGAAGTGTGTAGTAGGGGAGGCTGGAGAGGCCGTGGAGGGGGAAAAGAGAGACGAGGGAAGAAGGGGGTATCAGGGCTCTTATAAGGGGAGAAGAAGGGACAGCTGACGGAGGTTATGGCTGCTTTGTGCCATGCGCTGAGCCTGAGGATCGATGGCCGCGCCCTTCCACTTGTTGATTCTTGTTGACGCGTTCGCGCGCCCACTTTGGCCTTTGCTTTGACCGTCGTCGTCGATTGTCCGGATCCCTCTGCCCTCGCTTTGTGGCCCTCGACCATCGCGCTCTAGATCTTGCAGCTTCTGCGCAGGCCGGATGAATCCACATGTGGCTGCCGTCCTGACTCGAGTATGTGCTTATCTGGGACAACGTGAGAATACAACTCTGGATGTTCATCGTATTACTTGAAGATACCAGCTGCGCATACTTCGGACTCTGACTGCGCCTTGTCCCTGTGATCTTCCAACTTCGACACGTTGGCAAACTGCTCGACGCACAGTCTGCACAGTCCAGTCGCTATCAGCAGATGATGCCTCCGCAGTGGCTCGTATTCCTTCGAACACGTAAGATTGACGGAGCAAACAAATCGGCCGCGATTGAATATGTCATTTAGGAGGCAGATAACACACCGTGCTGTGGCTTCTCCATTCACTCGGTATCCCGCGAGTCCGTCTCAGCCAATATCAGCGAACTGAGGGCTGGGGCTGGTTACCCGCCACACCCTTACTATTACCCCCGAACTCTGTACATGACACGTTTGTCGTGGTCTCACTGGATGCCGGATGATCTCGCAAGCGTATGTCATTAACCCGGCTGGAGGACTTTGTGGACCAGTATGGCCTTGGGCCATAGCCCAAATGCATGGAGGCGCCACTACATCGCGATGATGTCATTTGTCGCGCTCGCGTCGGTGATGCGCCCATGATCTGTTTGCTCAATTTGGTTCTCGAGTTTCCGCGTCTGGCTATCAGCTTCACGTCTGGACGTGTCATATCATTCACCAGTCGCCATCGACTTGTAAATAGTCTTTTGCCCGTGGGTCCCAACTCGACCTCTCCCTTTCTCCATTTCCTGCAGGCTTTGGCTGGACCAGGTTGTCTTGTCTTTTGCTGGCAACCTTCGATATTTGGCAAGCAGAACTTGTATGTATATATTTACGCTATGAAAATGAGACTGTTCATGTAGCCTTGGCGCATCATAGCGAGTGCTCTGATGCCTGACCGACAAAGACGAGTTTCATTATCTGTTGCTTTCTTCGCTCACATGGAGGCTTTTAGGGTTCCCCACACAGGTGCATCTAGTGTAGACCCCCTCACATATGTCTATGTTGATATGATCTGATTAAGGTCACAAACCTTCACACATGTGCTGGGCGCCACATGTTGACAAGCTCTCGCTAGTCTCCTGCCTCTGATTGAAGGCCAGCCCTGTCGACTAGTTTCCAGCTGCTTGGTATTCATGTACGAGATTCCATAAAGCTGCTCGCCACATATGTCTTTAGCCAGAGTCTGTTTTTTGTGCTCATTTTGTACGACTACAATCCTATTGTTTCGTCGTGTGTCCTGAGGGCAGTAAACAAGGCCGTGATGTGCATGCCGTAGGCATTACAACTCGAATGTGGCCACATTCTTATTCAAGAACAAGATAAAAGGCAAAACTAAGGTCCTGCCAGGAATCGAACCTGGGTTATGAGAATGGTGAATCGAATTGAAAGGCCGTGTATGACCACTGATCAGAATCTCATGTGCTAACCGCTACACTACAGGACCCACATCCACATTTGGACTCTTTATATTATATCATTATGGTTTGTCCTTCGGATGCGTTTTCCTCGCGCTGAGTAGCCGCTGACGATGTTCCCATCCTGACAATATGTCTGTCTTTTTGCCACTGCTCGAAGGTGCAGCGGACGAGACCCTCCTGCGCGCTCTTGCGCGCATCGGGCCTCTTGTTGTTCCTGCCTCGCTTGCTGCTGCGACACTTGCCGACCACTACGTTCTCTGCGACGACTCGGCCGCAAGTCTTGACGAAGTGATCTCCTTCCTTGACCGAGGAGCGGAAAAAGTTATCCTGCCCCTTGCTCAGGCAAAGGATGCCATCGCAGTCATTCCCGCCGAACGTTTGTTGCTACTTCTCGACGTGGGCAATGTCAGCGCGGTATCAGACACCATCCGGAACGGCGTATCAGGTGTGCTCGTCAAGACTCCCGCTCTGGACGTCGACTTTGTCGCGTCCGTGTCTCGATTCTTCTCTGGTTCTGCAGTTCATGTCCTGCCCGCGTCCACCAGCACCCCCCCTGCGCCATCCGCCATCCGCGGCCTGGTTGCTGCGGGAGCCGTCGTAGTTCTCCCGACATCTCTGCTCACCCTGGAAGCCTCGTCTGATCACCAGATCAATATCGCGGATGCGTTTCTTTCCCCACTCGTGTCTGACCGTCCGGACGGTCTCTTTCCTACTGTCGTCTCCTCTCACAACGAGGGGGGGCGGACGTTGGGCTTGGTGTATTCGTCCGCAGAGTCGATCAAGGCGAGCATCACGACAGGGAAAGGAGTGTACCAGTCGCGCAAACATGGCCTCTGGCACAAGGGCGAGACCTCCGGTGCAACACAGGATGTAGTTAGCATTCGTGTCGACTGTGACTCTGATTCGCTCGAGTACAGTGTCATTCAGCATGGCGCGGGGTTCTGTCATCTCAATCGGGCATCTTGCTTTGGTGACGGTGGGTCCAAGGGTCTATTTGCGTTAGAGAAGACCCTCCGATCGCGTCTCTCGTCCGCCCGGGAGGGTTCGTACACGCGGCGATTGTTCAATGACCCCGAGCTGCTCCAGGCCAAGATTCGAGAGGAGGCTGACGAATTGTGTCGCGCAGAAACAAAGGAGGAAGTCGCTTTCGAAGCCGCAGATCTCCTGTACTTTGCCCTCACGCGCTGCGTGGCTGCTGGAGTCGGAATTCCTGATATTGAGCAATCGCTCGATCAAAAGGCGAAAAAGGTCACCCGCCGCCCAGGCAATGCCAAACCCCAGTGGACTCAGACACCCGACCGTGTGAAGAAGACTGTACCCCAACCTCAAAGAGATCACAAACCCGCCGCGGATCCAACTGCACCTATTCGCATGCGCAGCTATGATCTCTCTGCCGCTTCGCCGCAGGAACGAGCTCAGCTGCTTCGACGACCCGTACTGAAGTACGACGAGATGCTCACTAAAGTCAAACCCATTGTGGACGATGTCCGCGTACGTGGAGATGCGGCTCTGCTCGAGCTCACTGCAAAGTTTGATAAGGCTCAACTCACTTCGACCGTCCTCCGACCGCCTTTCTCACCCGAAATGATGCAGCTCGATCCCGCAGTACGCGATGCGATCGATGTCGCGTACGCGAACGTCTACAAGTTCCATGCCGCGCAGGCGGAAACGTCGACCATGTTGGTCGAGACGATGCCTGGTGTTGTCTGCTCACGCTTCGCGCGGCCCATCGCACGTGTAGGGCTGTATGTCCCTGGTGGAACTGCCATCCTTCCATCTACTGCGCTGATGCTTGGCATCCCCGCACAAGTAGCGGGCTGCAAGGAGATTGTTCTCGCGACACCCCCGAGGCAAGACGGAAGCATCTCACCAGAGGTGATGTATGTCGCGCATCTCGTAGGCGCTTCAGCTATCCTCAAAGCAGGCGGCGCGCAGGCTGTTGCGGCTCTCGCTTACGGGACGCAGAGTGTCCCCAAGGTGGACAAGATCTTCGGACCCGGGAACCAGTGGGTCACTGCAGCCAAGATGTTGGTGCAGAACGACACGGACGCACTGGTCTCGATCGACATGCCCGCAGGGCCATCAGAAGTTCTCGTAAGAAATCTCCTGTCGATATATTGGCTGTGATATCCTGAAATGTGGGCGCCACAGGTCATTGCAGATCATACCTGCAACCCAGCGTTTGTGGCTGCGGACTTGCTCTCGCAGGCCGAACACGGCGTGGACTCGCAGGTGGTGCTTGTTGCGATTGACCTCTCGGATACGGAGCTGTCAGCAATAGAGACCGAGCTTGATGCACAGGCTCACGCCCTACCGCGCGTTGATATCGTCCGCGAGTCTATCGCGAAGAGCAACACCGTAAAGGTCCGGTCTGTGGAGGAGGCGGTCCAGTTTTCGAATGACTACGCACCGGAACACCTGATTCTTCACCTGGAGAACGCGAGCGGAGTAGTTCCGCTGATAGAGAATGCTGGGAGTGTCTTCGTCGGACCATACTCACCAGAAAGGTGCGCACTTTTGGTGATACTGCTGCACACTGCCTAAATTGGTTTCCACCCCAGCTGCGGCGATTACGCTTCAGGCACTAATCACACACTGCCGACCAATGGCTATGCCCGTCAGTTCAGTGGTGTTAATACACTGTCATTCCAGAAGCACATCACCTCGCAAGAAGTCACTGCGGATGGCTTAAGGGGCCTTGGCCCTGTAGTTGCGACACTCGCCGATTGCGAAGGGCTCCAAGCTCATGCCAACGCAGTACGTATTCGCCTGCGGGCATTGTAACTTCGGGCGAGAACGTCGGAAAGAAGATTGTAGAGAATATGTAGAGTAACGTTATATGATAGACAGAATGCTCCCTAAGTTATGAAAGGGTCTAGCTTCGAACAAGAAATTAAAGCGTGCATCCTCACCACCCCCAAACTCAAAACCTCACTCATAAAATGATAGCTCAGTTAGTCCTGTAGAGTGCGCGCTTCGCCACTTTGGCGACAACATCAGCCGCAGGGAAAGCGAGCGCCTCCAAGTTCACGGCATACTGATAGCGGCGTTAGTGCGAACGGCGCGTCGACTATAAAACGCACATACCGGCGTAGGAACGTCAGCACCAGTAACACGCTCGACCGGCGCATCAAGATAGTCAAAGGCCTCGCTCTCGATCACTTGAGCGCAGATCTCGCTACCTACGCCAAAGCCGGGGAAACCGCCCTCGACAACAACGAGTCTGGAGACGAACACATTAAACTCATCGTAAGGCCCCGATGGTGACAACACACCTGTTCGTCTTCTTTATTGACTTCTTGATAGTCTCAATGTCGAGCGGGCGGATGCTGCGCAGGTTAATGACCTCTGCCTTGATACCTTCCTTCGCAAGCATGTCAGCTGCGTTCATACTGTGTGTCACTGCTAAACTATGTGCGACAATGGTGACATCGCTGCCTTCTCGCTCTATCTTCGCCTTGCCAATGGGGAGCAGGAAGTTGTCTGACATCGCTTCCGAAGGCATCGGGAAGCTGACACCGTACATCATCTCATTCTCAAGGAACACAACCGGGTTGGGATCCCTGATAGCAGCCTGTCAGGCACCTTGATTAGATGCAATTCATAAGAGAGGATCCTAGGTGAATACCTTGAGCAGACCCTTGCAATCCTCTGCACTCCACGGGCTGACGACCTTCAGTCCCGGGATGGAACCGTACCAGGCCGCGTAATCTTGTGAATGCTGTGCTGCGACACCAGCAGCGGCACCGTTGGGACCACGGAAGACAATGGGACAGCAAACACCTCCGCCGGACATGTAGTGTGTTTTTGCGGCTGAGTTGATGATCTGGTCGATGGCTTGCATCGCAAAGTTGAACGTCATGAACTCGCAGCTAGTAGATGATCAGTCGTAAGTATCTGATTGCAAAATGAATTCTGTAGAACACTCACACTGGCCGCAGACCAGCAAACGCGGCACCAGTTGCGATACCAGCGAAACCCATCTCCGTAATGGGGGTATCCACGACACGCTTCTCACCAAACTTGTCCATGAGACCCTTGGTGACCTAGTGTAACGCTAAAGGTGAGAAACAAAGCGAGAACTACATGGCGGAAACATACCTTGTATGCACCATTGTACCGAGCAACCTCTTCACCAATGATAAACACCTTGTCGTCCCGTATCATCTCCTCCTCTAATGCGGAGTTGAGAGCTTCACGGACAGTAACCTGACGATCCCATTGTGTCAGAATAGCATATAGTGCATGAACAAATAACTGGACCGACGGTGTGTTCGCTCTGGGTTGCATATCCGCGTGCAAGGGCAGCGCGACGAGCTGCGACTGCGGGTGTTGTACGGGAGCGCGCGAGAGCAGGGGCAATGCGGCGGAAAGCTGCTCGCGTCGACATTTGTTTTGGATGAGGAGGAAAGGATTTGGGAAGGATTGGTGAGAAGGGACGTGAGGAACACCGTCTGGCAACTTTTCGATGTGAGCTGGCTCGGCACACTTCGGAGGTCACCGTGCGAATCGTCCTCTCGTACCACCCAGGCGTCGGCTCAGCGCGCTCCGTTTCTCCCTCTCCCAATCTCACGACCGCCCGCTGCATTATCCACACTCCTCTGCTCACAACATGGCGAGGAAACCCGTAGTTTTCATCACTGGGGCATCCAAGTGCGTCGTCTTGCGATCAATGTCTTTTGCAGTCGAAGGCTAAATTCCTCTCGCAGAGGCCTTGGGCTCGCAGTTGCAAAGCTCCTGCTCACTGAATTCGGAGCAAACGTTGTCGCGTTGTCTCGCACGGAATCTCCTGAGCTTGCTAAGCTGCGAGAATCTTGTGGTGGCTCCCTCATGGTCCTCAGGGGTGATGTGTCAGTCTATGCCATCTCTTCGGTGAACCGATCCGCCCTCAGCAATTATCCACCACGCACAGCTCAGATGCGCACATCGTAGAAGAGGCCGTCGCTTCGGCGTTGAAAGAATACGGCCATCTAGATTCGTTGATTCTAAATGCTGCTATCGTGGCGCCTCTGGGCAAGATAGCATCCGAGGACGTCTCGCTCGACGCGTGGAAGGCGCATTTCGACGTCAACTTCTTTTCTCTGATTTCGGCCCTTAGGGCCGCGCTACCAGCTCTGCGCAAGAGTGAGTTGGGTGGCAGAGTGGTATTCGTGAGCTCGGGGTCTGCGGTCAAGGGCACCGCCTCTATGGCTCCCTACAATGCGAGCAAGGCAGCAATGAACAGCCTATGCAGGTGCATGAGTCGCCCGATCTATCTGATCATTATGCTCACGTCCGTTATCATCTAGAACTCTCGCAGAAGACGAACAAGGCATCACCTGTGTGGCAGTGCGTCCAGGTACTGTCGATACTCCAGTGCGTCTGCGCGACCTCGTATCGTGCAAGCTCCCTTAATGTTCTCACTATATTGTACAGATGCAGACTCAATTACGCGAGGAGGGTAGCGCTACGCTAGACATTAAAGTTTACGAGATGTTTCTCAATCTTCAGACAGACAAGAAGCTCATAAAACCAGAGGAATCAGGCTATGTTGTCGCGTCGCTGGCTCTGAAGGTACCGAACTTTCTCAGTGGCAAATTTGTCAGCTGGGACTCGGATGAGTGTAAAGAGTTCCGCAGAGAGTAGAGGCGAGTGTATTTGTTACTATGAGTGTACAGATTTCTTCCCACATATACTCGTGTTCAACAAAGAACTTTGTCTGCTGCGGTGACCATGTCGTTGCTCATGATGCCTTCCAACAATACAAATTTACCCGCAAGGTGTGCGCGGGATATCTTGGTGTCTCTATGCGTAGCTGGTTGTGCTACCACCGTGATGAAAAGGCCAACGGGTTACCCCAGCTACACGTAAGTTCCTCATGCATTCTCCAAGCTGATGTTCAGACTACAGTGGCTTGAGCATAGAGCTAGGGGACTAACGCCTCAAATAGGCAATGCTTTAACGATAGTTTCGCTAACACGTAGCTCGATGGAGGCTGTTTTCGAACGAACGGATATTGAAGGTGTTGTTACTGCTTAATTTCAGTCAGAAAGCTAATTTGAGTCAGCCTGGCGTTTCAGGACCAGCAGTTGTCTGATAACATGTCCTCGTGTTTAAGCACGTCAGAAACATGGCGATTCATATCCCTGCCTTGCTTCTTTACACGAAGGGCCAGCCCATAGATGAGGTTACAGGAGGCTTCAAGGTTTCGTCAACATTGACCTCACGAAGCTGCTACCGCGGAGCGTTTCTTCTTCGGTTCTCTAGGCAATGATACCCTTTCTGTAGTGCTCTGGCTCTGCAGCAAGGACGTATATTCATTCCGATATGATTCTTCGTCTTGCTGATATGATGCATGTGTTGGTGGGGCGTTTCTATGAAATACCTCCACCCATCGTACGTGAATTATCCGGGCATCGGTCATGACGAATTGATCGTTTACGTCAGATCACTCTGAAGAGGGTCAAGTTGATGCAGAATCTATTCGATAACCACTGGTTCATCAAGGTATTATCGGATCTAGGAATATGTGAAGAATAATATAAAGCAGCCAAGCCTAGTGTTATATCTTCAAGAGCATGAATTCCCAGCCTAGTCGGCAGCGCTCTAATTCCTCGATATGGTATCAGATTTGCCAGGTAGGACAGAACATGGTGCTACGGTAGCGAATGCGAGACTCATGTTCGTCGGTTCGTGTTGGCTGGGATCATGCACACGCTGTTGAGGCCAGTGATTAATACGGCGCAGCGTCGCTGAAGCCTCGTCCACGTCGTCTGCATCGACGAGGCCAACGATAGCGAATACCCGCAGCTAGATTGATACTGCGCCGCCTCTGCCATGGCCAATCGTCCTGTCCATTCGCGGCTGGCTTCTCGGGGGGATCCACACAGGACCTTTGTGTTCCCTATTGGTATGCGCAGAACAGCTCTCTCCAGAGTGCGTGATTTCTGAACCCCGTGACGACCTCCTCCACTACGCCCAGTCCATCCGGATGCAAAATACTTCACAAGTGTCTGCGGTACGTGCACTCCTCCTATGCACCTCATAGACTACTCAATGAGTCGTGGCGCAGGACGGGATCAAACGTCGCATCGACGTGCACCACCACATTTTCCCCAACACCCTTCGCAAGGCAGAGCAGAGCAAGGCTGTCGGTTTCCGCACCCCCCCAGAAAATTTGCCCTGGTCGCCAGCCGTCAGCCTGCAGGCTATGGATGCCCTGGGCATCGACATCGCCGTCCTCTCTCTGCCTGCGGGTGTCCCCTGCGGTCCAATTGGCCCAGAGAATTGCCAGGCAGCCAGAGAACTCAACCTGCTGATGGCTCAAGTGTGCGAAATGCACCCCGGGCGGTTTGGTTTTTTCGCATGTTTGCCCATTCCGGGTGACACGAACAGTACGAGACACAAACTTTCGCAAGGCCGCACCAGCTGAAACGAACCTTGTAGCTGCGCTTGATGAGCTGGCATTCGCTCTCGATGAGCTGCATGCGGATGGTATTGCCCTGCCGTCTTCATATGGCGAGGGCAGCAGCGCCAGTGAGTCGCGTGGTACGGTTGTATACAGATCCTAACCTCCTTCCAGCCTACCTTGGCGATGACCTTTATGATCCGATCTGGGAGGAGCTCAACCGCCGAGGGACTGTGGTGTTTCTCCACGGCACCCAGACGCCCTCTTCCAATCCATACCCACATCCTTTTCTTGGCCTCCCCATCACGGAGGTGCGCATCACCGCAGGTTTCAGGTCGGCGTCGGACCTTCCACCCATAACATTGTAGGTTCCTAATGAAACATACAAAGGCGCCGCACACCTTGTCGTCACGGGGAAGAAGCGCAAATTTTCCAACGTCAAAATTATTCTCTCCCATCTCGGAGGCAGCACAATTTCGCTCGCCCCACGCGTCGCGGTGTTGTCCAAACATATGGGGTGCCCGCTGTCACCTGAAGAGATCCTACAGGACTTTCAGAGTTTCTACTATGAGACTGCGCTGAGTGCCCACAAGGCGACCCTCAGTGCACTCAAGAGTTTTGTCGGACCTGATCGTGTTCTGTTCGGCACTGACTTCCCCGGTAAGTTCCTCAGTAGCAGCACGCATAGAACGAGCAGTGCTCATTTATGTGATAGCGGTGAACAAGGACATGGCAACTTGGTACACAGAAAATTTGGATCAATTTTACAGTGATGACCCAGAACAATTGGAGGCCATAAACAATGGAAATGCTCTCAGTCTCATTCCGACCTTACGAAGATTGCTTTCGAGGGCTAACGGATCTGAGGCTATGTAACATATTCAAGAGCATTTAAACTTAGCAAAAACCATATTCTTGGAATGATCATTTGGCAGTAAAATCCACACAAGGACAAGGGAAAAATATCGCTCTCGCCCTTTCTCGGACGCGAATGTTCATCTCCAACGATTACAGTCTATTTCATTGACGTCAGTATCGTGCCAGACCGCAACCAACAAATTAGATAGTAAATGTAAAATATGAAGCAAAAAGCAGTGGGTATACAAAGCACAGCAGCATTCGTCTCTTGCATTGTCTCGACGTCAATGAGGTCCGGTGTCACAGCGAATCTATGGTATGCGGGTTATATGTGGGGGTTTTATGCGGATAATTCGGTTTGCTGAAGCCACCGCAAGATTTCCTTATGGCCAGGTGAACCGGATAACATCGCTTGGCCGTGTCGTCCATTAGGGTCGTACCAGATGCCCTTGCGGATGCCGTGTGAGGTAAGGTATCGTTTGACCCGCTGTAAATATTGTTGCGGTCAGTATTCTGCTAGCACATAGGCAAAATGATAGGGAAATGCACCGATGCATCTAGGATATCGTCCTTCCCTCCAAGGAAAAACATGGTCTTGGAGGGGTCACGAGCATTCGGAATCTCCTCGTACCACAGCGAATTTGCATACCAGTCGAAGTGACGCTGGAGGAAATTCACAACACCGAGTTCAGTCCCGACAAAGTACTTGATGATCAGTTCAACTCCCTGCAATACGTCACAGTCCGCATGAGTACCACACTACAAAAATCATCGAACATACGAACAGTTCTACAAGGACGGTAAATGAAATTGTAGCAGAGATCTAGGGATAACAGTCAGTCTGAAGCATCGAAAAAAGCGCGCCGGGAAAACAAACCTCCTTCCCAAGAGCAGAACGTCACAGGATCGATGAAGCATGATCGGGTAATCATCGTCGGATACGCCTTAAGCATCCAGGCGTGCGCGAAAGACCCACTTGGAGCGAGGTGAGACAAAATAAATAGAACTGCATATTGACGCACTTCGAGTGACTTATCATAATAACACCTGTCGGAGCGCTCTCGGTCTTGCTCTCGTCTTGATCAGATTCCTCCTTGCTGTCCCACACCGCCCACCCAAATTCGTCGATCAATCCTGCAAGGGTCTTGGCCATATCCTGGCGGCCCATCGGCCTCAGAAACTGCGGATGAAAGATATCCTGGCTAATATGTGGATGCAGAGGCACAAGAATGGGCTGGTTGGGTAAAACATTCAGAAGATGCGATATGAAACGGTTGTACTGTGTAAGACCAAGACCGAGGCCATGCATGAACACGAGCGGTCGAGGGCCAGTAGTCGGATTCCAAGAAGAGGGAACGCGGACAAAATACCTAATCGCAGTGCAGTGAGCACGGTGATGTTATACTCTAATGCTTAGCTTACTCTAGTCCATGGTACACTCCAAATCTGGCGTTTTGATGGCGTACCAGCCTTCTGCGTAAGATGTAATTGCTTATAGCGACTCCGAGGTACCAAATAAACGGGCGCCACACTACGCTGACAGGATCTAGTGTGAGTAGCAAAGGCTTGACAGACGAATTCGAGCCTTCGGGTATTTTGGACCCCGAGCGACATTCAATGAGGCTGCAGGTTTCCTCGAGTGCAATTTTTCGCGAAGGAGGGAGTGTTTCCAAAGATGTGAAGGGCTCGTTATATATGGACCAGTAAAGCCATGTATGCATCTCATGTTTATGAATTGATGACCAGGGTACTTTGCCGAACCTACAGATAGGCCGAGTAAGAATCAGTTCTTGCGGTGATAGTAAGGATGACTGCGTACCAGGTTCTGAGTTGATTACGGAAGTCAATGGCTCGAGGATCATCGTACTGTAGGGTAGTGATTTCCTCAGCAGGACTGCCTGGTCGGTCAACGTCTAGTGATTCTTCATCAAATCCTTCCTCTGGTAGGTCTGCCAAGCCGGCTTGCAACACGCGAACAAAAGTGCGCTGAAGCTCGCCAAGCTTGTTTGGTGGCATGGCGTGAGGCCCAGATACCAACTTGACGAGGTTGAAATGGTACACGCTGAAGAATACCTGTAGAGCATGGTGGGATGAGTACACGTTCAGACGCGCCAAACGCGGTCACTGGGTCTGACCTCACAAAGCGCAGCAGCAAAAAGAGCTTGCCCACGCCATGCATATGCCCAGACCTGGCCTGATCGGAGCGCATAGATCACAAAAGCCCAAGAGAGCGGCACGATCGACCAGAGGGGGATGACCGCGACAACGAGGACGATATAAAATAAAAGATCGCGTTGCCGCCTGGGGTGAATTTGCTCTGCAAGGTCGGCTACCGTTTTGTGGAATTGTTTTGCCTCCATGGTGCGTTCTTCGGTCAAAACTTCATGAAAAGAATGGTTGTCGTCGTAAGAGAGTGCGGACGCGAAGAGGCAACCAGGAGGGAGGAGAAAAGCGAGATGAGGGTCCGAGGACACGACGTCGTCCGACTCGTCGCTCGCCTGAGGCCCAGTGTGTCCAATTTGAGCGCGCACGCTGGCGGCGGTCTTGACCGGAATACGCGAGGCCGGTATGACGCAGGGCAGTCACGTGCACCCTTCGCCAGCTGCCCCGGTTCGGCCGAGTCTTGACTTCACATTTTTCGATTTCAACACTGTCTTCCCTGCAGATCCTGCATCTCGACCTGTCCTCCCTCTAGCCCTTCATGCTCCGCAACGCACTCGCAGCGGCTGCTCGCCCCGTCACTCAGGCGGTATGCTCACCACCAAGCTTACGCGGTCCTCATTCTTACTCTGTTTACGTTAGAGGACTGCCACCACACTCTCTGCTGGCTTCCCCAAGGTTACACAGAGGGTCAGTATACCGTGCAATGCGTCTCATTGTCTCACTAACATCTTATCACCTCAGCTGCCTACTAAGTACGGTGGCGTGTACACCGTATGTGTTTTGTTGGCCGTGCCGATATGCATTCTACATTGATGCTGCCATCACAGGTCACCCTCATTCCAGGAGATGGTATTGGTAACGAGATTACCGACTCCGTAAAGGAGATTTTTGAGTATGTAAATGCCCCCATCGAATGGGAACAATACAATGTGTCCGGTATGTCTTCCTCCGGAGAGGAACTCTTCAAGCAGGCTGTAGAGAGTTTGAGGCGTAACCGTGTTGGACTGAAGGGCAAGTAGAAATATTCAAGTTCTGCGCTACGTCCCCCTTGCGCACATATTAACCTCAATCCTTAGGTATCCTTTTCACACCCATCTCACAATCTGGCCACGTATCATGGAATGTTGCCATGCGCCAGCAGCTCGACATTTATGCCTCTGTTGTTCTTTGCAAGTCACTTCCAGGATTCCCTACACGCCACGACAACGTCGACTTCGCCATCATTCGTGAAAACACGGAGGGAGAGTACTCCGGTCTCGAACATCAAAGTTACCCAGGTGTTGTCGAGAGCTTGAAAGTCTCGACACGCGCCAAGGCGGAACGCATATCGCGCTTTGCATTCGACTTTGCCTTGAAGAATGGTCGTAAGGTGCGTAATTAGTAAATTTGTCTCACTTAATGTCGTCATTGACCGGAGACGTGTTTCGGCGATCTTTTATGCAGAAAGTCACGTGTGTGCACAAGGCAAATATCATGAAGCTTGGTGACGGTCTATTCCTCAATACCTTCCGCCGTGTCGCGGAGGAGTACAAAGGTACCGGTATCGAGTTCAATGATATGATTGTTGACAACACGTATGCTTGGATTTCTTGAGGATGCTTGACTTTTGCGTACTGACAATCTACGAAGGTCGATGCAACTGGTCGCAAGACCGACCCAGTTCGACGTCATGGTCATGCCCAATCTATATGGTGCAATTGTCTCAAATATCGGTGCCGCTCTGGTTGGTGGTCCGGGTATTGTACCCGGCTGCAATGTCGGCCGCGTATGTAGCGAACAGTGCACCCTTAGTCATACCGCTCGCTGATATTGACGGCCTATCTAGGACTATGCGCTATTTGAGCCCGGATGCCGTCACGTTGCCAAAGACATTATGGGCACAAATCGTGCTAACCCTGCAGCTATGATTCTGAGCGCAACCATGATGCTCAGGCATCTGGGGTACGCGTTTAAAATTATTTTCCGACAGTACTATGTTCTAACCACTGTTTGCAGTCTCGACGGTCTTGCTAACAACATTGCTAGCGCGACTTTCGACGTGATTAATGCGGCCAACGTTCGCACGGCCGACATGGGTGGTACGTCTTCGAAATGCTATACTTGCTCGATAGCTATTCATGAATACCTCCCCTGAAGGCTCTGCAACGACCTCCGAGTTTACCGCCGCTGTCATCAAAAACCTTGCCTAAGGGAATGATACCTAATTAGCAGTGGTCGTGGATACATGCTAGTAATTGGGTAGGACAGTAATGGCTGGATTTATTAGATGCTATGGTTTGTGAATGTAGATATTTTACACGACGACCTTGACGTATCGCGACGCCTTGTGATGCCATATTCATGCTACCCCAGACAACCAGTTCGCTCCAACTGGGCGGCACACTGATCAAGGCACATTGTCGAAATTGAGGTCAACACTGTCAAACATATGATCGTCATCTAGGGCTGCCTCGTATTCTTCCAATGTCATGCTGCGTTGTTTCTTGCTCGCTGGTTCTTGCTCGGTACCGTCTGTCGCCGGGGCATCGGCCACGCTAACTCCGTCGGGGGATCCACTGTCAACCTTTACGGGAGCCTCAATGCGCGCACTTCCGTCTTCAGCTTGACCATGGTCCTGGCCTTGTTGAGTCCCTGCCTTTCGCAGGTCTAAAATCGTCGCGCACCGCGTCTCACCGCGTTGTCCCCACTCCTCAACGCTCGGACGGAACTCGGCATAGAGAGCGAACGCGTCACGGTTGAGCTCCACGGGCGTGTAGCTCGCGGCAAGGAGGCGCAGCGCACCGAGGACGGGTGGCGCAGTCTGCCGCAGGGCACGGGTGATGTACGAAAACGCAGACGTGGGCGCGACGGGACTGCCTGAGGACAAAGCGCGCCAGCCCCCGGAGGCAGTCTGGTAGAGCGGTCTGGGGTGTGGGGGAGGGCGTGAGTAGGGGGATCGTGAAACTCCCGATGGGCGCACCCGAACATTAAAGGGACACGTACATGCTGAGGGGAGAGGTGGAGCCCGGGGAGTGCACGCGGTGAGGGAGCGCCGCTCGTTAGTGTCAGGCCCATACGTGATCCGCGGGAGACGAGCCACTGACCGTCGGCCCATGAGGTCTACGTACGGCTGGGTGCCGCTCGGGCTTGCATCCACCCCCTTGCTCTTGTTCTTGTCGAAGATCCCAAGGGAGACGCCTTTGGAAATGGCGTTCATTTCCGTGTATACCGATGCTGGATAAATCGACGCGAAGCGGGTGAGCATGCGGCGCAGAACACAGCTCTGTGGCTGTGTGCAGTGCCAGCTGCTGGGCATACCTATGCTGAGGGCTTCCTCGCGCTGGAAACCCAGCCGTTCTGCGACGACAAACGCCCAGGCCATCATGATGGGGGCACGGTTCACGACCGTGAATTTGGGCTTGAGGATCTGAGCGTCCGAGAATAGACAGCCATACGTTAGCCTGCGAGAAGGCTGCCAATTGGCAGAGCGTGGAACACAGCGTTCCATACGCTCGCACCAGACCGTGGAGCGAGCGCTATACGCACCTCCTCGTCGAGAATTTCATTGAACTCTAGGCTGCCGTACATCGCGCCCTCATCTGGGGGATGATCGGGCAAGAATTCGTTCAGGTCGTCGTCGCGCTTGCGCTTCTTCTTGGGACGCTGTTTCAGACCCATGGGGGAGCACAAGGCATGAAGACGTCACCGGTTCATTTCAGGTACGGGCGCCATAAGTTTTAACGGCACTCACCTCAGATTGGGAAGCTGCAGACGAGGAACGGACACCTGCACCACTGGGCGTGCTGCCGCTGGGGCCGGTGGCTCCAGAGGCCCCTCTTGTAGAGGCCGTGTAGCCTGCCTTCCGGATGGCGGCGAGGACAAGCCTCCGAGTCTCCTTGTCTTCTACGCCGGCTCCGCTGAGCTTGGCATCTGTGAGCTGAGCGAGCAGGGAGGGAGTGTTGTGAGTCTTGTAGCTAATACAGCACGTTCAGCCCCGCGCGGGAACAAGGAGAGCACTTCACACTGGGGCTGACATTTTCCCTGCAACAGCCATCGCTTTGGACGCAGGCACGTTATGATTGGTGAGGAGCTTGAGAAAGCTTGGAAGCGCGAGCTTCCCTTCCATGACAGAACTAGCGAAGGACAGCGCAAGTAATATTTTCCGAGAGGGAGCTGCTCGTTGTGCCAGACGACGAGAGGAGGAAGAGAGGCGCAGTGCGAGTCGGACCCTCTAAAGTCGAGAGCGAGTGGATGGTGATCGAGGCCAAATCGGCCATCATGGGTGGATGCCTGTTTGTGTCTGTTTGAAATCGTACAAGAAAGGTAATCAACGCCTCCTCCTCCCGATCATACTGTACCGACGCCCAACGACACAGCGCTCCCCGCCCGCCATGATCACCTACATCCTCCTCGTCTCCCGCCAAGGCACGTGCACCTCTCTGTGCCTTTACTATGACCTCTGACACGCTGCTCGCCCAGGCAAAGTCCGTCTTTCAAAATGGTTCACGACGATGCCCCAGAAGACCAAGGCCAAGATCGTCAAGGACGTCACGCAGCTCGTCCTCGCCCGCCGCACGCGCATGTGCAACGTCCTCGAATACAAGGGTACCGCACGAGCCATCTATGCCGTTCCAGATAACTCATGCAGCGCCATCTAGACACGAAGGTCGTCTACCGGCGGTACGCCTCGCTGTTCTTCGTCTGCGGGATCGGATCGGGCGACAACGAGCTCGTCACGCTCGAGATCGTCCACCGGTACGTCGAGGTCCTCGACAGGTACTTTGGAAACGTGCGCCCCTCTCCCTCCTCCGAGCGTGCGCACCGCTGACCCGCGCCGCGCCAGGTGTGTGAGCTAGACTTGTAAGGCGGAAACCCCAATTGAGACGCGCGCGGATACTGACTGTGTCGATTGCCAGGATTTTCAACTTCCAGAAGGCGTATGCGGTGCGTGTTCCGGGCTTCCGCGGCCCCGCTCCGTCGGACTCATATCCACACAGATTCTCGATGAGCTCATCATCGCCGGCGAGCTGCAGGAATCCTCCAAGAAGTCTGTGCTTCGCGTGGTGAGCCCTCTCCAGTCTAATGGTCCTACCGCTGGCTCAATTTATCCTGCAGGTCACGCAATCGGACAGCATTGAGGACCAGGAGAACAGCGAGGATACAATGGCGCGGCTGGGTAGTCTGGGCTCCAGAGGGCCGTAGGCGGCCCAAGCTATGCTGGAGCGGATATGCATTGCGTGGAATGATGTAGTGCTACACGATGAGAGTGGACATGGGTTCTGTATGCATACTGGTATCGTATCTATTTATTGTACAACGTCCTGTGTAGGCGCAAGCATCTCGTAAGTCAGGACGAACGACGTCGTTTGTTGACGCAAACTGTATGAGAACAAGGACTACTGTCTACCTGCTGATCCCTCTTGGGGTTTTGCCTGTGGCCTTGGGCGATTAAGAACATGCCAGCGTACTAGGTCCAAAGTCGCGACAGAGTCCTCTACGGAGCTATGTCCGACCGATCCTCCGCCAGACTGGATAGTCTGACCCAGATGCTCCTTCACGCTGAACACGCGCAAGTCAGCGCCACTCATGCAGATCATCGGCGCGAGGCAACTCACAGAACTCTCAGAGCTCTCCTATACGGCGGGCCCGCATTGTGCGGGAACAGCATGACGGTGTCGACGCATCGGTGGTGGATCATCCGCAACGTCTTCAGATCGTTCTCCAGCGCGTGCCCGATGATGATCGTGTGCGCATTGATGAGTGTATCAAGCGACTTGCGCACCGCAGCGAGCGGGAGAACGGCAGCTTCGTACGACTCGGCGGTGATACCAGAAAATCGCGTGTTAAAGTCTCTGCGTTCTTTAAGTCCGGCGACGCAAATACAGCTCGAGGTCCGGACTCACATGACTTCGACACCGTCGTCCATCCGCACCAGCTCGTCGAAGACTTCCTTGCCCATTGAGTCGACCACCGACACTCGCGCGACGCGAAAACCGCCGGTCGTATAGACCATCTCACAATCCAGCGCCACGATGTCGAGGGCAGTGTCAAGGCGGGAGGAGGCACTGGCATTTGAGGAAGACGGGGCCCGAGTGAAAGTAAACGGATGTCGGAGGTGCAAGTCCTCTGGGGTGGAGTCGTAGAAGACATGTTTTCCGCGCTCGCACCCCTCACTGTCTGCAGAGCGTGAACAACAGGTGTACAGGCGACGCTTCTCTCCTGCCGATCGCAAGCAAGGCAGTGAGCGGCTTTCGACAGGGACAGTAAATAGCGAGACATACCGCTTGCCTTTGACGAAAAAAGCCTCCCCCAATGGAAAACGCACTCGTCCGCATCGTCTGGCTTCTTTACCATGTATGGCTGTACGCACCTCTCGCACGTCTTAACCGCGCCAAGCTCGGTGGGGCGTTCCCCGCCGGGGCCCGGAGGGATCTCGACAATATAGCCCCACTTGCGCATCTCTTCCAGCGAAAGGACATGGGGCTCGAGCTGTGCTACTGTCAGGCGAAGAGCCTCGAGCTTCTTGCGCGCTTCGGCACGCGCTGCGACCTCGCCCTCAGACCCGACAGAGGGATGGGACGGGCTGTCTGGGAACGGGCGCCTTTTAAGCGACGCGATCGACGAGATGACAGCCTGGGCTGAGATTCGTCAGACTGCTCTGCGAGGGAGAAGAGGGGTGCGCGGGGCGTACATTACGATAAGTGAGCTTTGTGGACTTTTTGTATACCTCCTCTTCCTGCTGGAGGGCATGCTCGGAGGCGAGGGTGGGGTTGGAAGGGAGGATCTTTTCGTAGAGGACAACAAAATGGTCGTAAAGCGATTTGAGCATTGCCTGGATGCATCTGGGTCAGTCTTTGCTACAGGCACACAAGCAGATATGCCAGAGTCGCGGTAGCAGTCTGGCAGCTGCGATGCCATTATTAATGGCGCACGACCACTGACATTGCGACGACATTCGAGAGACTGCGGTGCCGAAGACGGATCACGGAGGCGATGGGGAAATATTTTTGAGTGTGCCGTGAAAATTTTATTGACCCCCCAAGCGACCGCGGCGAGAGAAGGGTTACGTGAGGAGGAATTTGGTAAGCGTACCTGGCGGACAGGGATGGCGACTTGGGAGTGAGCTGCGCTAACTCGGAGGACGGGGGTCCCATTCTGTCAGGACTGGTTAGTAAAGATGAGGATGAGGGTGCGCACGAGAGCGTACGGTGGAGAGAGTGGCCGTCGGGGCTGCAACGGGCCTCTTTGGGGGGCCGATGCGCTGGAGCTTTGCGGGGGGCTCTGAGGGGCCTGCCTCTGGGATGGTGCGGGGGCGGCTGGGGTGGGGGACGGGGCGTTTGGCTGGGACGAGAGGAGCAGGAGACGCGGATGGCGGAGATGGCTGTGGGGGGACATCGGTGGGGACGTCTACGGGGATGGGGACGAGGTGTTCGAGCACGCCGGGGCGGTGGGTGAAGAGGCAGGCGGGGCGGGGACAGGCGGGGGCGTCGGGGCAGGGGAGCGCGTCGAAGAGGCCGAGGGAGGAGAACATTGCACACAGACCCCGGCGGACCCGCGCGTGGGCTGCAGTCGCCCGAGACGCGTCCGCCAGCGCGTCGGCCCGGGCGTCTGTGGGCCACCGGCGAGCAACCGCAAAGATATCTTCCGCGTCCTCCCTCCCACGTCTCCTCCTCTCTCCTCCTCCCCTCATGTCCTCCTCCCCCCCTGCCCCCCGCAGGCCTGGCCTCCGTCTCCGCCAGTCCATCCAGCACATCGAGTACGCCCCTACCCCTTCCCCGCCAGCGCACATCCCCCACTCACCGTCCCATGACAGATCAGATGCTACTCACCATCTAGCCGGTCCATTCAGACCCCAGACGTGTGTGCCGTGCCGCCCTGCTCGCTACATTGCCTGCTGACCAACCCCCAGTCCGCTCGATGCCCAGTTCGCGTCTCCCACAAAACCCACCCATCCCGGCCAGCTCGATCCCTGGTCTACCGCGTCCTATGGCCTCTGGGCAGATATCAAGTCCATGCGATGGGTCGTCGTACCAAGTGCGTCCCTCCCTCTCGCTGCTGCCTCATCTCACCATCCGTGCTCGCTCTAGCTTCGTCCTTCAAGATTCTCCTCATCACCTTCGTCCTCTGGTCCAACTGGGAGCTCGTCCGCCCCTTCCTCGCCCCGGAGCTCTCCAACCCCTTTGCCCCCCTCATCTTCATCTCCCACCCCATCCCCGACTCCGCCCCCGATGATCCTCGCTACGCCAAAGGATATCTCGATCTTGTATTCATTGCTTGGTATATCATCGTCTGGTCCTTCTTCCGTCAAATCATCACCCTCCATATCTCCCGCTCCGTAGGCCAATGGTTTGGCATCAAGAAGGAGTCTAAACTCGCTCGCTTCGGTGAACAGGGGTATGCTATGGCCTACTTTGCCTTCATGGGCATATGGGGTATTGTGCGTATACACTCGCGTGCCCGTTTCGATGGTCATATTGACACCGAGTGTACAGCGTATTATGTCTCAGTTCCCCACATGGTGGTACCGCACGGAATACTTTTGGATAGGTACGTCCGGTGCACAACTCCCGGTTTCTCTCTAACACCGATCTAGATTACCCCCACTGGCAAATGAAGCCCGAGTTAAAGCGCTACTATCTCATGCAGGCGTCATACTGGTGCCAACAGCTGATTGTGCTCCTGCTCAACCTCGAGAAACCGCGCAAGGATTATTATGAACTTGTTGCACACCATTTTGTCACCCTCTGGCTTGTTGGGTGCGTCTCCTCCGGCGTTATGATCTGTGGTATTGACTTTGGCGCTACAGATGGAGCTATCTCATCAATCTAACCTTCATCGGGAACGCGGTGTATGTTAGCATGGATGTACCAGATGTCTTCATTGCGGTTCGTCACAGCCGGCTTCAGATCAGCTTCATGCCTGACAAGTTGTGGAAACAGCTGTCCAAGGCGATCAACTACATTCAATATGCGCGCACCAAGGTCGTAGTATATCTCCTTTTCGTCGGGATTTGGTCGTAAGTGCAACGTAAAGGACTACCGTTTGACTTTGAGTTCACGCAACTTGCACGATGTACGTGTACAGATACTTCCGCCACTTCTTGAACTTCTACATTCTGTACTCCGTGTGGACAGAGTTTGATCTGATGCCGTGCGTACATTTTAATTCGTGGCCGCGTGATGCTGATTAACAACTTACGACATTTCCTCAGAGAAACCTCGAAACGGTGGTCCCCAGAAGATGGTGTCTGGATGGTATGGTGGATGAAGTATCAAGTCTTTGTACCGCTCGTCCTCCTGCAGTTACTCAACCTCTTGTGGTACGTTCTCATCCTCCGGATTGGCGTACGGTGAGTGGCTCCTCGAAACCGTTTGCGCGCGTCCTCATACCACTGCTCTCTTCCTAGAGCTGCTGCGGGAATCTTCTCCCAGGAACAGGCGGAAAAGGTGACTGACGAGCGCTCGGACGACGAAGAGGACGAGAAAGACGACTAGAGTCGCCAGACGCGTCTGCCCTGGATTGCGTGAACGTTGGACTAGAGATCCTGCTGTAGAGCGTACGGGCCCCACCATACCTTTCGATAAGATGTCTAACCACCACGCCTCGCGGCTCCGAGGTCCGACAGGCGGGCGCAGAAGGCTTAATTATGTCCCGGGGCAGTGTATTATCACTGCTCAGACGTCGACATGCGTAGACGGTCATGATACTCTTAACGACTGGACGGTTTTTACGGGTATAAAAGCAGGCAGGCTGCATGATTTTATTTGCTTTTAGTCAAGCTGGTGCGACGGGAGCCACATACAATGAAAAATGATACAGAGAAGCTACTGGTTAACAAGCGTGTCCCGGTGTAGTGGAAGACGAATGCGCCGACTCCCGGCAGCGCAGATGCTGACGAGTGTCTGCACCAATCTGTCCTACACTGACGGGCGGAAGGCAAGTTTCCTGAGCAGCGACCATGTAATTGTAAGCCTTGGGCTCGATTATCATGATGTGAGATTCAGAGGGTCGGCTGCTTATTGAGCTCCGCCATTTGCACTACGTATATTCGGCGACTAGAGCTATCATTCAACTTGTGCCGGATACCATCTGCCATATCTGCTGTCTCGGTATGTTTACGTTCGCAGAGCGGCGAGAGGATTCCTTGCCGCTGTCTTCACTATCCTGGAGTAACCCAGATAGGCTTGCTACAGCCTACAGGGCCGTTCGCCGAATCATACTGCCTGGCGCCATTAAGATTCCGCCGGGTAGGTAAGTTTACCGGTTCAGCCGAGCGATATGAGGATAATGGCGCAAGACAATTGTGCAAGCCATCTTGCAGTCCGACTCCTTTCATGAGGGCAGTGGGACGCACTCACGAGTACATGTACAGCCCGGTCCGGCGCATGTCGTTGCTGCAATCAAACGTTTTCATTCGCATACCACACGTATACTGTGGTTCCAAGAATCGACTCCCCCCGGAACTCGCTGCAGGAGCAACCCATATTCATGGCCACTCGTTGCCTCGGTCTTGGTATGTAGGTCCGCTAATCGACAGAGTGGAGGGGCTCTCGGTTTATCACCTGCCGGAAGATCTCGAGGGAAGCCTCGGGCTGGAAGGCAGGCTGCGCGCGATGCGCATCGTCAGCTTTCCTGCACACGGGGGGGCCAATGAAAATGCGCACCACTTCGTGTCCAGCCTCGTAAATTCGCCTGCACGGCCGTCGATGGCATGTCAGTCATTTGCGGTAACCAGCTAGTCGTTCACTGCGCGACTTACGCGAACGTGAAGTTGTCCACATTCTGGACAGCACCGATCGCGCGTCCTCTGATTGAGATTTGTGCTGCGCAGGCGCTCGCTTCCGTACCACTCCATGGCGCGGACGGATGCGTTTCCGCCTACCCAGTTACAGCTGACCGGAACAAAGGGCGTGAATGTGAGTTCCAACCGTGTCGGACAGCCCAAACACGCACTTGATATCTGCGTCACCGGCCTGCAATGTAACAAAGTCCAGCTTAGTTCACAGCGTTCACAGCATGCTGGACAGAACGCATACCCATATGAGTATCTTGAGCCCGGAATCCGCAAGTGCCGATAATTGAGGCAGCAATGAGCGAGCGTCGTCGCCCGTCTTGTTGAAGTCGCCTTCGACGGCATCGGAACAATCCTGGTACATCGACTTGGAATAATGTCAGCCCAGTAAGAATATCCGACATCGTCATCCGCCCAACCTCTGCACCAATCTGGCTCATCACATATGGACTTTGCAGATAGGTGACGTAGTTCATAGTTGGGAAGTAGCCGGGTGCCTTCTGTCGCAGGTCATACTCATAGCGATCGCCAATCGCAGGTTTGTACACTTCATCCAGCTAAAGCTCGAGCGGTCCGGCGTTAGTCGTCGTCGCTCCACAAATAAAAGCTCGAATTTCTACTCACACAATATGCGGCGGCGTTTTGGCAGATTGGATTGCTCTCTGTCGAGTTTCCGGCTTTGTCGCAATTTTGCAACTGCACTTGGCAGCCGCCGGGCTCGTAGAACGACGCGTTCGCCTGGGCAATGGCGGCGTCATCCTGCAGCTGTCCATAACCAGGCGCATCCCGGACGAAGTCTACGTAGGCTTGATTCTGTATCAGAGGATCAAACCAGCCACTGAGGGTGTTTGATTGAGCGGCCGAATGAAGCGGGAGAACCTTTCAGGAGAAATTTGCTCACTTGTTAATCATGAGTGCACTGACATTGATCGGCTCGCCCTCGATCGAACCATTCGCAATCTTCGCGTTCTGTTCGTCAAAGTAGGTGACAAAGCCTGGTCCGTAGTGTCCACCATAACTCTCTGTCGCAAATATGAACCTGCAGTCAAATCGATCAATGAGCATCATATGAGTGGTCGTCTTACGGAACACGCACTCGCGGTTCTGATACTTCTTGAACTCGCTGCTCTCGAAAAGTATTTGGAACGCTTTCCAAATCTCAGGCGCTGCCGAGAACGTGCTATTCACGTCGCGCGTGCCATACGAGAAGCCAGTGCCAATGGGCTGGTCGATGTATATCACTGGGGTTTATACGTCAACTCAATGTGGGGGAACATTTCGGCAGGTTTCCATACTGTTGCTGATGTTATTCCAACTAGAACGATAATCAGACGATTGAAGACTCAATATGCTGAAGGTTCTCACCTGTATGGATTGATGTAAGTGGAAGAGTTGTCTGGGTTTACGAAGCATGGTCCGTTCTCTGTGAGTACCTCAACGCTCAGGAATGGTCAGGCCCAGCTCATTCAATCAGCCCTTACCTTGGAATAGCGCAATCATAGATGAACATCCCGGACCGCCGTTCAGCCTGCGATGGGAGCGGAGTTTTCAGACTGACCCACGACATTACAATGATGAGTATACGAGCGCACCATAAAGTGAAGGGCGCCGTCTCAGGCTCGTTTCGAGACTCGAAGAACCAAAACCACTGCAGATCAACAACACATCAGAAAAATTCCCGGTGAGCCATAATGTTTCTTCACCATGGACATATTGGTCCCGATATCTATATACCCGGACATCTGTGTGACGCCAGGCGTAGTCTCGCAAACCCCAGAGTCAGTGACATATCTGATGCTGGTATCAGTCTGGAGTTGTGACGTAAACTCTATCTTCGAAGACTGGAAAATTTGCTGTTCATGTGCACTCGATATCTTGGCATGGACGGTCGATATTGAAGACAAAGATGCGGAGGCGAGAAGCGCCAGATAACCCAGCGAGCGAAGGGACATACCAAACATTTTCTGCGGTAGAGCACAAGACGACTGTGCCATTATCTTGGAGGTACGACCCCATCCTTTCTTATAAGCGATTTGCTGACACCTCCACCTCCACAGAGGAGCACATGTATCTGGAAATTCGAATTCACGATATGAATATGATCCAGCCGCGAGGCGAGCAACGACCTGAGAAGATGTTTGTTCAAGTCCCGGGAAGCGAAAAGGGCGTTCGCAAAGCATACAGTCCGACAAAAAAAGCAAGACATGGACATGAATCCATACTCACATGATACGACTTCATCACACATCCAGCTACGTTCGCCGTAACTCCACCAATGACGCCGAGAGAAGGATCTCATCCTACACAAGGATGACCATCATGTCCCTCAATTTCAAGCCTTCCATTGGGCGTATACAATTACCTGTGCGGCAAAACTCAACGCAGCTGCCATTGTTGTGTCTAGAGTTCGACAGCAGGCGCGTGGATGGGTGAGACCGCCAGGCCAACGACAAATCAGTTGACGCAGAGAAGTGGTGCACGTCAATTAGAATGATGCGGCAGAACCCAACGAAATGTAAACGTTGACGCCGGTAGATCATGGCCGAAAGACTAGCGAGATATTTCATTGCACCACACCGTACGACGCAAATTGGCACAGCTTCATCAAGAAAGACATCCGTACCAGCCGTGCAAAACCCATCTTCTGAGAAATGTGATGCCATATCATATACCGCTCGGTACGATGCTGCCAGGGTCGTCCCAGGCTCCACGCATACCATTCGAACAATGTCCTATGCAGCGATCGGCATCCTAACAGCTACCTCGCCATGCGCCGAACGTCCATAGTTCTGCATTAGTTCTGCTCTCTTCGCAATTGCCATCTTCCATTCGCGTTCGATCCTGGGATCAGCCTGTGACCACTGCTGCTGGTCGAGGAAAATCGGTCTGAATCGCTTTGGCCTCGCAGACTGGATGTCTTGAAGCGGCGAAGGAATTCGGACGACTTTTGAGGGGCTACGTCTGCCGCTGCGGGGCGTTGCCTGGGATGTTACATGTGTGGCTGGTGACCGAGCAGGTGTGATGCGGCTGGGGGTGGCAGGAGGTACCACGGAAAACGATGTTTGAGAAGGGGCGCCTTCACTTTCCACTAGGTGGTCCATATCTGCAGAAGCAGGAGAAGAAGAATGATCCGATGGGCACAAAAGATCCAAAGCGGATACGTTGGCACAGACTGGGACCTCTGGGAAGATATTGTCTCGCAGCGTAGCAACGCGAGATAAGTCAGAATGTGTCGACTTGCCGCCTGGCACACCTGTTGACTTAGCCGGAGAAGCGATTCGAGGTCGCTTTGACGGGGTCTCGGGCAATTCTCGACCTTCCTCCAGGTGACCTGTAACGAACGCTACCTTGCGCTTCTGTGTAGGTGTCCTATTTGAAGACGTAGTGTCACTCATATCTGCGATGGTTGCACGAAGAGCAGGCTTGGTTGGAGAACCTGGGACTGAATTGGCCGGCGTACGTTTCGACCGCGCTGGGCTCGAGGCTTGAGATGCTGCCGCCACTTTGTTCGAGAGCTCAGCCACCTTTTGTCTGATCTTCTCCCCAACTTCCTGGCACGTCGACTCGACAATCTCAATTATCTCGTCGTAATCGCGCTTGGCTTGTCCATACTGATTCAGTAGGACGTCCGGACGTACTTTGCGAATCTACACAGCTTCAACGAATCTGTCAGTGCAGGTGCAGTGCGGCGCACCTTGAGGAGGTTGTTACACGTCCAGCAAAACACTGCAACTCTCAGAACGTCACACGGAGGATGGAATTCTTGGGGGAGCATGCGGCTTGCGAGCAATGTACTCTCCACATCTTTCGCACAGCCTAAAACGAAAGCCTTCCTCCCGAGCTTATTGTCGCGTATCAGCGTTTCATAGACCAATGGCCCGCTAGGGCCTGGTGTTTGCGCAAGTGCAGTGGCAAGAGCCTGCTGGACGATCTTCACAGTGCTCTTGAAGAACTTGGGAGCGAGACACGACGCGGTTTGTGCCACCTTCTCGGATACATCCCCGTTATTCAGCCTTCATGTTCTTGTTAATAGGACATCGACCACCGTTAGATGAGGGCTCACTCTTGTGATGCTAGATATGCACAAATGGCTGGGAGACCAACGACATCGGTGCCCAAGTTATATCCCGAACCAGGACCTGTCTTTAGGATGGCAGCATGCAGGAGAACCTGGGCCCGAGTGAGAGTTTCAGGGTTGGCGCAAAGCTTTCGTAGAGCAAGGTCATGAGAGCGGGACATTGTACGGCAAGTTTGAGTTCTTTGTTCAAGACAAGTTCAAGTTCCTCCGCGGTAGGAATGTCCGGGGCTTACATAAGGATAGGTGGCTGGTCCGAGACTCCGAGACACCCAAACCAAATCGCCGGCGATATTGACTTCGGATAAAGTATATTTCATTTTCACTCAATGGCTCCTGCGAATCGTACAAAACATTGCTACAAATTACCAACGTAGCTCTCTGCCCCCAAACCACGCCTACATCCGACTCATCACAGATCAAAACCGTTCCACGTTGTCCCATCGCCAGGGCCGTCGCCCTCGGTGCCCATCGCGGTGTCGACAGGCATGACGCCCTCCAGGTCGGAGAGGTCAGAGTCCTCCTCCCACGGCTTGAACTCGACCTTCGGGTTCGCATGCGTCGTGCGGTTCGGCCAGCGCTTCTCCCGCTGCTCGTCGACCGGGTCGCCCGACGCCATCGCCACCATCGCCGCCATGGTGTACTGCGCGCCGCCGCCCGCATGAGTGACCGCCAGCGCGCACGATCGGCAAGAACACGTACATGGGCGTCGTTCCCCGCGTTGTGCAGGTACGAGACGGGGACCTGCAGGTGCCGGCACACCCGCTCCAGCGAGCGCATGTTGCCGCCGGACTCGCCCTCCAGAGCGGAGAACATGTTCCCGGTGTCGACGACGTACACGCCCGTCGTGGGCGGCTGGTCGGGCAGGAGGTACTCAAAGTCGGAGAGTGCCTGCAGATATTCAGAGCGCAGATACCTGGGATGGCCCTAAGCGACCAGCCAGACGCATGCGAAAGGGACCTACTTGATATCCTGGCTATTGTCGTGGAAGACGAGGAAGAGCGGGCCAGCGGCGCGATGGTCCGCGATCATGTCGCGAATGCGCTGCCGGAACGTCATCTTGTCGACAATCTCGCTCTTGCCAAAACTGTAATGCTGTAACGGAGCAGCGCGTCAGGCCACACAGATGCGCATTTTACGGGAAGCGGGCAGCCTACGTCGCGGTTCTGCTCCACATAGGTGTTCATGTAGCCAATGTGCTCCTTCACGACCATGTGTCCGTCCTCGTCTATCTTCTTCCGCCCCTCGTCCTCCCAGCGCGCCAGGCTCCACCCAAACTCGGTGAGGACCGTGTGGTCGCGGTCCCAGGCCTCAAAGTCGATCGCGAGCCACGTCCCTACATGCGCGGCCCAGAACGTGCGGATCTTCTCAAAGGAAATGCGGCGGGTCGTCAGCAGCGTGCCCGTGCCCTTCAAGCGCTTATTGTTCTTGTCGATCGTCTAAGATGTCAATTGGGGCGCGGGGCGGGGCGGGACGGTGAGTGGCGGCGGGCGCGGACAGACGCCACACATACCTTTACGGCTTTCTTCAGCGTCGCGGCGTCCTTGTAGACGACAGGGGAGCAGTTCGTCAGGTCCTTCGCCTGCAGGAGGCTGTCGGAGGACGGGATGGGTATGGGTGCGCGCGTGAGCTGCATGGCGTGGAGCCAGTACCGCAGGTATTCGACCTGGGCACTGGAGAACAGCAGCCGCATCTCGCCGTTTGCAAAGGTGCCTTTTCCCCAGCTGAGACACACGTATGGGCGATGCTGTGGCGGACCGACTCACCCAAGAAGAGCTCGACGCCATCGATGCCTTGCTTGTGAAGGGGATGATCGGGGTGCACCAGTGCCTCGTACGCGAGGAGCGCCTTGAGGGGGCCAACGTCGGTCTTGTTGGGCAACGCCTGATGCCTGCACGCCAGCACTACAAATCAGATCTTGGAACATCGGCGGCGCGGGAGCATACATGCCACTCGAAGAAGATATCCGTGAATCTGTAGTATCCCGTAACGGTTGCTGGCATTTTCGCGACCGTGAGGGGGGAGGGAGGGGAGGGAGGGGGAGGCTGCGGTCAGAGAGCGAGGAAGCAGGGCTATAAAGCCTGCGGCACTGCGGCGCGCTCGAGCATAAGAGGACAAAGGATTCGCGAAGGAGGTCCGAGTTTTGCGCGTCGCGCTCGGTCACGGGACCCATTGCCATTCCGGGGCGACGCGTCGAGTTGAAATGCGAACCGATCGCGTCGCCCGCTCGTTTGTTCCCCTGCTCTCTTGCCCACCCAGCGACATCCCTCTTCATCCCCGCCCTTCTCCTACTCTGCGCATCCTGCGCGCCACACACGTGTATCCCGCGTCCCCGCAGCCCCCACGCCTCCGCCGGCCCACGCACACGCACACGCACACTCGCAGCCCCCTGAACCTGAACCACGCGACAGGAGCGATACATACGCCTGCAGCAGCTCCGCGACTCTTCATACGCGATGGCGCAGACAGTGCAGAGAGGAAAACGAAAGCAGCCCGGGCAAGACCAGGAATCCGACGCGACACCCCCGCCCGCGGCGAAGAAGCCACGTACCGCCACGGCGCGCAAGAGCACCGGGGGCAACCCGCCTCGAGGCCGACGCTCGAGTGGTGGTGGCGGTGGTGGCGGTGGTGGTGGCGGCGGAGGAGGAGGCGGTGGTGGTGCGCCAGGACATGACGACGACCAGGTGCCCCGTCGCAGTACGTGCTCCGCGCTTTTACCCCATAGCGCGCACGTTGCTCACGCAGAGACGGACGGACAGAAAAGCGGTTCCGGCCGGGAACGGTCGCGCTGCGCGAAATCCGCAGGTACCAGAAGAGCACGGAGCTGCTCATCCGCAAGCTGCCCTTTTCGCGCGTGGTGCGTGTCCCGCCGTCCAGGGTCCCGCGGCGTGCTACTGACCCGAGCCTGGCGCAGGTGCGCGAGATCGCGCTGGACATGATGACGGACACGATCGAGTATGGCGACGCCGGCCTGCGGTGGCAGAGCTCGGCCATCCTCGCGCTGCAGGAGGCGACCGAGGCGTATCTGGTCCACCTCTTCGAGGACGCGTAAGTGGCTGCGACCCATGCTTCATACGTGCGCGTCGCTAATGTCCTTGGATGGCGGATTTACCCCACAGAAATCTGTGCGCGATCCACGCGAAACGGGTGACGATAATGCAGCGCGACATCCAGCTCGCGCGGCGGATACGTGGGCCGTGGGGCGGGATGGCGTGAGCTCCCGCGTCTTTGCTTTCCTGATTCATCCTCGCCTCGCTGCGCTGCCTGCTCTATTGCTTCGGAACGGTTGTTTGGGCGGCATTATGCTGAAAGTAGGGTCCATGTAGGAGAAGTTCCCACGTTGTTTACTGTAGTACATCCACGATCTATATACCTCGTTCCATGTTGATCTTGATAGCACGGTTGTCGCGAGCGGAGACGCGGTGCAAACACTGAGCCGAGGTTTGGGAACATTCGAGTAGGAGCGGCGACACGCGGTTCGAGCAGCTCTTAAACAGCGTACCTGGACTTCTCAGGCTGATGTCGTGACGTACTTTCTATTGAGCGAGATGATACGGTTTCAGGGTCGCCGTTTGGGTCGGACGCAGATCTATTCCGTGTCCCGAGGACGGTACCTTGCATGTCTCGGCGCTAGCAAATAAGCTAGATACAGATCGCCCACACCCTCGGAGAGGCGCGGGGTAATTGCAAGTCAGAAATATATTGCGCTGCGAAGATGTCTACGACCTGCACCGACTAGAAGTATTCCTCAGATCAACAACGCGCGTATGGCGGATACCAATAGAGCTAGTACCCGTGGAAAGTCAGAGTAAGCAGGCCGGACCGGGATGGCCACTCCCACTCCCGAGTAGCCGTCAATGACCGCAAAAGCACGCCATTTGGTCGACTCGGAGCCACAGCGGAGAGCACGACAACGACCGTACAGCATCCCCGCGCTGCGCTGCCCGAGCCCGTTGGGGAACAGCGGTGGGCGACCCAGCGTGGTGCATGATGCATCATTCTTCGGGACCCAGGCGGCGCCACGGACGAGAGCCGAGGACAGCTCGACGAGAGCCTGTCGGACATGCGAATGTTGATGTAGATTTGAATAGTTGAATGCTGCGTCCCATCGGGGCGACGTGGCCACAGCAGGCGGCCCAAACACCCTGCGGCGCCGCAGCTCTCCGCCCCCAGCCCGAGCAGCCTGCACGTGCGTGGCTGCACGTGCGTGGCTGCACGTGCGTGGCACCTCGACGGACGATGACGCATGCAGGGCGCTGCGCGGACCCCAGGTAGACACGGAGGGGAGGACGCCAGACAGCCGCTGCCGCCACCGGAGAGGATCCTGGCGAGCGCAGAGGCAGACAGCGAGGGGAATTAAATACCAAGCAGCTCTGACGTCTGTTCCATGTCCGGGCGCCGATCGAGCGCACATAGCGGACTCGCCGGCCGAGCAGGCGACAGCGGCGTGCGGCGCTGGCAGAGCGGCCGCGGCCGGGGCTCGGACTCGGGCTCAGCGCACCGAGGGCGGGGGACTGGGCCCGGGAGCGTCTGGGGCGCAGCTGCGGCCGGTGGGATCGCCAGAAGCTCGCTGCTGAGGCGCGCCCTAGGGAATGTTCGCCCGAGCGTGCGCAGCGGTGCTGTGCGGCGAAGCTGCCGCCGCGGGCTGTTTGCGGATGCGAGGGCGTATGCAGCATCACAAGGCAGTTGCCCGCGTCCGCCGCCCGCAGAGGATGGATGGGTCCCTGCCCGCAAGTGGCCCGTATCATTCTGTTCGTGGTATGGGTCAAAAGTGGTCCTATTTGAGTGGTCAATAGTAATGATGGGCAGTGGCTCCGGCCGCGCATGACGCAGAGTGATTTAATCAGCGGCCGTTGGGCGCGACAATGGCCTGCGCATTGTGCGAGGGCGTTATGCAACACAGCAAGGTCTATTGTCGCGCGGGAACTAGATTCACCGTGGGCACCACTGGCCGCTGGAAACTCGGACCGGAGGGCAGGATAAGGCGTCCACGTTCTCGAGGACGCCAAGAGAGCGCAAAACAGAGCCCGTCATGAGGGAGGATGGTTTGGCGGTAGTGGACGATGGGTGCTGGGTGCATGGTGAGGAGATGGCCGCGGAAGAAGGCGGGTTGGACCGCGAGGAGGCCGAGCACGTTGGTGGGTATGGAGGACGGCACCGCGGCAGATGGTGAGGATGTCGGGTGCCGGTGCGAGAGTTCGCAAGGGAGGAAGGAGATTGTGGGGTAAGCCAGGGTTCTATCGCCCGTCAAGGGACACGAGTGTTCTACAAATATCACAGGGAATGGGCTAGGCGTACCTGTAACCTCGTACGCGTCATATATAGAGGCAATCACGGGTAGAGGGTCTATAATTAAACGCAGGATGGACGCATTGATTTAAAGCTCACGTCGGCAGTTGGGGATGCGCAATAGGAGGGCGCGAGGTGCAAGCGGCATAAGTGAGCCGGTGACCGGGATGTGACTGGTATATGGCCAGTGATGGATGGCGGCATTGTGGGGACAAGTCTGTCGCAAGCGCCGCAGAAGTAGATAGAGAGAGAGAGAGAGGGGGGGAGAGCGGCTGGTGGCGAGGGGAGGGCAAACGCGGACACATGACCCGCAATGAGGCGCGCTGGTGATCGCGGCGGGCGGTGAGGAGAGGGCATCGATGGAGGCGAAACCGAGGGTGTGTGAGTGCTCCCACAGTGGGACAGCATAGCAACGAAACGCGCGCGAGTCTGTCAGTGTCAGTCTGAGGGAGTGCCGGGGACGGCCGGAGGATGCCGGAGGACGGCCGGCGATGTGGCCAAGGCTCTGAATGTTCGGGGACGGCACCCATTTTGCGTCTGCCCAAGTCGGTCGTTCTTCAGTTTGTGTCTCGCCTGGCCCGCCCATGCTCTCCGCCGCTTGACCACGCCCTCCTCTCTCCTCTCTCCTCTCTCCCTTGCTCTCTCCCTCCATGCGTCGCATCACCTCTGTCTTTGTCCCTCGTCGCCCAGAGAGATCCGAGTCTGCTCCAGCTGCGGCTCCTCCTACCCCCCTCCCCGTCTCCACCATCGCCCCTCCCTCTGACGAGCACACCCCCCGTGCTCGTCCCCGCACCAGAGACTCCACCCCAAAACAACCACTTCGCCCTCGCCCTCGCTCCATCCTCTCCCTCGGCCTCTCCCGCAAGGGCACCGCTGGCACCATCTCCAGCAACGACCACACCTCCTCCTCTGCCTCCTCCATAACCGGCCCTCCCACCCCCGACGATGAGGGTCGCAGCTCCAGCAGGCCTCGCAGCATCTTCTTCTTTTCCGACAAGTCCTCCTCTGTAGATCCCCCCGTCGTCCCCGCTCAGCCCGCCTACATCCCTGCTCCTCGCAAAGATGAGGACATGTTCGCGGACAGCGCAGAGAGCGAGTCCTTTGAAAATGAGGAGCTCCTCCCCCCTCCCCCTCGCACCCGCATCGCCCAGAGCCAGGTCCAACCTGCCGCCCTTGTCTCTCCTCCCCCCGCACCCATCCAGTCATTCACCCCCGCATCTTTTACACGTGCACTCGCCTTGAACAGCCTCCACCCGTCCTTCTCTCCCCCGCCCCACCTCCTCCTCCCCGGTGTCCCTCTCTTTCCCCGCTCTTGCAACTATGCAAAGCATCTTCCCACCTCGCACTCCCCCGACAAGCTCCTCCCCCAGCTCTTCCACAAGCGCATCCTCCGTCGTCTCGCTCACCCCCTCAGCATCGCAGACAAGCACGATCTCTCACGCTATGCAGGCCGGCATAGACCACCTGCTCCAAAGGCCCTCAGGCTTCGTCTCGACGACACTGCCATCGCCACCATCGGTGTAGATGCTCGTCGAGTCTCCAAACTCAGCGCCGGTCTCCGCCGCTGGGTCGATCGCCCATGCTTCGAGGACCGTCTCGTCGTTTATCTCCCTGCCGATGCAGAGATCGACCCCAGCACGATCGTCTCCCAAGTCCAGCGCGATCTCGTGGGCGTCGTCTGCACCCGTGTCTCGGGCACCGGTCACGGCGTCGCCTCCATCGAATACAGCCAGACTCTCGAGCTGCTCGCTGGCGTCCACGACACAGACGCGGACGCTCTTCTTCTTGGCTTCGCCGATCCTCACCTACTGGGCCCGATGCCGGATGTGGCCACGGACGTTGTGCTTCACAAGGACCCTGCACAGGAGCAGTTTCGCCGTGCGGTTCTCCCAGAGACGCCGTCACAGGACCAAGGACTGCTGCATGCCATACATGCGTCCCCGGCGTGGGGGACTGCCCCTGCACTCGACGTGGACATTACCTCTGGCAGCATCGCTGGCTTCTTCGACGAGGCAATGGCTGGCGCATCCGCGAACAAGATGTTCTCGCCTCCCATGATGACCCCCCCGCTGTCGCTCACTCCGTCGTCTATGAGTCCCGCGTCCTCTGGCCCACCTACACCCACAGGCAACCTCCCTGCCGCTGTCGCTGCCGCCGCGTTTCTTCCGCCTGTCCCTGCACCTCAGACACCAGGTAAGCTTTACGCTCGGCTTACGTCCGTGATGTCGATGGCGCTAATATTGCTTTCACAGGTGCCCCCTCCCCCTCCCCTCGCCTGCAGCCGTACAAAGCAGTGCCGTCTCCCTTGCGCATCGAGCAGAATGTGAACCTTCCCAACCCGTACTCGCCCTCTATGGACCGAAGCTCGATCAGCTCAATCGATTCGGATTCCTCGACGTCTTCGGCGCCCCTGCCCACGAACACCAGTCGGAGCACCTCCACGGCTACGCTCAGGCTTCCCCCGCCATCGCGGCCACTGCCCTCGTCGCCACAACGGGCCGTGCGGTTTGCCGAGTCGTCGCCGGGCAGGAAGGACAAGGGGCGTGCGCAGGATGAGGACGAAGATGACTTGTCCGAGGCGGAGCGTCGTGATGGTGTTCCCGCAGAATACATCCAGCGCATCAAGCAACAGCGGGCGGAAAAGGCCCGCTTCCTCGAGGCCGAGCGTTCTCGCCGGACTCAGATGGAGGAGCAGCAGCGCCGCGCGGACCGCGCGCGGCAGGAGGAGGAAGATCGGCTGAGGCTAGAACGTGAGCGCGAGCGTAGGGAGAGAGACGAGGAGCGCAGGAAGCACATGTATGCGGAGGAGGTTGCCGCTGCGCGGAATCGGCGCGAGAGCACGCGCTTCGTGCACCCCTCGATGTCTGGCGTGAACGGGACGGGCGGGCTGGAGGAGTGGGAGCGCCAGAAACGACAGAAGGAGAGAGAAAGGGACTCGTCGACATACACGCGCCCGGTTTACGACGCGCGCAGGCAGAGCGAGCCCGGCGCGCGCTCGACTCGGAATGCGTCCCCCGCGCCTCCCGTCCCGCCGCTGCCGGCTTCGTCCCCCGCCCCAAGTGGCAGCAACAGTCTCAACGACAATCAGCGCGGCGCCTCCCAGCAGTCGCATCTTTCTCCGCACCCTGCGACGCTCACTCCCAACGCACGCTCGTCTTCCGTCCCCGATGTTAGATCGCGCGACCAACGTAGCGGCAGTGTCGGTTCGGCGAATCGTGTGTCGATGATCTCTGATGGAGACGGGCGCGACCGGACATCTTCGTTTTCGTCCTCGTCGATGTGGAACATGAATCGCATGAGCATGCACATGGGCATGATGCACCCTATTCCCGTCGCCGTCCCTGTCCCGATGCCCGTGCCTGTTCCCGTTCCCATGCCGTACCGTATGCACACTGGCATGGAGCCTCTCCTACCGCCTGCGCCGCCCTTCGTCACGCAGGATTTCGGGTATCGTCCGCCCTCGCAAGGCCAACGCCACAGCCCCAGCCACGAGAAGGGCCGCAGTTCCGGCCACGGCCACGGCGAGGGTCAGCGCCGCCCCCATAGCTCGTCTCCCACTCCCCCACAGGCAATTCGCCGTCAGTCGGAGCCAAAGCAGCCTCGTGCACACAGCTCGTCCCCGACCAGCAAACACTTCTCGCGCAGCGCCGTGCCGCCCAGTGCTAGCCATAACGCCCTCCGCACCAGCCAGGTCATGTCGCAGAACTCCAGCCATGGCCTACACGCTCCGCGCGAATATACTCACCACCGCCGTTCGAGCGCGGATGCGGACCTGCAGCGGCTGGGGGGGGGGGGGGGGG